GACCCTCCGAGCTCAGTGAGCACCGCTGGACCTCAACCTGGGACCCTCCAAGCTCAGTGAGCACCGCTGGCCCTCAACGGCCAGATAGAATGCCAGAAGATATGCCAGATAGAATGCCAGATAGCATGTCAGAAAGAATGCCAGAAGATATGCCAGATAAAGTGCCAGAATGTTTGCCAGATAGAATGCCAGAAGGTATGCCAGATACAATGTCAGATAGAATGCCAGAAGGTATGCCAGATAAAGTGCCAGAATGTTTGCCAGAACATATGCCAGAAGATTTACCAGATAGAATACCAGAAGATATGCCAGAACATATTGCAGAATATATGCCAGGTAGAATGCCAGAAGGTATGCCAGATAAAGTGCCAGATAGCATGTCAGAAGATATGCCAGAAGATATGCCAGGTAGAATGCCAGAAGATATGCCAGATAGAGTGCCAGAAGATATGCCTGAAGATATGCCAGAAGATATGCCAGAAGATATGCCAGATAGAGTGCCAGAAGGTGTGCCAGATAAAGTGCCAGAATGTTTGCCAGATAGAACGCCAGAAGATTTGCCAGATAGAATGCCAGATAGCATGTCAGAAGATATGCCAGAAGATATGCCAGAAGATATGCCAGATAGAATGCCAGAAGATATGCCAGATAGAATGCCAGAAGATATGCCAGATAAAATGCCAGAAGATATGCCAGATAGAATGCCAGAAGGTATGCCAGATAAAGTGCCAGAATGTTTGCCAGAACATATGCCAGAAGATTTGCCAAATAGAATGCCAGATAGAATGTCAGAAGATATGCCAGAAGATATGCCAGAACATATTGCAGAAGATATGCCAGGTAGAATGCCAGAAAATATGCCAGAATGCCAGAAGATATGCCAGATAAAATGCCAGAAGATATGCCAGAAGATATGCCAGATAAAATGCCAGAAGATTTGCCAGTAACAAAACGTATAGATGTCATGGTGGGGATAACTCGAAGTAAAGTAATTTATGTTTTGCATCCTTCCTTTTACTTAGCATTCGCCCTGTCCTTTGCCACTTGGACCTTTCGAGAAAAAAGGAATATGTTGAGGAAAATCCGTGTATTTTCGAGAAAAATACGGGTATTTCTGAGGAAAAACATGACATTCAAATCAAGTACAAAGTGATCGTCTCCCAAATGTCAGTGGTGATGTCACAAGTGGCACACAGAAAATGTTGAAAAAGGGGATTTGCAAGAGGCACTTGGTCAAGTGGCAAGAGGTTCCTTCAAGAAAATTTACCTATCCCAATTTTTTCAAATGGTTCAAAACATACATGTTTTTTCAGGAAACATTTTCTTTCTGACTTTTGGGAATGCTAAAAACCCGACTGGTCTAAAACCCTACTGATCTAGGGCTGGTCTTCGCCATCCTGGGTTTCATTGGTTTTGTTCCACACAAGCGCGTGGTTTGTTCACACGCCATTCATGATACGTCAGCACCATTGCAAACGCGAACGCCCTTTTCCTCGGCAATAAGGCACCACTGATCCCCATCGAGCTTCTGTGTTTTTCCTCGGCATTGATGTGCCTCGTAGGCATGAAAGGTAAAACAAAGGGGCAGCCGGGCAGTATTTTTCAAGTGAATACTAAGGACCCCAAAATGACAGGGTACGGCTTGGTATGTTCAACCCATTCAGTCTTCAATTGCTACACAAAAAAAGGGTTTCACGTGTTTGCAACATCATGATCCACCCTCGTTGCAACCCCATTCATGAAAGGTGAGCTGCGCATATTTGTACCCTGTGTCTCTTGGCCGCCTGATGTCAGCATGATGTGGTTTCAGCTTGGGCCAGAACATATTTGGTTGGTGGTTTTTTACATGTGATATTGCCCTTTTTTGACAACCAGCAACTAGCCAATATTTTTTGTTGGATCGAAACCTCCAACCAGAGGTATATTTATTTCTGCACCATGTTGCAACCAGCAAATTTTGAAAACATTTGGCCCCTGATGTTTGGACATTTTTCATATCAAAACCCAAAGAAGTCATGAACAATATGAACCGCCCGTGGTTTTGGACAAATTACAGTGCCCTGCATGACCACGGCCTCACCACAAATGATTATTAGCAACTTGATCTTCCAAACAGAGATGTTTGTGAGGAAGTCATTATCTTTTCGATGTTGCCAAAGATTGTGGATGAATAGTTCCAGTTAAACCTGCAACAGTACGTTCAAGAAACCATTCCACCTAAAATAAATGCTTGAGGCACCTCGCGTTTAGCATTGTTTTTTGAAATCTATATATTTCGTGTTGGGGCCATGGATGCGTTTGCAGGGATTGCTATTATTTTTGATAACAACATCCTCATTATTTCTGATGGTCCATGCGCTGTTTTTGTGTCAATTGTTTCCAGGTATGCGGCTCCGGCCCCGGGTGCTGAAAACTATGTCCAAGAGGTGAGGTGGCAACCTGTGTTGCTGCATGGAATAGTGAGTTACTTTTGTTGCAATTTGATATGTTGGATCTTTTGAATGAATATATAAACAAAACAGATGTACTAAATGCAATCGTATGCAGTAGTTGTTGGTGATTCGTACATATTGTTCGGGTGCCTTTTTCCAACATTTTTTAAGGATTGCACGGTGCCGGAAGGACATGTTTTTTTAGGTTGAGCCTTGGGGTGAAGATGGTTGAAGTGTGTTGATCTAATCCAACCCGGCCCATTCCGTATAGCTCTTTCAACTTCTGCTTTTTATCAAACATTGAGATCCAGGTTCAAAACATTACCTTGGATGTGCCCTGCCCCCAGTACCTGACATGCATAGCTGCACTGATGTGTAGCTACCCCCCCCTTCCATACAATATATTCACATGCTCTGGGGACCTCTGGGGTGTGTTGGCATGCGTTGACATTCTCCTTATTACTAATCGTCGTGGATTCTCCTGGATGTGCCCTGCCCCCAGTACCTGAAATGCATAGCTGCACTGATGTGTAGCTACCCCCCCCGTCATTCAATACGTTCACATGCTCTGGGGACCTCTGAGATGTGCTGGCATGCGTTAGCATTCTCCTTACTACTGGATACTGTTGGAACACGCTGGAACCACCTGGAACCTATACAACCCTAAAAGAATCGTCCTGGATTCTCCTGGATGTGCCCTGCCCCCAGTACCTGAAATGCATAGCTGCACTGATGTGTAGCTACCCCCCCACTTTCATACAATACATTCACATGCTCTGGGGACATCTGGGATGTGCTGGCATGCGTTGGCATTTTCCTTACTACTGGATACTAGTGGAACTTATTGGAACATATCGGAACACATTGGAACCACCTGGAACCTATACGACCCTAAAAGAATCGTCCTGGATTCTCCTGAATGTGCCCTGCCCCCATTACCTGATATGCATAGCTGCACTGATGTGTAGCTACCCCCCCACTTTCATACAATACATTCACATGCTCTGGGGAGCTCTGGGATGTGTTGGCATGCGTTGGCATTCTCCCTATTACTGGATACTGTTGGAACACATTGGAACCACCTGGAACCCATTCTCCTGGACGTGCCCTGCCCCCAGTACCTGAAATTCATAGCTGCACTGATGTGTAGCTACCCTTCACTTTCACACAATACATTCACATGCTCTGGGGACCTCTGTTGTGTGTTGGCATGCGTTGGCATTCTCCCTATTACTGGATACTGTTGGAACACAGTGGAACCACCTGGAACCTATACAACCCTAAAAGAATCGTCCTGGATTCTCCTGAATGTGCCCTGCCCCCATTACCTGACATGCATAGCTGCACTGATGTGTGGCTACCCCCCCACTTTCATACAATACATTCACATGCTCTGGGGAGCTCTGGGATGTGTTGGCATGCGTTGGCATTTTCCCTACTACTGGATACTATTGGAACACATTGGAACCAGTTGGAACCATCTGGAACCTATGCCCCCAGCACCTGACATGCATAGCTGCACTGATGTGTAGCTACCCCCCTTTTCATACAATAGCGTGTGTTGGCATGCGTTTTTCGTTACTACTGGATACTTTTGGAACACATTGGAACCACCTGGAACCTATACGACCCTAAAAGAATGGTCCTGGATTATCTTGGATGTTCCTTGCCCCCAGCACCTTAAATGCATAGCTGCACTGATGTGTAGCTACCCCCCTTTCATACAATACATCAAGCATTGATGAGAATTGCAGACAGGTTCAGAACAGAGGGGAGGTTTTAATGTTCAAATATTTCTTGTTGCTTCCAAATGGCTCCGCATCTTAGCTTCGAAAATGAAACGCAACAAACTTCAAAGGTCTTCAAAGCATCGTGAAAAAATGCGCAGCCGTCCTGTTTTCGAAGCCTCGAAATTTCGTGAGATTGCAGCCTTGGCAAAGAGAAAGGCTGGAACTTGCTTTGGACTCATTGATTCCGTGGCCAGACATCGAAAGAAGCTGTGGAAATCAATCGAAGGGCATCGTCAGTTTTTGAGGTTGAAACCCCCTTACTTTCATGCCTTTCATACATTTCCAGCGTTTGACAGAAACCACCTAGTCCCCCCTATATTTTATACAGTTGATTTTGTCTCATCTCATCCAGATTACTGCAGTAATTGAACTTGGTCCCCTCTATGCTTCATACATTTTAAGATTTTTTACTTGTAATGAATTGATAGTTGATAGTAGCAGCTCACCCCCCTGAGGAATATTTTTTTTGGGGTTTCCCAAATATTGTTTTGTGCTGGTGCAAGGCAGGTCGCCTGTATAAACCTTCTTGAGACCTCTTTCCGTCGCCGGGCTTGACCACCTGCCCCCCTACCTTTCATACATTTGATGGTAATGTATGAACAGGGGGGTGTATACATATGGAAGGCATGGGGGGTTGTAATCCATATTCTGAAGTGTGTGTGTGTGTGTGGTGTATTTATCTATCTCAACCTCGCCAGATTTTTTTTTTGCCAGTTGAACATGGCATGGTACATGCTTTATTCCGTACGAAGCGCCAGTGGTCACAAATCCGTTCTACATGGTTTCGAAATGGAAATCTATAGGCATTTGCTGCATATGCTACTCAGCATGGTGGCATTTTCATTTGTTGTGTCGTGAGGGACGCTTTGGACCTTTGGGCGACCAAAAGTTCTGCCGAGACACGCGGAAAGCACGCCTTGAAACCTATGTCAGGAGCGGTGTTTGTTCTTGTAGCGATCTTGCTGCATTGTCCTGTTTCCAGTTCAAAGGTTTCATGTTCAATTAGTTTTCGAAGGAACGCCGCATTCCTTCCAAAGGGCGATCATTGGACTGTCTATGGGCCAAAAGCACAAAAATGTGGACACGTCAATATCACAGGAATGGTTGGGCTCCTTTTTGGGGCGTTGCTGGCAAACAGCACATTGTTTTTGATCAGTTGCTCGGCATCAGCTGGAGGTTTCGTTTTTGTTTGGACTTGCCAGTGCTGCTTCAGTAACATTGAACCACCATCCACTATCAGTTGTAATCCTCCTCATCACCATCACCATCAGTTTGCCAAGTGTATAGTTTGTTACAAATCGCTCGTTCCCCGTTCAGATGAATGCTGTTTCCCGTTGCCAACCATTGGTTTGCCAACCGAGGTTGTGCTATCATCCCTTGATGGAGCTGGTAAATGCTAACCATTTCGTGACTCTCGCGGGCGTTGGGTATTTGAAAAGTCGAGTTTATGGGTACCGCGGCTCGGCCGCGCAATTGTCGCGTGGACAGTGGGGTTTTGGAAGGCCTTCGAAAGGTTATCATGGCAAGATGCAGCATACTTGTGGGATGATGGTATATGATATGGAACGTGAGTAAAAGGGAATCGAGTACAATTGGAATAATAATTGAAATACAGCAGGAATTTAATTTCCAGTCATCAAGCATGGCAGACCGCTGAGGTATCCCCAAAATAAAGGGATGTTTTTGTTTTTTTTCCGGGAAGTGATGTTGGGTTGCCGGAATGTATATACCTTCTGGTAAACTAACATAGCTATTGAAAATTGCCATTTATAGTTAGTTTTCCTATGTAACATAGTGATTTTCCATAGTTATGTTAGTTTACCAGAGGGTAATTCAACGGAAACAATACTTTTTGCTTTCCATTCACGTGCCCTTTTTCATAACCAGCAATTGTATATTTCCTGTTGTAAACAACACCTAGGGTAGCGATTGGCGAATTGTAGTTTAATGATTCGAAATGTGTGCGCTGTGTTTCAACCACACGCAGGAATCAGACAATATAGGATACCCACCCAAAACAATGCTGAATGCTGGGCATCCCAGATCAATATATATCAACTATGCGGTTAACATAGCTTAGCGGCCAGACATTCGTGCTGTGCAAAACAATAGATCTATTTTGGGGGGAAACATTATATCAAATTATATCTTCAAATTAAATTCTATTGAAACGGAATAGGAACTAAAGACTTGAATTCGACCCGTTGGGGTTAAACATGGACCCAGTAAAACCCAGTAATTACCAGGTTGGGGTCCCACACGAGGAATATTGATGCCGTTAAAGCAGGTGGTGCACCACCAACTCCTGACGTGCATGTCAATGTTCATCGTTGACTTCGATATGATATATGTCTCCCATTTGGCCAGTGAGCAACCCGTGACTGACCAAAAAAAACAAGTGCTCAGAATGCTAGTGCGTCATCCTGAATCCACCAGTCGATCACCTTCCCTATTTCTGGCATATTCATTTTCCAGTGGAATAGGTTTGAATAGATTAGACATGCCTTAGATATTCTAAGATAATTTTCTCGTAAATCATTTTTTCCGGTGTATCATCTAGCAAATTTAAATGTAAATATAGCAAGTACATATGTATATATATATATATATAATTTTTAGATAGGTATAAATAAATATTAGAATATATATATATATATATGTATACGGATACATATATACACGTTGCCCACCCATTCAAGGTTAGCCACGAGGCATGTCCATCCTTGCCGGCGCTGCTCAGGGCCCCAGATCGACATCAGTTGGCCTGAGATGCCGGTGACCATGGATGCTGCAAACGGCGGGTGTGACTGCAGCGCGCGGCCACGGCTGGTGTCATTCCAAGGTTGGGGGATGTTCCGGGGACCAATCCTAGTATGATCCCAGAAAATGCCGTAGAAGGTGGCAAGGCGGGCGGTGTACCTTTTTATTTTGTAACGTATACGTTTTAATATATATAGACATGTACACAATATATTTTTTGTTTCATTGTTACAAAATAAGTTTTGTCTATGTAATTTTTCCGTCAGGTTCTCCGTCAGGTTCTCCTGAGGAGCCATCCTAGTTTGGCAGTCGGCCTCTTAAAGCGTGCTGGGTCTGCTTGCGCGCGTTTTTTTTGACTGATAAATTGCTAGCCTTCCTTCATATAGGTATGGACTTCAAGAATGCAATCTGGATCTGGTGTCGTTGCCAAGCCCAAGGTAAGATGGCAGTGGGCACAAGAACTTACTGTCAAAGCTGATGAGTTCTACATTACCACACCATTAGCCAGCGTAAAAACACCGGCCCTTTGTCCTCACAACGGAGTACTTTCAACCTGCCACGGAATTTACTTAAAGGACAGGTCAGTTTTGCAGGTAACTTTGTCAAAAAGGAATGCAACTTGCAATGGTGATTTACTCTGGAAAGTTGATGGTTTGAACCCAAATTCCCTATTCAAGGAACAAGATACATAAGTCAGTTTAGTTCCACTCTTTCAATGTGTATCCTGTGTTTCCACATAGCTGCTCGGAGCGGCCCTCGACACTTGCTAGGCGCAGGCACGCGGAAGGTGCGACACACGCTGCAGGAATTGCACGATGGCGAGGAAATTGCACGGGGCTCAGGAGTGTTGATTAACGTGTCTTAGTTTTCACGTTTTAGGAATGTGGATTATTTGAAAATTTGGATGTGGATTACTTGCTAAACTTTGTCTTTTGTCTTAGGTGGTGCTTTCCATGTCGATCATGTACCAAGTGCTTAAGAGTAATATCCATGTTGTAATTCAGCTATAATATATATATATATACAATATTTACACATTTAAATTATCTGTATATATGTGGTGCATATTGCATACTTGTTACGTTGAAAAGGCCTTATACAATGTATACGACAGGGACTTAACATGACTTAAACATCACCAAGGAACTCCACCATCCAAAATTGGAAAACATGAAATCGTTGGAATGTTCATGGCGTCCGAAGTTTAGATGAACGTGAACCACGGCGTCCGGAGGGTGATTTTCCGCACTTGGATTTGACCACCTTCAGGTTCGACATCGAGCTGGTGGGTGTAACCTCCCCTCCGATTGGCCTAGACTTTCGCAACCGTACCTGTCATGAACATCTCTTGTTGATATTCAAACCGACAGAAATATTATGTAAGAAAGGACACGTTAAAATCCTTTTTTTTTGTTTGTGTGAACATTGACCTGGCCAGAGGGGGTTCATCCAGGATATCACTTCCGACATCTGAGGCACATACAATTAAAAAAAATGTTTTTTGATATTGGTGTCCCCCAAAAAACGGCAATGTTGGTTGGCACCAGCACCGGCATCGACCCCATGTGCCAGCGGGATGATGTTGCATATGCCGCAGTTGTAGCTGCGTTCTGGTTTTCAACACCATTTCAGCAACATTGCCAGCTTTGGCTATATCTCTTATAGCAACAGCACACTGCGTTTTTTGAGGTGCTTCATTAGCCCAAACTGGCATCACCAAACCCCAACAATTTCGGATGCTAGATTATGGAGCAATTTTCTTGGTGATATCCACGGATGAAGAGATTAGGCGACAAAACAGCCAGCCCATTTAAATGGACCTCGAATGTTGAAACACCACATTGGATCTAGGACAAATTTGAATATATAGCGGTTCAAAAGTGCATTCAAAACCCCGCAGATGTTCAATCCATGAACGTGTTTTTTCCCGTTGGCATCGTTGTTCACATGGTAAAACCAACTGCACGATCACAGCAAGGTCGTGCACGTGGTAGATGTTTCGATGCTTGGCCTTTTGCTATGCGCGTTTCGGGTCATAAAGTGAAGACATTGAAAAATTGAAGGCCCATGCTTGGACTCACAATCATTTCCGTCACTTCTGATATGGAAGCATCCGTTCTCAGGCCACACTGTGATCGATGTTGGTTACCGGTTCCTTTGTTGATTCATTAGGTACAAAATGTGGAGAAGGTAAGCCCGAAATTATGCTCCACCTGCCGTTTGGCCGAGTTTGGGATGGCTTGACAATCAAGGTTCATTAATTGTGGTAAACACATGAGTTTCACTACTCTGGTGTCTCCGGTGGCTCTTTGAACGTGATGAGCTTGGCAACAATGATGAGCTGGTGCTGGCAGACGGTACTTTTTTGGTGATCCGGGCTTCACCGGGTATATCTATTGTAACACCAGCTGCCTGAGTTTTTGAGGCAGTTTATACGATTTGACAGCCGCCAGCCATTAATAATGGGCATTCAATCATTATTATTCAACGGCCCTTGAAGGCGACTCCTCCATAATGAGAAGGTATGCCAGGCTTGTATACTACTTGTCACTACCACCAACCAATTGGTCTATTTATCATGTGGTGTCACGTTGGGGGGACCGGGGGTCTTCACATTTCAGCGTTTGACTGTCAGGAAGAGCTCTTTGAATACCACAGATGCGCGGTGGAATCTGAGCCATCCAATCAAGCAACCGTCCCTTGGTTACAGAGCACAGCATGCGGTTTACTTGGGGGCATACAGGAATGTAAATAATCCTGGCATAAAACATGGATTATTTTCCAAAAAAAAAAGTAAAATTACCGGATGCCAAGAAGGCCTGTAGCAATTGGTTCACCTCAATATACCGAACGAATTCTAGACGGAAGGGGGGAAAAACTTGAAAGGGATTGTCGCTTTCCACCTTTTCAAATTGATCCAAAGTGAAAGGCAGCACCATGATCAGGTATGCCAATCTCATGTGGGAAAGTGACTTTGCCTTGGCTCCTGCAGGCAAGAAAAATTCCCCGTTTCTGGTGGTTCCATCAAGGATGCATCAACTGTTGCTTTGCCCATGAATTTGAACCTTGAAAAGTTGACGCGGGAGATGTATTTAAGGATGCTAAGTGCCTTTACATTCTTGAATGATCGAATGCAATCAGTGAAGCGGAAGATCTTTACATTGGTGTCGGAATGCCACTGCACAAAGTGAATCGCTCTGAAAATTAAATAAGGGGTATGCAGGAGTCGTGCTTCCATTTGAGTAATCCATCTGAAAATCAACAAATCAGGGATACTTCACTCGCAGTGTTCCCTCTCGGCATAGACCTTCAGACATCCCGCGTGGCAGACGTAGCCAGGTCACACCCAGTGCTCTTTACGTCTCTATGAGCTGGGCACCTCAGGGGTGGATCGCGCAACCATGGCTCCAAATACCATATCATGGGGCAACATATTGGGATGACTCCATCAGTAACTTCATATGTATATATACACATACAGTATATATTGTTTATATTTTATTAGTATTATTATTATATATATTATATATATATATATTATATTATATATTATATTATATATATATTATATTATTTTTACGTATGATGAAATGTATATATATATATATACTTGATAGATGTCAATTACATATTTATATATATATATATATATATCATATATATATATGATATATGTATGTTTTCTAATAAATATATATATATATATTTATACATAAAGATCGTGTTTTTAGCTTGCAGCTGGGATTTATCTGTGACAATAGTATGGGGAAAATACTGGATGATGAGTAGTAACTGGTTAATCGCTATGGTTACTATGCGGGTCTAGCGGTATCCAACTACTTTTTGATATATTAAATATATATGGTAGTTTCCCATAAGAAGGGAATACATTTTAAGAAGTTGGGTTTACTCAACCGGTCCATCCTGTTTTGTGAAGATTTTGTCGCCAATCATGTGGTGCCATTATAGTTCTTGACCTGTTACAGGCGAGCAACTGCAGAACAGCCATGGGTCCTCCCACATTCATGCTGTCAGTATCAGCCCCAGATCAAAATTTTCGCATAATGTTCACCATGTGTAGGATGGGATGGGGTATTCAAAACTCATAGGAATGTTGGAACGGATTGTTTCAAGGAAACCTTTGCAAATTTGGGTGCAAGAACCGCATGTTTTTTTTGGATACAGTACATTTGCATTCCAGGGATTGCTGATTAATTATCCTACATTGTCGGCTGAGTCGGCTGAGGTTCCGCATTTATACCATCACAATCCAATCAAATCCAAGTGGGGTGTATCACTATATTCCATACGTTTCCATACTCATACCACTACGTATATTCCTAGACCGTATATACCACTATTCATTAAAAACAATATATAGCAATATATTCAGATCATATTTTCCATAGCGTTTCTGTCGCGATGTTTCAGGATCATGTCCTTCTGCACTATCCCCGTGATCCTGGCCGATGCACCTGGGGCCAGTTTTACCGGAGCGTTTTTTTTTCCATGGTGAGGGGTAACTGAAGCAGAACAACATACAGTCAGTCATAAAGACGAAAAAATATGATTGTCACATTTAAGCTCATGATTTGTTCATAGCTTCAATCATCCGATCATCATCAGGCATGCCAAAATGAACGCACATTCAATTGGTGAATATCTCACGGCTTTTTAGTACGCCCACACCTGGGTGCAGGACGTCTTGGGTCAACCATTTGATTGGCAGCGGTTCCCTGCGCATGAGATGTTGGTTCCAATCGGCTTTCATTTTTGTTGGACAGGCCGGCTCGACCGGCTCGACCAGCAAATATCTGAGGAAAAATTCCTTCCCTTCAATGAGATTCTCAATTGGTCTGAGCCCCTTGGCAGCAGGAATGGTCCATCCATGGATGTTCTTCATGGTCATTGGGATAATGCCTCTCCATAAGGTAGATTTGGACAAAAACATTCATTGCCCAGCGGTTAGTTCAATCAGCTGGTTCTCTTGTTCTCGCGACTATGATGGTGACTTTCAACATTCCATCCGCGTAAGACATGGCCAAACTTGGCAAGGTGTCAGCTGCACCATGGCCATGGCACGTTGCTTTCAACCCACAACCAGCCCGGGTTTCATCACATGCCCTGTGTTGGTGAGCGCCGCGGTGAACAACATCAGTGACGAAGTTCAAAGACAAATTCAACACGAAAGCATCCTAGAACTTCTTGATTTGACCAAGAAGGTGCCGGTGGCTGGTCATGGATGGTGCTACTGAACATGCCGACATCTTCTCTGCCAGCCCAGCTCTTCACTGACAGGTGTGGGAGTCAAAGCTCTTCGTCCAATCATGTTTTTCCACACCTTCCACCTTCCTTCCTTCCTTCTTCCTTCCTGCTTCGTCGTCTCCTCCTCCTCCTCCTGGCTTGCTGCACTTGCTGCACTCGCTCGCAAATGGCCAGCTCCGGATGCTATGAGGCACGAACAGCACATTGCCAGCTCCGGATGCTGTGGGGCACGCCTTGGCCCGAACACCATATCGCCATAAGCCTTGGTATTTGCGAATCAGCCACATGACAGGTTCAGTGCAGCGGTGGCGTTTGAAGTGGAAAAAAAGGCCGTGGACGTGATTGCCATTCTCTTGTTTGTCGTTGTCTGGCTGCACACTTGGAATCTGAACAGTGGTCGAAACCGCCACAGTGGGGATGACTCGAAATAAAGCAATATTTTTTTAAACTGCAGGAAATGGTTTTCCGTGAGCAGGTCACCCCGCAAAGTCATCTCCTTTGCCGCTGAGACATCTTATGTGGTTCCCAGTGCTAAAGGGATGAGGACAGATTTGTTTTTTCCAAGAACAGCTTGCCGCAAGCATTCAATGAGGTTTCAAAGCGCTTTGCAAGCAGCTGTTACTAGTCAGTTGTATAGCTGGTTAGTTCTGCTTATATCCTCCTCACCATACCAATCACGATTTCATATCACACCATGTTAATCCATATAACAATTTTGCCGACTGACTCTATTGTATCCCATCATATCCGAAGTATCATCGGGGCTCAAGCACCCTCCAAGGCTGAAACCCCCAACTACAGCCCGAGAGTTGGTTAAGAATCCGAAAGCTTGAGGCCCAGGGTCCCTCAAATTCTTTTTTAAAATGCAGTCAAATTTCCACCACAGTAGGTCGAGGTTCCTTTAAATTCCTAGAGCATTCTTAGTTATGTATTGTGTGCATCTGCACAATTTGCGCGGCAGATTTGACAAGAAACATACGAAAAAAAAAGGAAAAACATGTTTTTAGATCCTGAAAATTTGTTTTTCTTGAAAGCCAGGCTTGTCTGAGTTTCATAAGAGCAGTGCTGAAAATATGTAGCCCGCCTTTGATTATGGCCCCTCAAATTCTTATACAGTGAATTCTTGTACAATACTCAAGCTGCAGAAGGTTTCTTAAAGTAGGAGTTTGTTAGCCACTTCTTCACGGCCCAGGCGAATTTTGACCATCGGGTGAGGGCTCACCTATGCGGTTGGTTTCTACTTTCCATATACATATATAATTAATCATATATATAGATCAACGGGCTAGTTGAATTTTCATTTATTGTTCATACAGCTACGGGCATTTATTCGTTATAACTGGTTATAAGTGGGCTTATACATTCAAGAAATGGGGTCAAAAGTACTTATAACTGGTAAAGGGCCATAACTGTACCCCAGACTATGACAGCGATAGTCCACAAAATATTCCAATGTTTCATCAATTAATATTCCACTGAGCTTGCCACAACCTGGATAAATTATAACGACCTTACTGCGACGTCACTGGGCAGGTGGGAATCGTTAGAAGAATTCCGGTTAGAGAATTTCTATAATTCAGCAATATCCATAATTGTAAAAACTTGGCTCGTAACTCACCTGCATTGTGTAGTGTCATTCAATAGCATTTAGTGCCAGACTCCGGATGAATAAAACATCAGTTTTTTTTTGGATTTGTGGTACGATTAAAGCATCATCACTATTTAAGGGAAGTCCCCCATTAAATTCACCATGTTATCCCGAGTTGCGAGTTGCCCAGGATGGCTGTGCTGGTGCCCGAGAAGGTGCCGGACGTGCGGTCTAGAAGTAGCAGGTGATCACTTGTTGGCCAAAAAATGATGCTCTACCGATCTTGGTTTGCTTGATGGTAGTTATTCCCAAATCATGTCGTGGACACTTTGGAGCGGCGATATGGTTTGATTTTAGTGGGAGAACAAAAAGATGAACAGTTCTGTGCCATAAAAAAATCAACTCACTTTTTTACCATTGGGCTCCAGTGGGTTTAATGCTGTTGTGTCTTGCATGATTTTCCTTCAGACTGGATGTCCACAAGGAAATCCAGCCTTTGCAGTTATGAGCACCGCAGTCACCAATGACCCTGCGAAGTCCCACCTGATTGGTTTCATAGGGACCACCAGCCCAACCCATTGTTTTTTGGGGTTAAACATCCAGATCTCTATTGGGGAACTTCTGGCGTTTCATCACTCATTGTTCCCAATTGTTTGTTTTTTCCATATTTCCTAGCGGATCCACACTAATAAATCATGCCAAATCATCAACTATTATCCCAAGTAGGGGCGTGCCGCCAACGCAGCGAATGTCATGCGTCACACATTGGCTTCGCAGATGGCCCATTTGAAATAACCCCATCACATTACCTATTACATCCTATTACACTTATAATACCTCATTGATGACGTCTAGCATAGCGATTGATGACAAGTATGAACCTGTGGCTAGTCATTTGATTATACCCCACCTTTAGGGTCAGAGTGTCCGGAAGTTTTCATTGGGTAAAAGTTAGTGGGTCCGCAAAGTGCCAAGGAGAAGTCCTACAAGTAGGCTATCCCACTCATAGCTGGGGTACTTGGGTGTGCATCCCCGGCACCGTAAGTTGTTCTTGAGTCCTATGCCTTTTGCAACCATATGTAACTCATATACAACGGGGGTACAATATGGTTTTTACATGTTTTTACCCACTTACAATCTGGGATGCACCCCCAGAAGGTTGTGCCCCGAAGTTGGAAATCGGAACTTCTATTCAGTATGTCGCTATATTTATCATAAACCCAACAGTGATTGGAATAAAAAACAACATATAGCTCAGTATGACCACTACGGGGGCACCATGTTTATCCTCATATTTTCAATGGTTGATGATCATGTTCTTTCAAAAATGGCCGTGCTTCAAAGATTACCACCAATTTATATAACAATATTGTCCACCAATTTATGGAATTTTATTGTTGTATAATTGCAAATTACCACATTTTTTTGGATAGTAATATGCATGGTATAACCCCACTTACTACAGTTATGGCCCGAAATACCAGTTATAAGTACTAAACAAACCACATTTATAGAATGTATATCATCCCATAGAAATAACCAGTTACAACGAATAAATCGCCATATAACTGTACCAAGGTACTTCCACGCGATGCTCGGCCAGGAAGCCCTGTCCATCCCCATGCGGTTGCGTAGCATCGACCCTGCGACGCGTTGCGCAATGCGGCGCAAGGCCCATGAGGCGCTGAATTTTGGGTGCAAAAACCATAGTTGGCTGGTTGTTTGGAAGATTGTTTTTATTTTTCCATATATTGGGAATAATAATCCCAACTAACTCATAATTATTTTTCAGAGGGATTGAAGCCACCAACCAGATAGAAATGTGGCAGTTTTCAACGCGTTTCAATCTGGAATAATTTGGAAAGAATCTGGAAAATATGAAAACTTTCTATGTTTTATTGGGAAAAACGAAATAAAACGCTTTGAAACCACTTCATGGGACCATTGGGGTGTTAGCCGAGACATGAGTTTCAGTTGGTTTAGCATTTTTTTCCTTGGTTTATGATCCTTTCGTAGGAAGTTAAATCTTAAGGCAGGATTCTTAGGTATATTAATTAATCTGGTTGCTGCTCATGTATAGCTGTTTCCGTCCTAATTTCAGCTGGGTCATCAAGTGTAGAGTTTCCAGGTACCATTTGCAGATAGTGTCGTTTGCTGTCAGAACTGATTGATGCCACGTTGCCAGCGGGTGACCAGCCTGCTGCAGGCATTCCACAGATACTTTGCAAATGTTTGGACCTTGGATCATACTGGCAGGGGACGCTTAGTGCGAATTAGATGGGCACCGGCATAATGTATACATACCCACTTGGTGGTTCATCCCACTTAAAGATTTGCTAAGTAGGTTAAATCCCAGGTTACAAGTGGGAGAAGTAGGGTTAATCCACTCAAAGCCAGGGATACAGCCCACTCAGTAAGTGGGATGAGCCACCAAGTACGAATAAGCGAATAAGCCATCACAACCTTTACCAGGCATCGCTTGTGTAAAGTGTAAACCATCCCCCCAATCGGAGGTTTATTTTTTCTACTGAGTTTACCACGTAACAAAACACAATCCGCAAAAAGTTGTTTTCTGCATTTGGAACCACGGCCAGCTGAGGGAGGGGAAACTGGCAATCTTGGAGTGAATGGACAGACGATCGGCAGGCTGCAGCCAATTCCCACGTTCTACAAGGTGCTGGACACGAATGGCTCATGCACGTCCTGGCAATGAGGGCTGCCACATCAGCACTGGAAAGGACTGCGTGGTCACCTCAGGAGCTGCAGGTATCTTTTTTAACAACGGTGGAGCATGTGGAGCAGTCAATCTGCGGTGCCCTGCACCTTAAGTTTTCACTGATACCCCCCCCGGTTTCCATTTGTTGTGGATTTGTTTCGGAGTTTATACCGAAGCTAGCCAGCCGCAGCTCAAATATCTAATTAGTATCATTGGAAGTCACATATGTTATATGGATGATTTTTGGAACCCCAACAAAAGGATCGAACAAAACAGTGGAACCGACGACAAAATAGTTATAGCTTGCTGTCTCTATCTCTTTTGGCGTTGCTATATAACAATCTTGAAGTAGATAGAACATTGTTTCTTGAACAATGTATAAATATAAATATATTTATATACATATATATATATATTTAAAAAAAAACATGGTGAGGATTTTTTGAGATACAGTATCCTGTGATTTCCCTGCTTTTTGATAAAGGATCACTAATTCTACATATACATGTACATACATATATATATTTACATATATATATATATATTATACACACCGATGCATACACATATGCATATGCAATAAACATTATGTATATATATATATATATACACATAATATTTGTACATACAGCAGGCCAAGGTTGGCTATGTAGGTGCGGATACCACAGTGCTGTGACCTTCTCTTGGAAGGTCACCGCGAACATCCGGGGTCTCCTGGACGTTTTGCAAATGTACTGGCAGGAAGGACTGACCGCGGATGGAAACCCATTGCGCGGGTTTTGAGCGGGAAGTCTAACCATCAATAATGGACTGGTTGGTGGTTTGGAACATGTCTTTTATTTTTCCATATATTGGGAATAATAATCCCAACTGACTTTCATATTTTTCAGAGGCGTAGGTCAACCACCAGCCAGTGGAGGTTGGTGAAGGTTGAAGCACCAAGTATTGGAGGTGGGACCAAGCACGGAAGGCCATCAACATTGAGGGGAAATCCGCAATTCAAACTCAATCATGAACATGTGGGAGTGCTGAAGGGTATAGCTGGTGGTTGGGAACCACGGGTGATAGGAATTGTACCACCAAAGTGGGTGATATTTCGGGCACCTGTGGGTATAGAAAACCAAGCAACAAGTGGCTGGTGATGATCCCATTTCACCAAATCCTTGCTGCCTCGATAATGGATGATACTCCAGCTAGCCAGGTTTGGTTACCGAAGGGTAATTGAGATGTTGTTTCTCCAGGGGTGGTCAGAAACTAGTCAGAGGATGGCGGGGTTGAGGAACTGCACTGGCCCGTGTCTCTTGCGAAAGGATTGTGAATACCATCGCACCTGAACAGATTGATCAACTAACGGGGCGTTTCTTATGGTAGAACGTGAAGATCTCATTTGCCCCAGTGATTTCAAATATATATATATATAGATATAGATAGGTAGTATATAGATATAGATATAGATAGGTAGTATCCAGAATGGAATGCCCCAAAGGGTCGCAAATTTCACCCACACAAACACAGCACCAGCGACGGCTGCAGGATTTGGCCCCAACGAGGAGTCACGGAGATTGGAGCAAGAGTTCCAGCAGCACTCGCGGCTACGAGTCATTGGGAAGCCTGTTGGGCCATCTGAGATCAAGGGATGTTTAAGTGGCTGTAAGCCCTAATAAATCAATGGTGTTTGTGATGTTTTTTGTGTTCGACTTTTTTGCAACATTGATTTCCTTTTAATCACGTTGAAGCAAACTGGGCTGGTGGTTTTGCATACTGCTGACATTAGGAAATATTAGGGAGGATCATCGTCTGATTGGCAGTTTCTGAAACGCAAAAAGATGCGGATTGCGACCTTGGAGTGCGTACTACTTTTGGCAGAAATGTTTTCTTCATTGTGTTTTCATGTTTCAGGGCCGAAGGAGAGCAAAGGAATCCAACGTTTGTAGGTTTCTCCTAGTTTGTATTTCTTGTTTGCCATTTAGTTTATGGCCATTTCAGCTACCTACATTGGAGGTACCCACCATAGATAAAGGATGTAATAGGGGAATATGTGATATCCCCCTAAAATAGCTTTACACTGTGGATGGATCCTGCACCGCCTTGGATGGTAGAAAGCTTTTAAATCATGGGCTAAGCCACATCACTCAACTGGTGCAGGATTTTTTCCATTCACAGTATGGTGCAGTGCCTCCATTTTAGAGCCTGGAATTCTTATGGATTTTGTTTTTTTAAATAACATGTCGAGTCTCCGAGGCTCTTGTCCTGGTCCCCACTGGCGCAAGAGGTGGATGCGTTTTACTGACCAGGTTTTTGGGAGGGCGATTACCAGATAGCTAACTTGATTTTTGAACTAGATTAACTATGTTTTATGATGTTTTATCTTAGATATTGTTGGATATGATATATCATAATATATCATGATATATCATGATATATCTATAGTCAATGGGCTTCATACACAAATGATCACACATGTATGGGGCACCACCTTTCATTTGGGGCCACACATCCAGAAGTCAGGAGGTGATTTGTTGGAGTTGAACGCTCGACACCTCAACTTGCAGGAGTCCCCCATTGTTGGATATTGACAGCAGTTGGAAACCATCGTGTATAACTGTACAACTATATGCTATAACTACAAAAATCTATGAACTTCCAACGCCAAAACTACAAACACCTATTGCGCACTTTACATTTCAAGAGAGAATAACTATGGAGAATTGACAACATGTTTAAAGTGACTTGATGAACTGCTTCCTTCAGCTGTTCACTTTAATCAATCCACTGAACTCGCCAGGATTTTCAGCGGCGAATCAGCAGCTTGGCCCATTTGCGACATGGAGCGCACTTGGACCAGGCCGAAGGGATGGGAAGCATGTCGAGTGGTTCCGATTTCAGCATTGTTTTTTTGCCCATCTTGATTGATTTTGATTTAAGACTTGCATATGTATGTGTATTTATATATATATGCATATTTGTATTAATTTACATGTACATATGCCTGTGTCTGCCATATATATATATATATATATTACTTGAGTGGTTTGTCCATGGGATGCATTTGAGTGACACATAGACATAGCTAGGAATGTTTCAACATGCCATTCTACCTGATTCACCTTGATGAGCTGCCAGGACAAGGATTGCAAAGTATCCTTAAACGAACCATGGCTGGGTGTGAGAGGGGATGGTTGGGCGATCCAAGTCTCGATTCTTCAGCTGTTTTTGTGACGGATGATGTGTCGCTATCGAAAAAATGTTTGTTTTGTAACGAATTTTGCAGATACCCATGTCATAGATACATTTGATGTGTGTGAGATGCATGATGGCTTGCCTGATTGTATTGCATGAATCATCAAACGGATGACACATTTGTTTTTGTTGGTGTCTTCTCGTAGCAGACGATAGTACTCATGCACCTTGGAAGACTGATGAACTTGCCCCTGTATAGATAATTCCCCGGAAACTCCTTTATTTCTTTTTATAGTTGTTGAATGGAAATTGCAAGTGTTATCTGATCGCGATGTTTTTGTTGTTAGCTTGAATTTTCGAGCCTAAACCATCCTAAACCTGCTATATGTGAATTTTACCTTGGTATCTAAACAACATGTTTTTTTTGCATAAATGCCGAACTTGTCCCTTTTTCCCTGGTTCACAACCTATTTTGTCACTTGTTTAAAGTGCAATCTCTAAAGCATATCACATGCATGTTTTTTAGGGTCATATGCCGGCCTTCCCCCTCTCCACACGGGGCCACGTTATCGAAACCTTGAGGAAGTGCTGACATTTGCTTCCGCAGATCATCAAGCCGGTGACTTGGTGATCGATGGCTGATTTGTCTGGTGGTCAACGTGATGGGGGAACGGTCCATAAGAATTTCTAACAGTTATCCCATGTTTTCCCATTCACCCAGTCCCTACTGAGCACAGTGTTTGTCATAGCTTTGCAACAAGAATCAAGCACCAACAAATAGTGTGATTTCATGATCAAACAAAGCTGAATGGAGGGAATTTTGCCGGGGATTGTATGCGTATGCGTGTAGAATTGCCTCGAAATGGTTGTTTCCTTTTTAACAAAGTCGCCCGAACCATCGGTTTCCCCACAAAACAAACAATCGACTGGATGATCACTTGATGTTTCCTCTTCAAAACCACCCACATGCCTGAACATACCATACCTATAATTACAACCTAACTTCATAGAATTTGGGGTATAGATAGCCACATGTGGCCACCCAAATTCCTTCACTTTTCCGCCACCGCGCCACCGCTGAACGGGGGCGCATTGCCGGCGAACAGCTCAGGTGCTGAATCCCTGGCGTGTTGGGCCATGAGTGCTGTTGGCACTGGAGGCCACCGGGATGGGATCATTGCACGGATTGGTTACTGTCTAATTCGCATGGTACTTCATAAAACGTAAAGCATTTATTGAAAAGTCTATGGGGGCACAAGCAGAACATACGGGATGCGAGGCAAGAGGCGAATAGAGGGAGATGGCAGAACTGGACATTTGAATGGGGTGAATCCCAGGTGGGGGTTTGAAATGCGGCTGCAGAGTCGGCCATCCCAAACTGCATAGTCCCAGGGCCTAGGTGTGGGCCCCTCTTGACATACATGCATTCATGTGAAACATGCATGCCATATGTGTATATATTTTTGAACATCTTATCTTTGTCAGTAGTGTGTATGTTTTAATATATGTATGTGCGATGTATGTATGCAGAGGTGCTTGCTATACGTTTGTACACTGTACATTGCATAAATCTGGGTGAATATACTGTAGTGACTTCACTGTTACCTCACTGGAATCATGGTTTATATATGTGGAATTATGTGGAATTATCTGAATATTGGCGAACTTTCCAGGTTAGTGAGTTCTTATAATTTGCCCAGATAAATGCATACACAGGTACCTACCTGCAGTGTAACATATGGCTGCCCTCAGGGGCCGTGTCCTGGGAGATGCTTTCGAAGCATTTCAAGGCGGCCGTTTCGAGAAGTGCCATTTGGGAACCGCATTTTTTTGGTAAACATTGGTGGATGGCCAGTTTGTAGGTGATTATATGCAGCAACAGGTATTGGAAGAAGATTATGTGAACAATTCTGAACTAGTTTTTCAAGGTGTACTGATAGTCAAGGTCTGTCATAGTTGTGGTAAGAGGAGACAAATCCAACTTGAAACAGTTTTAAAATTCAAGCATCTTTAAACCATGGTTATATAGGCAGAAAAAATGTTGGATAAGTTCCAACAACAACAACAACAACAAGAACAAGAACAACAACAACAACAACAACAACAACAACAACAACAACAACAACAACAACCCATCACACGCATGGCTGGCCTTAAACATTAAACATGTTGGAGGCTCACCCCCTAAAAGATTGACATTTGGGTGGTAAAAACATATCTTACCTTCTTACACCAAAGTTACCGCCAGCACTTGTTCTATGCCCCAAACTCTTTCTGGATGATTTTCGGGCACCTCATTTTGGATATTTCTGGTATAACCTTACAATACTTTGCGGCCTTCCACTATGGATGTTCGAACCCAGGGACGTGTTTGATCCTCTGCGAGGAATCTGCTGTCCGACAATCCTGGTTTTAGCACTTTTTACTTACAAAAACCTCTCTCTCTCTCTATCTATCTATGTCTCTCTGTGGTTGCAAGACACGTGTCATCTGATGCTCTCTACCAAATATCCTCTGCTTAATCAATCTTACTTTTCACACCTTATCCCTCCATAGCTCATCAAAATTCACCAACCATTCACCGACTATCTTTTACGATTACCATCCTCAGAGCTGCTTGAAAAGCATCTTTTTCGCTCTCGGGCCAACCGTCGTCTAGTTACTTACAAAAACCTTGAAACGAACTTAGAAAAACCCTAGGAAAGACCCTAAATGAACTTTAAAGACACCCTAATTGAACATAAATGAAGCCTAATGGGGCGTAGCGCACGTGCTGCGGGCAAACTTAGAACCTGGAGATTGGAAACCACCCAGTGCCAGTATGATCCATGCAGCCGATAGACTCTTGGCAAGTGGCCATGAAATATTTTCAAATGGTGTTCAACAGGCTTCACGTCTACTTCGAAAAAGGACAACTTCATTGATCCATAGTGAAAAACGCATGTTTCAACATTTAAACCCATATTTATCCCAGTCATTTACGTAATCTCCAGAAAATTTAGGTCAAAGAGCTTCTGAACCGAAAGCACCCGCCAGGCTTTCCATGGCAGCTCGAGCAAAGAAGAGCTCCACCATATCTTCCAACAGAAAGATGTTCCTTGGGCTGGTGGCCACGGTGGCGGGTTCCTGAGGTAAACACGGAGCTTGACATGTGGAGATTCTGTATGAATGGCGATTTGCTGCCAGGTTCGGGGCGACGTAATCAGCAAATGCTTTCAAGATGATTCTGCTGTCTAGACGTGTGTCGGTGATTCCTTTTCATGTGTGCGGTAGTCTGTGCTCTGAAGAATTGAAATCAGAAACAATCAGCCAGGTGCTGTTGTCTACTGGTCGAAAGAGGTGAACGATATAATCCCATGTAACCCCACCAAGACTGGCTGCAAAGATTGGCTATCAAACCTATCATTGAATCATCGTCGGGGCTAGATATGCACGGCCAAGGTCGACGGCTGCTACCTCAGCTGGGAGGAACTGGGTGCGGTGGGAATTTTGGAGAGTTCAGGACGAGGGGAAAAGGGTGACTGTATAACTCTGTTTACACCAATGATGTATTGTTGTAGTAGTTGACTCACATATAAATTCACTGTAATTCTGAAGTTCGTTGCGTTGCTGTCTGTGAATTTGTTGGGTAATTCTATTGATCTAGGTCGCATGGGCTAGAGATGAGGCTGGTAGTCGAAACCCTTCCGCGAGAAGTTCATGGCACAAGTTAAGGAGTGTGGGCCACACTTTGGTAGCTAAAAGATACTAATGATGGCATCCTTAGGGGTGCATCCTGTTGAGTAAATGGAACTGAAGTATGCTGAAGTATTTCCCACGTATAACTGGGTGATCATATGTGATAATATGTTGATTGTTAATGCCCACTTACCAAGTCGGATGCACATCCCAGCGCCTTGCAACTAAATAAGCCGGTGCAGTCTCATGTCACTGACATGTTGGCCCATGACCTGTATAGCCAGAGGTGACATGGCGAGCAAGATGACATAGCCCCAAAAATATATGAGGAAACATCGCACGACTCAGGCGTTTATCGGATACAAAATCGTCTCAAGATATCTAAAGTCTAAAAATCATATAGTATCATTGAAGTTTTTGGGATTAAAAGCTGACATTTCTTATATAGATGATTATCCCAGCTGGAAACCTTCATTTAGTTCGGTGATTTCCCAGCTTTCCATGCTTGATTACCAGAGAGTAAATTTAATTAAATAGATTGCAATAGACCATTAGATAGCCATTACTATCAATGATTCACCATGTATCAAATATTGACAGTTTTCATCATTTACCCAGGGCCATTCCAGGCTTTGTTGCTTGCACAAAAATAAACCAAGGCAATGGGCTCAGCCTGAAGGAAGGTCAAGCCTGGCACGAGGCGGGGTCTGCTTCTGATGCATGGGGTTTAGTTACATAAGGATTGTTTAATTGAATCTCTTAGCTGCTTAGCTGAAAGATACACCAAAAAAATGAAACAAGAGTTTTGTAGGAAAGTTGTAAATTTAGTTTTATGATGCTGTGGATGGAACGCTGTTTGTAGGACATACTGGCGAGATTCAGGATTCCATTTATATAGCACTGTTGAATGCTTGCCAGTCCCGGTGATGAAATTGAAGCCAATACATGAAAGCTCACACAAGCACATCCGACCAAAGCAACTATTCCAAGATATGGGTCAGTACCGTCCGAGTTAGTAGCTATGGGAAATGACCCATTGAAAAAAAAGGATAGGCATGATGACCTACCTATTAAACAATGGTTAATTTCCAGTTCGCTACGTTAAATTACCAGAGGGTAACCCGGCGATGTATGAGATACCCTTGGTCATATATGAATATATTTATTTATATATATATATATGCATACACCGGCTTTACGTTGCTGAGTTACTGATTAACTCGGATCCACAATCAGTCGTAGACAAAATCAGTCTGAGAAAGGAGTCACATCCAAAGGCACCGGAGTCACAGGAGTTGCCTCAAGGCTGTGAAGAAGTTGCCCATTCGGCTTTTTTCTCCAAAAAAGCCAAAGGGCAAGGGAAAGGATCGCACACCAACTGGGAAGACAGAACCTCCCTTGGGAAAGCCGAGGGATTCTCAAGCTTCAAGCTCCGATGCTGTGATTGACCTGGTGGGGCATCATCTGTCAGGGGCAAGGCTGGACCTTCAGACTTCCAGCGGATGGGCGTAACAATTGCTGAAGACTGCCCGCATCGTGATGGGAAAGCATGGTTCTTGAGAAGTAGGTGCATGAAATTGCATCTATCATGGTCCATGGGGCTATGCAGACTCCATGTGTTCCCAATGGAAATGCTGTTTTTTTTTAAATCACCAGTCATAACTAGCAATTACAGGTATATACCTAGTAGACTCTAGTGCCAAAATGGACATCTATTGGCAAAATCATGGTGAACCAAGGGATTTTGGGGCGCAAATCCTGAGACAATCCCATGAAATGCGAGGATTTGGAGCTGCTGGAGCTCTTGGTGACTTCTGTACCTGAGCTGAAGGATAGAAGGAGAGGATGGTTCGGGTACTTGGGCCCCAGTTGGGGTTAGAATTGGGTATAACCATGGTGATAACCGATAGCCTCAAGAATTGGCATATAACCTCTATATCATCCATGGTTAGTTATCGATTTATGACTGCAACTGCATCCCTCAGTTGGGGCTAGAAATGGATGCACACGCATCGCAAGTGGGTCACGTGTGTAGTAGCATGTAGATTGCTCGGTTGGAATCACAAAGTTACAAACCAACCTACGCGGAAAATTGGGATGCACTGCCAAGTAAGAAATTACCTGGTTGGTGGTTTGGAACCATGGAATTTCATGACTTTCCATATATTGGGAATGTCATCATCCCAACTGACTTTCATATTTTTCCAGAGGGGTTGAAACCACCAACCAGCTGTAGTATCCAGGAATATCTGGTAATTACTGTAGTTGCCTAAAGTGACTGGGGGTTAAATAATTCTATATACATACACATCGCCCATCATTGTCCGGGTACGATATTGCAGGTGTATTCGAATTCCTGGCGTTTGATTCCAACTGTTTCATCCCATGATTAAATCATGATTTGTGGCCATGTTAGTAACGCAATGATAAACCATCCCAAAAATTACCATAAATGGTTGGTATGAAGCATCAAATATATATATATATATATGGTTGGTGGTAACATTTTTTACTTTCCATTTCATAATATATGGGATGTCATCCTTCCCATTGACTTTCATATTTTTCAAGATGGTGAAAACCACCAACCAAATCCATGTTTGATAGTGAAACTCCAATAAATCACCATTTTGGATGGTAAACTCCCTATGAAATCCCCATTTTCCAAATTGTTAACCAAATAATATTATAAACCAGCCATAATACTATAGCAATACTATATATATATATATATTATATATATATACATAGGTGATTTATGATTGACCTGAGCTCCACGAGGCTTTCCATCACTTGGATTCTGACTGGGACCAGCAGCTGAACCGCAGGGAGTTTGAATCCGTTGAGGCCAGGTGAGTTCCTTGCCGGTTCGGTGGGGCACCAGTTGGATAGCTAAGTTGGTTTACTGTATTTGCAAAGGTTATAACTCTTGGGTTGATGGATGATTGTGGTATATCTATATGTATATATATATATTTATTTATTTATTTATTTAGATCTTTTTTTATAGATTTAACAATTTATATATTTAAACAAATAATAATAATAAAACAATAATATATTTTTAAATTTAGATATGTATATATATATATCTATTTATATATATAACAATAATAATAATACTGATAATAACAATAATAATAAAGATAACAATAATAATATGCGTAACAGTAACAATAAAAAGAGCCATAAAACCATAATAATCTATATCTATATATAAAAATTATCGAAGGAAGTTTAGAAGTCAAACTTCCGACAATATGGACAGATGAAAAGCAGAGCAGGGCAGAGGCAGAGAGAAGAGAAAGATCAGAAGAGAGAAGATTAGAAGAAAGAAGAGTAAGAAGAAAGAAGATGCAGATGCCTGAAAAGGTAGGAAAGTCGCGAAACGCTGTGTTTTTCCAATGATTTGGGGCTCCGGAGGTTCGAAAAGAAGGCTCGCTAAAGCGGCGGGTGCGGAGCCAGCTGGCCAGATGAGAGATGAAAAATTGCACACGGTTGTGGCGCGAAGCACATTTGCAAGTCAAAATGTACAAAACACCTGGTGCTCGGAGCACTTTTGGAAGTTGAGATGTTGAAAAAGTGCACACCTTTGTGGCGCGAAGCACATTTCCAAGTGAAAATGTTTACAAAGCACACCAGGTGCGGACCACTTTTGGCACTTGAGATGTCGAAAAAGTGCACGCCGTAGTGGCGCGAAGCACATTTCCAAGTCAAAATGTACAAGACGCACCAGGTGCGGACCACTTTTGGCACTTGAGATGTCGAAAAAGTGCATGCCGTTGTGGCGCAAAGCACATTTCCAAGTCAAAATGTTCAAAACACTAGGGGTTCGAACCACTTTTGGAGGTTCAGATGTTGCTTCGCTTCGCTTCACTACACTACACTACATTACACTAAAGACAGGTAGACAGATAGATAGATAGATAGATAGATGGATAGATATATAGATAGATAGGTAGATAGATAGACAGGTAGACAGCTAGACAGATAGACAGATAGACAGATGAAAGAGAGAGAGAGAGAGAGATAGATAGACAGACAGACAGATAGATAGATAGATAGATATTTAGGTAATTAGATGGAAGAGAGAGAGAGATAGATCGATAGATAAATTGATTCATAGATAGATAGATAGATAGCTAGATAGATAGATAGATAGATAGATGGATAGATAAGATAGAAAGATAGATAGATAGATAGATCGATGGAATGGATAGGATAGGATGGGATGGGATAGGATAGGATAGATAGATAGATAGATAGGTAGGTAGGTAGGTAGGTAGATAGTCAGAGAAAGAGAGAGAAAGAGAGGAGACCTCAAGCCCTTTTTGGTCTGGTCCATCAGTGGCTTCGCTCTGCCATCCCTGATTCACAACAACCAACCTCTCCTAAAGGTTTCTTTTTTTGAAACTTCCGCCACCGCCTTGTGCGGTACTACTGGTATCTATATCTATATCTAATCTACAGTTGATGGGGCTTAGAAACCAAGAAACATCATGGGGGCCACCACCTTCGTAGAGAAGCATCCATGACATGTTGGAGAGAAGCATCCATGACATGTTGGAGTATGCCTTCATGATACCGCACATGATATCGCATCAGCTTTTCAATCCAATGCTTGCCATGTCACCCAGGTGATCCAGGTACTTCTGATGCATTTACATACTTTTAGAACCTTTTGGAAATGATCAATGGATTTGTTTAAGGGAAAATCTTCTGGAAAAATGGCCAATATGGAGGTTTCCAGTTTCAATCTTCCCTTAAACCAATCCATTGACATGACCATGTACAGTAGATGCACAAGCCATACGCAGATGGTAGTCTGACCTGACCAGGCATGCGAGGATGCCTTGGATTTTTCGACGCCCAGATCTCAAGCTTCGCATCATGAATGTGAACGAGCCTGCTGTTGGCATTGTAACTGGTGGGTTCACCTACAACAGACTAGTGGTAGAATGAAGTTCTTTGAAGATGCTATTCTGGGGATATAGTGGATCCATTTGGATTTTCTTGGGATACGATGCGAACTTTCAACAAAAAGGCACCACGTTGGTTGGGTGGACCCCTGCCGCTTCTGACACGGTAATAAACTGGACCTCCGTTGAAACCTGTATGCATAGCTTGATGGTTGCTGAAGCTGTGTAGGATACCATGCCTCTAAGGCTAGATTTCAACAACGACAGCCACATCGCCAGGTCCTCAGTCTTGATCCATTGTGGGGAATTGGGTGAACAATTCCATCCAAAAAACGGGATATGGGCACAAAAGGATGGTTCACCCATGTTGAACCCATGGCTAGCCCATGTCAAGCCACAAGAACGTCCCCACCATTTGTCTGTGTCATGCTGTCCTTGTCACGTCTCTAGATGTGTTTTCTGCTGTTTTATAAGATTGACCTTGTTTTGTTCGCTGGTGCTTTGACACAACGTGTGTTTGTTCCATCAGTGGAGAAGATGAGTAAATCCAGCTCCTTGGGCATGACTTTGAGTTTCAGTATGTTATATTTGGTAAAAAAATACTTTACTTCGTGTGATCCCCACCATGACATTTATACATTTTGTTACTGGCAAATCTTCTGGCATTCTATCTGACATATTTTCTGGCATTCGATCTGGCATTCTATCTGGCATATCTTCTGGCATTCTACCTGGCATATCTTCTGGCAGATGTTCTGGCATATCTTCTGGCAGATGCTCTGGCATATCTTCTCTTCTGGCATATCTTCTGGCATATTATCTGGCAAATCTTCTGGCATTCCATCTGGCATTCTATCTAGCATATCTTCTGGCATATTATCTGGCAAATCTGCTGGCATTCTATCTGGCAAACATTCTGGCACTTTATCTGGCATATCTTCTGGCATTCTAGCTGACATTCTATCTGGCATTCTAGCTGACATATTCTATCTGGCATTCTATCTGGCTATACCTTCTGTCATTCTATCTGGCATATCTTCTAACATTCTATCTGGCATATCTTCTGGCACTCTATGTGGCATATCTTTTGGCGTGGATACTCGCGGTTGAGGTCCGGCAGGGAACACTTGGCATGGATACTCGCGGTTGAGGTCCGGCAGGGAACACTGGGCGTGGATGGTCGTGGTTGAGGTCCGGCAGGGAACACTGGGTGGGGATGGTCGTGGTTGAGGTCCAGCAGGGAACACTGGCGGTGGCGGGATGGTCGTGGGTGAAGGCGGCAGCACACAGGGTAGAGAGGAGACGAGGAGAGGAGACGAGGAGAGGAGAGGAGAAGAGAGGAGAGGAGGAGGAGGAGAAGGAGGAGGACGAGGAGGAGGAGGAGGACGAGGAGGAAGCAACTGACATAAAATCTAACAACCCTCACCTGGCAGGTGGGGAACTATGTTTGCGTACCCCTGAAGGTCAAATGACTAATTTTGCTGATGATATATAACTGGTAGTGAAAATCCACAATTAGCCCAAGTGGTAAAATGGGTTATATACTTGCATTTTCTAGGCAGCTTTCAACAATGGCCAGCTTTCATCCATTCATCGCAGGCCCTGCGCGAGCTGCTTTGGCAACCCTTGCTGTCCTGGGAAATACGACAACTGGCCTTGCAGCAAGGCGTGGCGGGGTAGGAACCTCAGTGGTAGAGGGAAATCATTCCGCAGAGTTGCTCAGCTCCAACTCATTACAGGTACCCTCTGGTTATTTAACATAGCCATGGAAAATGGCCCATTTATAGATGGTTTACCTATTAAAAATGGTGATTGTCCATGGCTATGTTAAATAACCAGGTGGTAAATGATAGGCATAAGTGGAATAAATTGGCGGCCATTTTACCTCCTATATTTAACCGTTTTTTTCCCCCCTTGTACCTGGGGTGTTTGGAGCAAAACTGACAAATCGCTTAGGTCTAATTTAGATTGATTCGGAACATGTAGTGCTTGGTTCCGATGAATACGAAAAACACATGAAAACACTGTCATTTTTTGTTTTTTACTGCTACCTCAGTATTGTCTAATTGCCAAAGGAGCCCCCTTCATAATCTCATTCAGCTTCATAATGAATTGCCTCGGTGGCAAACGGCACCGTATGTTTGTGGCCACCGTATGTTTGTGGCCACCCCAGCATTTTGTCAACGGAGTTGGTCAAGGAAAAACCTGCAGGAAAACATCGAGTCTTTCCATTTATGGGGGCCTCGGGTAAAGTAATGATTCCTTCAAGCAGCTTTGGGATGTTGCAATGTGGGCCCCCAAGATAGTTAAAGCCGGTTTCTAAGTAAATTAGGCTGATGATGTGGTAGAGATATCGACCTGTTTTTCATGGAGTGCTGAAATCAGCCAACGAATGTTTAACTGGTGGGCACCACCTTGAACCGTATTTTTTTCATTTAGTAGTTATCAGTATTCAATGCTATCCCCATGGTTTCGAATTCATCCCCGTAGAACATGATGGTTACCTTAAACTTAAACCATCATTTATTGATTATCAGTTATATCCCCATGGTTTAGATTTTATCCTCTATGGTTTCATACGCCATTCTATCCGATGGGTCGTGTTGCTAGGCTTTGCCTTGGCCGATGAAGACCAAGATGGACAGCTTAGCGACTGGGGCCAATGTTGATTTGGATCTTAAACGCTATAACAGACATTAACACTATAATTCCATCATTTGATGTGCTATAAATGGGCATGAAGATGTTCAACTTATGCTATATCAGTTGGACCTTTTTAGGGATGTGAAATTAGAACTTGAACTCATTTTGCGCTATATGTATGATATGAATGGGTTTTAAGATCAGATAACATCATCATGGGCATTAATTGGGAAGTACTGCTTGAGATTGCGAGACAGGTGCCAGAATGTGGCGCTGGTTGGTGGTTTTCTTGATCTGGGTAGTTTTGCCAACATCATGGTTTGCTTCTGCTGTTCAGTTCTGCTTCTAAGCATTTTGGGGTCTCCACGCAATATCATTTAATTTGGTTGGTGGTTTGGAACATTTTTTATTTTTCCATATATTGGGAATATTAACTCCAACTGACTTTCATATGTTTCAGAGGCGTAGGTCAACCACCAAGCAGTGATGTGTTTTGGTATTTTCAGCTGGCATTCCCGCGCTTTGTGGATAGGAAATCCAAAGGATTGGATGTTTGTTGGCATAGTGGGACTGATTTCACCCTGCAGTGTCCAGACTTCCCAGGTGGTCCAGAGATGGAAAGGCCAGAGATGGGTATCCAAGAAACCAGTTGCTGGGTTCCGAAAAATGGGTACTGATGGGCCCCCAAAACAAATCAAACAAGGGCATGGTCGGTTCACCTTACCATGAAGCTGTTTTAAACCATCTAGCTTTGGGGCTCAGTCATTTCGAGCGGTAGTCAGCTTAGTAATGGATCAACTTGAAGTGATCAGGAGTCCTGTACCCATTTGGATGAGAAAGTCGGCTAAAGATGATCGCCTGTGGTCACAATGACTTGCAGTTGCAGATACTTGAAGTACCATGCTGGTTTGTAACATTTTTCCATATCCAATTCACATGTTTAACAAAAAAACATCCCAACAAAATAAATTCTCCTCGTGACAAAACAAATTCTCCTCGTGGCATCATATTTGGGAAGTGTATGCTGAGCAAATGGATCTCATGTGTTGTTTTTCAGTAAATATAACCACGCATGGTAAGTCAAAGCGCATTAATTTCTAACCATTGAGGTTGGTTTCATACTTACAACTTACAACCTCAAAACCCTTTTGGAATACAAAGAGTAGACATACATTCCACTTATATAATACAAGGTGGCGCCCCATAGCTAGCAAAGTTAGTGAACATAACTCCGAAAACTTGTCCGTTTATGGTAGATATACCTTTAGTAGAACTGTATAACTACCATTAGCTATAGAATGCTGAACCCATTGTAACCATTAATAACTTTTGATAGATATTAACTTTTCACCATAATTAACGTAAACGTTAACTATAGTATTAAATAGTATATGTGATCATTGCTATTCTATAGTTGATGGTGGCTATAAACCAACAAACATCACTGGGGCCAGGCCCTCCGGGCAGCAGCTGCTGCATCTGCTCAGCGACGCTGCGACGACATCCTCGTCGTTTCAAAGCGCCGGTTGCGTCGCACGGACCTGGCGCCGGGAGGAGCCCTGGGCCCAGGAGCTGCGACGTTGCGGTGCGCTGGGGATGGGGATGGGAGGAAAGTATGGGAAAAAACAACTTGGAAAATCTTGGGAGGAAAGAATAGATGTGATATTCTATTAGTTTCTAGATATTATGATCCTATTGGAAATGAATCATAAAATACTTAGAAAAGCTTGGGAAGATATGAATGATAGAGGGTGATAGAAAATGAGCCAGGTTCTAAACCCTTGTGTTCATGTTAAGCAAGGGGCCCCTTGTAAGGGTGTGGCGTAAGCAAAGCTGTGGTGCGCGTAAGCCAGCGCAAGCTCCGCGTAGGACAAGGTATGCGCGTAAGCAAAACGTGCACGCGCGCGTAAGCAAAACGCAAGCAATGCCGCAAGCATTTCCTTATTTGGTGCCAGGATGTAAGACATTTAGAACATGGCTCAAATGGGATTTGACTAATGAAAAGCTTGGGAAGATCAATGATCATTGGTTTGGGGTGGAAAGATGAATTTGACAGATGGGATATTATGGGATGATTTGACAGATTTGACTGATTCAGCTTGGAAAGGTGGGAATATGGATAATAGATGGTGGTATTATGGGATTTGACCGGCAATGATGGTTTAATGATAAACCAAGATGGTGATAACTTCAGGGTTTGTCCCAGGGTTTTAACAATTGGGAAGTTGGGGAGTGGTCACGGGGAAAAAGATCCTAATGGAACATGTGAAGGAACCTATGTTTTTGTTTAACCATCAGACCTGATAGCTTCCATCGATCTTTACATACCTTGAAAATTGGGAAACAGACATATTAAATCCTAGAGATAGTCCAGAATTTTGTGGGTATGCGGCCATTCAGTACCTTCGAAAGTGGACATTTTTCACCGAACCAAAACGCTGCCGCCGCCGTTGGGAGGTTTTGTGCACCTGTTGCCGGGCCTATTTCCAGAGGCATTCGTCACCTGGATCGGATCGTTGGATGGATCATCCCAGGTCGAAGGACCGAAGAAAGGTGGGTTGAATCTGGGATGAAATTGGTTTAGACCCACCAGAAAAGCTGGCAAAAAAAAACATCAAAAAACTGAGCTAAGCTGGGTTGATCCAAGAAAATGAAAGAAAAAGGGTCGAAGGAGCCAATGATTATGATGAGAATATGTGTTGCTGATGTTGGTGGGTTCTAGCATGATAGAGCTACATTACACCATGTTGTGTCTTGGTGAGCTTGATGTAATGGCAGGGTACCTGCTGTTGCTAGAAGTTAATTATCGACCAGGGACCACCATTACCTAGGAACTAACATAGCGAATCATAGCTATGTAAATGCGCTTGGGACAGGTTTGAGAGAACCGAGTGAAAACGTTGCAAGCCAAAACCAAAGAGTGCTGGAACATGCACGAAGCCGTCAGTTTGAGTTTTCTCGGCCGCATGTTCAACGTTTCACTCTCGTGCCATGAGCTGACAAGAACACATGGAAAAAGAATCAGGATTTCCTATATATATATATATCATACATGTATACATTCATATCTATGGAATATTATAATCCTACAATGGTAATTCAATGGAAAATGGTAATTCTACAATTGACAAACATAGCTCTTATGTTACGTCCTGAAGGGTGAGTTTTTATCGTTATACCTTGGTGCAAGCCACGGACAGCACCTCAGGTGACTGAGACCTTAACGCTGGCGAAACGGTCCAATTGCAGCGTCACGTGGCAGTGGTGGTGGTCATGGTGTGGTGGTGCTGAGGTTGGTAAAATCTGATAGAAAAAAAAACGGGTTGTTTATGGTTCTTTGGGATAGTAATAGTATGATGGCTTTTTGGGGGTATACTTTTGGGGTTTGTTTTGAAGCCGCTAACCATCCCCCGCAAAAAAAGAGTCCTTGGGGAATCAGAAGACGGTCAAGGTCCCCCCATTCTACGACCCTGGCTGCTGCAAGGTGCAACCATTGAATGCAGAAGGGCGGCTTGACTGATTTTAATGCCTCATGTGAATTCTTCAGTTCCACTCATCGCCATATATCGAAATATATCTGTATAGACTTCTCTGATGTTCTATCCAAGATTGGGGTGGTTGAACTCGGTGATCAAGATTTAACCTCCTAACGATTTCTATTTGCCTTGGCAGGATCTCGCTGGATCATGGAGACTTGCGACAGGCACTGCAGGCCCAAGAGCTTTTGACTGGCGGCTTGTGATGATGCTGTGGGAACTGTGGGGTGGAAACGGATCAACGGTAACCTACCAAAAATATCCAAACACCATATATATAACTGGAAACCATTGAAACAAGCCGCATACTTCGATACGTAAGAAAGACACACAACCAACAAGGACGAGAATTTCAAAGAAAACAAGGCAGAGCAAACAACCATTAACACACATGACCAAGATGGCCAGCATTTAACCCTCAACACCCTAGAGACTGAACATGTAACCTCGCACCATCTAATTTTCATAAATGATCAACCAATTTGATGCTCGAATATTTGAGTTTCATGTGAAAAGTAAGGGTGGGTTGGATCTTCCAGACATTTCAAGCCTCAACCCAGACGAAACAAGAGATTAGGCTTCCAGAGTTCTGGGCTGAATCCGTAGGCCCCAAGCACCGTATCATCCTATCATCCGCAGATTTGTTTGTGCAGAAACGATTCGCTTGACGTGTGCTGTGCTATGTGTTGGTCTATTTCGCTCGCAGTTGAACACTTTGAACTTGAGGGGCAGCAGCCACCCAAAGTACCTGCAAGCGGTCCTATCACCGAACCAAACTTACTGACCTTACTGTAGACCTGGCCGTGGGATTCCAAAAGCTCGCACCTGGACGGCACATTGGACAGGAAGTGATGAGCCCAAAGGAGTGCCTCTTGGCACCAGATCATTGTGACTCAAGGTATCACGGAGAGGTTGAGCACTCTGATGGGAAAGTCATTGTCAAGTATAGCCTAAATACATCTAAATACCTAAGCATAGGAATCCTAGAATATAGATACGGGAGTACGTTGATCGTCGATGGAGCTTTTTCTAGGTGGATTTTTTTCTGTGAAGTGAACAGCTTCCTGGTCCCTCTAGAAGCGTCAGCAAGGTTCCAATTGGCAACAGCGCAGTCCCAGGAAAACAAGAACTCCGCATTTATATAGAAGGTTGCCCCATTGAAGTTGCCGAGGTAAACAGCCCGAAAATCTGGCTGGCTGCTGCAGCCGCACACATCTACATGTATTCATATAATTTATTTTTCTATATATATATACATATATATATAGGCCTGCGTGTTGAATTATTCCTCGTATGTTGAAGCCCAGGTGACATTCTTGGTCCATTTGGGATGGGTGGGAGAAGTCTTTCACCACCGCTGCAGGCTGCGAAGTCCTTGCGCTACAATTCGAATGCCTCCCACAGTTCGAGGATTCAAAGCTGGGCTGGCAGTTATCTGGGTAGCAACGGGGGAAGTCAGAATGGATGCATGATTACACATAATTACACATCTGGTTAACACAAGGAAAACTGTGCATTTATTTTTACATCATTTATTTATGTACATCCCCATTCATTGATTTACATGTTTCTATGTATTTATTTGTCATGTATCTATGCACTTATTTGTTGTCTATTTTTTAAAGCTATCTACTACGCTATATATTTACTTGTATAATTAATGTTATATAACTATAAGTTGTTTATTTATCTATCTTTATACATTTGGATCTATGTATGTTTCTCTATATATATATATATGCGTGCAAATACACTGTGTGTGTGTCAACATGTTTGAGCGTATGTGTATATATATATATATATTATATGTGTGTATGGTTATTTATTTACGCGTGGATATGCAGTCATATGTTTAATGTATATATCTGCTTACGTACGTGACAGCTAACGTGCCCATGTAATTTGACCTTCTTGTTGAACACCAGTTATCATTGCTCACATGCTGTTACATCCATGAAATTTTATTTCTGGCCATACAGTTTGGCAATGGGATAGATCTATCTATCTAACCTGCAATCTAATCCAACCTAGTCCAATATACGTCACTCACATGCTCCATGTACTCAATATTTACTTGCATTTGGTGTATTTCAGGCGTAAATGCTCGCAAATATTCCATACAAGGAGAGGAGGGGTCAACTGTCTATTTGGTGGATTAGTTCGGGCTCCCATAAGAACCCCAACTAGTATCTTCTAGGACTAGAGGTACCATCGTTGGGAGCCGAAGTTCCATGGCACAACTGGTGGAGATTGCTGAGATCCCCAATTTTTCATACGAAAACCATAGGAAAACCCACTCGGGGCTCGACAGTGCCACCCACCCGTCGCAGGACGTGGATGCCCCGGCGTGGCGTGGCAGCAACTCTCCAGGCCGAGAGGTTGAGCGCTATACAGTGCCGCTGGTGGAATGTTCGGGGGGTGGGGCGCTTGTTGTGGCGGGAGGCAAATGAACATGTTCATTACTAACATGTCCATGTTTTGAGGAGTTGAACATATTCGGACTTGCAATTTTTGCAAGAAAAAATGCCAGGATTAACGAGATTTATGTGCAGATGCAACCAGGTAAGGAGCTCCTACATCTCCTACCTTTAAAAAGAACAATTTTTTATGGCTCAAACCTGCCAACATACGAGTCAGAAGCGGGTTCTAGTGCTTTTGATAGCTGTGAGGTAACATGTATTGAAAAAAAATAGGAATTGTTATTCTTGTCTTCACTTTAATTGATTTGTTAGGTCAGGCTTTTTGGGGGTTTCAACACCTATATGACCCAGATCTTCGCAATTGAAATAGCCAGTTCATCATTCCGATCGGATATCCCACCTATTTTTGGCGAACTTATGTTTTGATATGTTTTGGAAATCGAGTTCAGACATGTTCTTTTTGCCCCCTAAACCTAAAGATGCCCTAAAATTTGAGAGCGCATGCCACTAAGTCTGAGGTGCTTTTGGTGTTGGAGCCCGTGCATCTTGGCAGTGTCGACTTAGTATCCCCTTGTTATGGGTTTATATGGGTAATAAAATGAATAAAATTGGTTATGTATGTATATATACATATACATATAAATATATACAAGTATATACATATATATGTACACACACATATGAATATTTATATATATATACACATATGAACATAGATATATAATTATATATATATTTACATAAATGTACATATATATATATATATATACATATATATGTATGCATATGGATTAAAAAACCACTTACTAAGTGGAATGCACATCCAAGTATTCATTCCCAAGATTCATGGAACCGTCATGTCGAGGAGTCTTACCAAGAAATGATTGATTTATGGAACATAGATCAAGCTTCCCAGCTGGAATCCTCATGTCAGCGTAGAAGCTTTCCAAGAATTGGTATATACTGATATATCATGTGTCTTTCACCCTCAACCTAGAGGTAGGAATGAATCCGCTATAGTGCGTTCATTGCCCCGACATTTTGGCTCTTTGTCGCATTTTATAGCATGGACACTTTGAGGGTTGAGGTAAAGAGGGTAGGACACACATAAGACATGTGGAGACTATGCGACGGGTGTCATGGCCGAAAATGTCCAAATACCTTGGATCCGTTCCACCTCTTTGTGACACAAGACTTCCCCCGCCATGTTCGTTACAGCACATGGTGTAACTGTAAGTATATACTAACAGAAAAGCCGAGGAATTTGCATGTCAAAACCAAATAAGGTATACCAGGTTTTTAGGTTACCAGGTATTTGTATAATATGTTTTAATTATATTTATATACTATATATATATATAAATTTCTGCGTGTGTATGTTTGTATATACGGATATCATCCCCATTCCCATCACGGTTGGGGGGTTTCTGATTGCGATCCGAAGTGGCAATCGTTTCACATGGGTTTCACTTGCCGTGGACTCCAGGGAATGTCGGAGTGCTACCTCACAAAAATAACTGGTCGTGATTTCATGGGTTAACAATGCCTTAAACAATGGGTTAATAATGGTTAATAGTGGTTGGTAGTCTGGTTGGTGGTTTGGAACATGAATTTTATTACTTTCCATATATTGGGAATCTCATCATCCCAACTGAAGAACTCATATTTTTCAGAGGGGTAGGTATACCGCCAACCAGATAAACAATGTCCACACAACTTGAACTTTTTCCTGACTTTGGTATACAAGATTGTATGATTTACCCTCCAGTGAATTAACCTAGACCCTGAAAATGCTAATGTTTACTCAAACATATTCTTCCGACCCCCTAAACTCATGGCAAGGTCGTCATGTTAATTTGGACGATGTTAATCAAACATGGTAACATGGCCGTGAAAAATCACCCATTTACTGATACTGTATAAATTTCATGAAATTTCCCCATTCAAACATCCATTTAGTTCTGGGATGTTCCAGTTAGATATGTTTGATTTCAAGAGAGTAAATCACATATAATCCCATCATTACATAACCATCGTTAACATTTTTTCGCCCATTGCCCATCGCTTATAAACTATATTATGAACCAACCACTATTAATCATTAGTTATTATGATTTATGTACTTAAACCATTAGTTATTAACAACTATTAACCACTATTAACCAATAGTAACCACCATTAACCATTAGTTATTATCCATGAAGCCTTTTTAATAGCATCATTTTCAACCATTAGCAAGTCATTCGCGACTCACAGGACCGTCCCCTTGTTGGCCTTCGCGGCGCATTCCGAGAGATCCTGGGATCATCCGGGCTGCGTCTTGGCGACGTCCGGGGGATTTCACGGGTGTTTTTTTTCAAGGTTTACCAATGAATGGGAGCTATCTTACTGGTGCTTAGTAGGGAATGGATGGGTTGCTGCTGGGGGAATGAATGATTATTACTAGTGATTATGGATCATTCCCTCATTCCCTGCTAAGCACCAGTAAGTTATACAGAGACATGAGCGGTTACATGGGATTTTATGTGATTTGGCCTTTTGGTAATGGGATTCCCTGATCACTTTTTCTCAGATTCGCTGAGAGGTTTCATGGGGTTTCATGTGGAATTTTGATGGATTTGGGTGATTTAATTTGGGAGGTCATGGGATGTTGATGGTGGCACAATGGGTCCGATATAATGGAGTGTCCTAGTATTGGGCATATCATGGGGATATAACCAGGCATGAATGGCCGGAATAGTAGGATACAATCAACAAAAATGCTGTGTTAATTGTGTTCAGTGGGAAATAGCATAACTAAATCATGGAAGTCTAACCAGTAGTTCTGAGATCGTGATGTTTTTTCTTGAGGTATATGGAGATATCTCATATTCCAATATCTGGATCCATGGAACTCAAGAAATCTGCTTGGCCCAGGAACTGGTTGGAAGCCGAAAAGATATGGGGAAAAATATGCTACCTCCGCTGATTTCCTCTGGATTTCCCATCCATTTCACCGCGCCAATCTCTTTACACAGCTGGCTCATTTCTCAGGTGCTGATGGTGCGGTGCGTTCGCAAGACGGCTATGTGGCACGACGCTTGTGGCAATGTTGGGGAGGTTGATCGGGGCCAATGACTGTTTCTGGCAAACTCTTGGAAGCGGCAACAAAAATGACTGTGGGAGAACAAACAAGTTTGCGACAACGAAACAAGTAATCCATGAATATATATATATATAATATAATTATTTTTATTATGGTTTTTAATCCTTTTTACTTGAATTAGGGTGGAACTGTGATATTATTCCAAAGGTAGCCGGTGTGACAGGAATCTGCACCCTCTTGTTTTGCAGCTTCTAAAACCTTTAAAATTACATGCGCGGCAAGGTGTTTATTTTGATATGTTGCTTGGGATGCTATAAGCACGTGAGCAAATTGGAACACCTGCAGGCATAGTAGTTCCGCCAATCAAAGTTGATTTTGCACAGAAAAGACACACGCACACCGCCCTCAAATCTGAAGACATTGACATGAGGATATTTGTCTGCTGGCAGTGTTTTGATCTTTGAAGCCGATCTGGTAAAGCGTTGCTTGGCATTGGAAAAGGCTGCGATTTAACCGGGCAAAAATACAGGTGGTTGTTAAACATGGATTTTGAACCCCACCCGATATTAGTGGAAACATATTGATGTGCACATTTTTTAATAGTTAATCATATGAGTGAAATACCCACCATAACAGAACATGTATAATGGGACATGATGGGATATGATGGGATACACAGCTAGCTTGATATCATATTGTTGGGATAGCTAAGGGTAATTTACTTGCCATTTGGGTTGGGCGAAGCTCGAACTGATGTGTATTGCTGGAAGGTTGACTTGCCTTACTCCCTGTGCGAGAAGATTATGGTGGCAAATGTGGTTCTAGTTTGTCCAACATATTTTTCTTTGGTGTTGTTTCGTTAAGTTTCGTTGTTTTTCTTTTTTCTGTGGTGTCTTGTTGCTGGCTGGTCGGAATTGTTTTCTTCAAGCCTCTTGTTGCAAAACTTCTGCAGTATCCATCCAGTGGCTTGATGAGAGCATGTGGTCATTTCGGCGTCATGTCCTTCTGTATTTTCCTACTGAAGACTTGCCCACGATTTAGGATGACGGCTTTTATTTTTGTGTTGTCCTTTTTGTTGGGTGCGTGGATTTTTTTTTTCGAAAACTGATCTCTGCCATTGCATCTCCCCCTTTGTTCCAATCGTTCGGATTGTTTGTGGCCACCTCCCCATCTTCACAAAATGATTCAGCACCATGATCAAGTGACAAAGACACATGTTTTTGATTCATTTTCTGATGTTTCTTATTCTTAGTGTTTTGTTATTGCAATTGTTAGTCTTGCTTTATCATTGACATCAATACTTTTTTTCCTTCTATTCTATCTATTTTGTGTTTGCTATACATGGAGGATCATCCCACCTAGTGACTGGTTAGTAACCGTGCTTTTTTAACCCAATTATCAATGGGATAATTCCACAAGAAGGGGACTTAACCTGGGTTGGTCACCAGCTACGAGCCGTTGGATGATACCCCCACTATCCCTATGATAACCCAATAATATTTCCATATCTTTCAGCCATTCTTGACTCAGCTCTGCTTTTTTTTTGATAGTTGGGTTGGTGAAACTTCTAATGATTCTCCAAATAGACTACCCGCTGGTAAACTAACATAGCTATTTTTCAGATGTCCTCTTTATCGATGATTTACCTGTGAAACACGGTGATTTCCATAGTTTTTTGTAGGTTTACTGGAGGATACGAATCTCGGTATTTGGCCCATGATTGGCCCATGATTGGCCCATTGTTATGCCATTAAACCCCATTCCATCACCATTTATAGTGGTTAAATAACGTTAAATTCCATTAAATCACCATTTTTCTTGGTTAAAGATGACCAATTCCATGGTTTTAGAGTGGTTTAACCAAAAAAAACACAGCATTCCGAGGGAAGGGCTGGGAAGTCCCCATAGCTATTGCGAGGTCAGTTCCCCGCTGAGCAGCACCGTTTCCTTCGCTACGAGCTCATACAGCTAACGGGTGGGGCACCGAAAAGGGAACTTGGTGCAGCAGTACCATAAGCACTTTGTATACGTGTGTTATCTATATCTATAATATTACATTTTGTGTATATAGCCTATATAATATATATATATATATATTTTTATTTTTAAATGTGTATGTATTGTGTGTAAAGATACATGATATCAATATGTATTAGATTTATGTTTTTATATATATATATATAGGTTATCAGACTTATATCTGTGTTTTATCGACATGCTATACATATATATATATATTCATAATATGTGTTTGTGTGTGTTTGCATGTTTCTCTAAATGAAAACGTATATGATACATGCATTTGCATGTGCGATATGTAGGATTATGTGTGTGTTCTGTAGGTTGGCGTGTGTGCCTGTGTATTCACGCATATGCGTGCTTTGCATTTGTCTAAGCACATTGTATGTACATAGTTTGTCATGCACCACTTTTAGAGTGGAAACAGTACTCATGGCTAGTACTCAGGTTTGAGACCGCTAGATCAGTTGTCACAGTGACACGGGGTGCACCATGGCTGCAACCTCACGTCAATGATGATCTTACACAATTAAGTTGGGAAGTGTTTATCCATTGTGTACCTTTCACATATGTTTTTCACATATGTCAGTATCCCTCACCCTCAAGAATGACTCCGAAACAGTTTCCAGTTGTTTCCTCTCTAAGTCCTGACATTATAAGCCTTTTTCACGTTGTTCCTCCTGGTGGTTTCTGGAGAGCTGAACGTGTTTTGGCATCTGATTCCCCATGATTAAAGAAAAGCCAATATCCCGCTCCAAATACACATATCAGTTTTTGTTTTTTTTTTCCGGCCATGGTCGCTAAAGCGTCCGTGGGCCGGCACTGCGACAGCTTAAAATTGTCGTGCGAGAGCCATTTGGTGGATTCGCCTGTTTTGCTCGTCCGTGTTTAAATAGTCCGTCCATCCGTTCGTAAGTTTGTTCCAAATATGTTTATGGGTGAAGTGGCGCCATTGTTGCCTAGGCGCTCCTACCCTCCTTTTACCAATCGGATATGCGTTTGCTGATTGAGGAGAATAAACTACTTGTCTCATTGGGTCCGAGTCTGTTGCTCTCAAAAGGTGTCCAGATAGTTTAACTCGTTTGTCCAAAAGAAGTTCGGAGAAAAGTTTCACTTCGTGCCCAGCTTTTTCGGAAGCCATTCTGAGTACAAATTCGTTGGTGTTTCTTCTGTTAACAAATGTGGGCTCTAGATTTAATATAGGTCTAAGCCCCCGAAGTTGAAACGCGTTAATCTTGTTTAGCATTGCCTGTGTCAAGTGCACGGTTTCAAGACCATAAATCAGTTTGTTTTGAATGACAGCCTGATAAACGCGTAGTCTCCAACCAACAGTGCAATTGGATGCTTTCCAAAAAGGTTTTAATTTGGTCCAAGCAGCCATCGTCTGCTGCATTCTGTATCCGATTTCCTGTCTCATGTTCATACTTCGTGTGATATGATGTCCTAAGTATGTTGTTTCAGTGCATCTACAAAGTTTGGTCCCATCTGCGAATCTGAGATTATTGTTCCCATTCATAGCGATATACGAACACTTGCCTCTGTTCAATTTAAGGCCAAACTGCAGTGAAACCCGTTCAACAGCCCAGAGAATCCTATTGGCAGAATAAGTATTGGTGGCTAGGAGTACAGTATCATCGGCATAGTAAATTCGATCGAAGCTGATACCTGGCTTTCTGGTTCCTAAAGTGCGTCTGTCTAGGTGGTAATTCACACCATTATCAATCACGCTCATGACCAGAACAAATAAGTAAGGCGATAGAGGACATCCTTGACGTATACCTGACTTTTGGCGTTTGGGTAACGACTTACCAAATTCGTCTTCAACGAAGAAACAGGGGTTACGGTAGCAGTTTTTGATGACTTGAATGAAATGGTCGTGAATTCCAAGCCTGTTTAACGCTATGTAAAGTTTGTCGTGTTGTACCTTATCGAAAGCTTGTTTCCAGTCAAGAAAAGTTATAATAAGATTTGAACCCTGTTGTTCTGCGATATCTTGCATACGCCTAGTCAAAAACAGTGCATGCGAGGTACTTCTAGATGGCCTAAACCCATACTGTGTTTGCGTTAACGTGTCCTCTAATACCACCTGAAGCCTCTGCCGTATCAGAATCATGTAAAGCTTGTAGAAAGAATTTAACAATGATATAGGTCTGTAGTTCGCTGGATCGTCTGTATCTCCTTTCTTATAGATGGGCACCACGCGAGCAAAAAAGAGATCTTCAGGGGCATATTGGTTACTCCACCATAAGTTCACAAGACGGAGAAACCAAGTTTTGTTTTCAGAGTTCAACCAAGAGAAAAGCTCCATTATAACATTGTCCGGTCCCGATTGCTTGTTCTTTTTGGAAGAAGACAAAGCAGCGTCAAACTCTGTCATAGTAAACGGTCTCAAGTCAAACAAATGTCTGAAGTCCTGTATTCGGTCCGTCCGGTCAACAGGTGTGTTGTTGTCATTTGTCCAGTGTTTGTCCTGAAGATAAGTGGCAATTGCTTCTGCCCTATTACGCGGCGCTACATATTCTCCTTGGAGACCCTTCATGTGGATGAACCTTGGCTGTTGTTCTTTTTTCAATTTTTTAACACCCGTCCACTTTTCTCTTTGGTCCGGAATTTCTCTAATAGAATCAAAAACAGCACGTCTTTTGTCTCGCCTAGCTAGATTCTTGATTTTATTTGACAGTTCCTGAACAACTTCAAGGTTCCCACTTTCATGCGCCTGTTGTCTTTCAACAATTTTCTGCCAAGTTTCTTGTGATAAATATTCTCGCCTTTGATTTTGGTCAATTTTGGTTAAGGTTTGTTTTGCAGTCTCTATGATACAATTGGAGATTTCACTCCAAGCAGTTTCTGAATTCATCACCAAATTGCTGAGTCTCCGTGTCAGCAATTCATTGTAATGTACAAATTCTGCTTGCGTCGGTTGCCGAAATTTAGGGGCCCTTGATTTGCTAACCTTAGCTTCAACAACATAATGATCAGAAGGAAAAAAGATGTCAGTTCTGGCTGAGACATCCCTGCAATTTTTCTGCCATTTTTCGGCAACCAACCAGTAGTCAAGCTGTGCATACTTCCGAGGTGTCCATTCCGGACCATGTTCAGTTGTGTTCTCGCGAATAGTACAGTAGTTCATCGCTTGTTTTCTAAAACAAGTGTTCAAAATTCTGAGGCCGTCCTGTAGACAATAATTTACAAAAAGAGACCTATTTTCCAAGGTGTAATCACTAACTTGTTCTAAATACTCACAGCCTCTTCCGAAAATATATGGTCCCATGGCTGGTTCCTCAGATTGGTATCTGTGGTGAAGCCTGGCGTTAAAATCACCGCCAAGAAAGTGTATGCCTTTGGCTTTTCTGGCATGTGCTTGTACTTCATCATAGAACTTATTTTTCTTCTCTGTATCATGTCCACTGTGTGGCGCATAACAGGAGCTAAAACACAGATTGCGACCCTTCGATCTCAGACTGATTGACATGAGTCTGCCCGAAATTTGCTTGATATCATGGATAAAATGTTTCAGTTGGGTTGACACGACAATACCAACTCCTGCTCTCTCAGTCTGTACAGCATCTCGCGGTGAAACGTCTGTGCTGAAAAAGAAATCATAGCCTTGGACGGTTTCCACGCTTTTCTTGTTATGGTTGGTTTCTTGAAGCAACAAAAGATCATAACATTCTTTCTTCATGATGTCAACAAGGAGCCTCTTTTTAACGTACCCGTTTTCTCCAGATAACCCTCTTACGTTCAGCGTGGCAACCTTCAGTGGCCGATTATATCTGAGTTTGAAAGTCCTTTTTGTTTTGTCCGTTTGGTTTGGGTTTTTTAATTCTTGAAACAGGCTCTTTCGCGCACTTCTGTCCAGCATGGCTGACTTCGAAAAAGCATGCTGGTTTTTGCACTGTCGCAAGTGCCGTTCTGGGGCTATTGGTTTAGCCACAAACTGGTGATACCAAGCTTTGAATTGTCGAAATTGTCGCCGGTTCGACCGCCTACGATTTTGTCTGGTTAGAATCCTTTTGTTATTGCTACTGAAACTACGCAGGCCTCTGTTAGTATTTCTTGCTCGAGTAGTATTAGCCCCTGTGGATGACTTCGTTTGTCTCCGCTGAAGATGAAAACACCCCCGCGGCTGATCCGGCTCACCTCCTGAAGGTGAAGAACCTAGGATCGATTTTACCTTACCTGTCTGTTTGGCTTCCTCTGATTTAGAAACGACTTTAAAAGCGACTTTTTTAATTGGATTTGATGGATGGACTAGTCACAGTCCATTTGCATCTTCCGCTGCGGCGGCTTGACCATGTTCCATTACTCCCTTGTCATATTTCCAATCCTTTACCTCAGCCAGTTTATAGTCAAAGGGGAAATCGCCAATTTCTGTGTCAAAGTGTTTGCTTTTACTTTTGCCTTTGCCTTTTCCTTTTCCGGCTGCGCGCGATGTACCGCCCATTCTCACAAGCTCCTTGGCTTCTGACCAGTGTTTCCGGACCGCATCATACACCATGGCATCCAGATACACCGTGGCGAGGACGTCTTTTACGCTATAGTGCACCCAAACGTAAGTGTAGTACTCATCATACACGGCATTTTGTCCCCACCAAGGTTTCAGTTTGGACATGTCCAATTGCAATGTGCCATCTTCCACTGCAAGGTCCATTGCTTTCATGCTAATTTTCAACGGTTCTCCTTTGATTCTGTCCCATAGTGCTACCTGGGGTCTCATTTTGATTGTCGAACTTGTGGGTTGTCCATCCTTGTAGAAGTACAACTGGGTCTTTGGCGTGATGTAGTTGTCTTTGTACCATTTGTCCAGCTGAGTCCTCATCCATGATTGCGGGAATGTAATGACTGTCATTGGGGATAGCTCTCCTGGCTTGGTCGCGTGGGACATATAGTAGCTACCTGCTTCGATTCCGGCATTCTGAATGCACCATGCAAGGAAGGAAGCTCTCTGTGACGCTGTGGCATCAGATGGCCAACCAACTACACATTCTTCTTTCGATGCTTTGTCTCTTTGGTCTTTCACTTGATTTTTGAGTGCCCACAGTTGTTGTTTCCTAAATGCCCACTGATCCTCATTCAAGTCGTACATCTTCTCTTTCAGTTCGTTCATGGAAATCTGGAGTTCCTTCACTTTCTCTGTCACTGTCTCCATCTGTATGTCTACTACCTCCTGCATTGCTTCTCTCATAGCCTTCTTATCTTCTTTTGGTCTCATTGGTGTTTTTTCATTGGTGCCAGCTCTGATTGGTGTTTTGGTGTCTGGCAAAGTACCTGCCTTCCATTGTCTCTTGGCCTTTGCCTTTTTGGCAGTAGGTTCTTCTGCATCTAGATCTGATTCCAGGGATCGACGAGTGTTTTCCCTGGGAGCCTCCGCCATGTTGGAAGCTATCTTTCTATGTGATCCTAGTCATCCTGAGCCTTACATCCAGGTAATATATATCCCTTAAATTTATGCGATATCATTGATATATTGAATCAATATTTACTAATATGCATTAATTAATGGCATATGTATATATATATATTATAGTACCACCCAAAAAAGATTCAAAGTGGGAATCCTGGAGATATGAAATAACTATCACTTATAAGATCTTAGAAACCGTTTTTCCTCTTTTTTTTGGGGGGGCGGGGGGTGCTATACACACACACATATATATATATATTTATTTATTTAATATGTATATATGTTATGTATGATTATAGTACACCATTGATATCCCATAGTTGGTTTTGCAAAGGCATGGCTCAAAGCGGCCGCCATGGGCTTCGGCGCCTTCGGCTTCGCCGGCTTCGCCCGCGTGATCCTTGTGGCCGTTGGCTCTGCACGATGGATCGGGTCACAGGAAATCCAGTGGCCTAGTTCGAAAAGATCTGGGGTACCCTGCTTGGATGTGCATCCCATCTCTGGTTGGTGGTTTCAAACATGAATGGATTTTCTTCCATTTCATATTTGGGATGTCATCCGAAACCCATTGACGAACTCATATTTTTCAAGATGGTTGAAACCACCAACCAGATTTAGTAAGTGGTTTATAATCCATATGTAGCCCATAGTTCATCCCATATATGGATATTCCATTTATAACTGGGAGCGTAGCCCATTTACTAAGCGGGGGCAACCCCAAGGAAGGTAAACTTGTTTGTATCTTCGGAAAACAATTTAGGATTTTCCCCATCTATCTTAGTTTACCCTGGGGTAAATGGTGGTACGATGGGGACATAATGCGAATATAGTGGGGAAAGATGGGGTTACATATCATAGGATACGGGATATACCCTCCGGCAATTTAACATAGCTATTGAACATGGTCCATTTATGAATTTACTTAGATGGTGATTACCAGAGGGTAGATGTGGGAAACCGCTGTGATGGGTTCTACAAATAACGGGGTCTCCGCATCTATACATGTAAAGGTTTACAGGAGGGTAAGTCCAACGGGATGTTGCTGGAATTTAACCATAAATTACAGGCATATAACCTACCCAGACCTTCCAAGTTCCTAGAAAATGTGTAATATACACCTTGCGACTTGGGACATTGTCCCATCTTCATGGGTTGAGGATCCAAGTAGTTGAGTGGCATTGTTTTTTTGCACAAAACATGGAAGCCGCCTCTGAGTTTTACAAACATAGGCCTATGCAGAGAAACGGTCACAGTCTTTGGTCATGGACACCTCCTGTAGTTGGGTGGTTGGGGAAATCATCAGCCAAAAATGGGTAAACATGGTGATCAGCCCCGAAGATCTGAAAAATAGCGGCTTGAAAGTATTGAATGGTCAATCTCAAATATTTTTCTTGGATATTTTTTGATATCCCACTTATACTATAAAGTGATTTTCATCCACAAGGTTCCTGATGTTCAGCATTATGACCCGAAAATGAAATCAGACATGTGCAGACTTTGGACACCTTACATATCCTTACATGGCTTCGTTTGAAAATCGGGTACCTTAAAAGTAACGGTTGTTCATCATGTTCATCCATCACGTTCCCTATTGGTGATTTTCCGTCCCAACAGGTGACTCGCACTGCCCTTGCGTACTGCCCGCCCATTGTTTGACCCAATTTTAACCATCGTTCCAAAACAGCGGCAACTTGTATACTAGTTCAATTAGTTCAATTTTTTTGGAGGTTTAAGGGGATATAAGGTATATTTGTTGCAGTTATGGCCCGAGTTATACCAGTTATAAGTACTGCCAAAACCGCAGTTATAGAATGTAAAATCCAATGGAAATAACCAGTTATAACTTATAGCCATGGCCATAACTGTGGGGAGTCAACCATTTTGGATCGGTTGGATCCCCATGGATTTCAGGTGGCGCGTGCCCAGCGATCTCGTCCCCATGCTGGAGGGCCCACCATCGGCGTACGAGGAGAACCCGTGCCTGGCTTCAAAGTACGATGGCGGGCTGAGCGTTGTTGGGGCTATGTTTCGCAATGGAAAAAAAAGGTGGGTGAAACTTTGAAACAAAGAAAACCTAGGAGATTCTTGCGGCGTGTTAGGATTGAACCGGAAAAATATGGACACATGTGATGGTAGTTTTAAAGAACAAAAGATGCCGCCTTAAACATGACCATGGGGTAAACGCCAAATGGTAAAAAAAATGTTCAATGCTTTTGGCTTTGTTTTCGTTTGTGCAGTGGGTATCTTGGCTATCCAAGATTGGTGATGAACCTATGACCTACGGAGAGCCCCAAGAGATGATATCCTTGAAAGTCACATGAGTCGGATGACTCGCTTTACGAACTGTAGTAGTGCTAATTTAATCCATGATTAACCCCGGGGTAATCCATGAGTGAAACATGGCGTTATATAAAGTTTAGTCATATTTAGTCCCCTCATTTCATGATGGTTTCCTGGGTACAGTATGGTTTGAACAGGCGTCAGCCATATGTAATCCACCAGGGCTCTAAGAAATCGCTGGTGGTTTGGAACTTTTTTTTTCTTCCTCCATATAATTATGAATATATATATATATATATAATTATATATATATATACATATATTGGGAATAATAATCCCAACCGACTAATATTTTTCAGAGGGGTTGAAACCACCAATCAGATGATTACTGCATTTGGGTTCCCAATTTTTGGCCTATATCCATGTGAGAAGTGTCCCTAGTTTTGTTCAGGGCAAAAGGGATTACCACCGTCTAATCATTACTGAAGTATTAACTTGCCATTAAGTCACCCTGCTGATATTGCTTCATTCCCATTGGGTCCTCTTGGATTGAATGGCCATGAAATCTCCATTTCCACAGTTATGGCCCGTTACCAGTTATAAGTAGTAACAAAACACCATTTATAGAATGTATAATCCCATAGAAATAACCAGTTATTACCCTCTGGTTATTTAACATAGCCTCGGAAAATGGCCCATAGAAATAGATGATTTTCCCAGCTATAAACCTCCAGTTATGGTTGGGATTTTCCATGGCTATGTTAGTCATAACCAGATGGTATAACCAATAGCCATGGCCATAACTGCAGGTTTCAACGCGCCGAGGTCCACCCCACAGCTGGCAGTGTCACCTGACGGTCGATGGCTGGTCAGCGGCGCAGATCGGGAGGTCTTCACGTGGCGAGCGCCCGAGGCTTCGCTACAAATCGCAGATCGGGAAGCCTTGGATGGAGGAAGTTTCACCATGAAAAATGGATAAGCATGGTACAGTAGCTTCCACCATGTCTAACCATCAAACATGGTATTTGTTTCGTAAAGATGCTCGGTTAACCATGCAAGATAGCGCTTCAACAAAGAGAAATTGAGAGGGAAAAAACGCAGCAAAGACGAGGTTTAAAGCAACAAAATATGAGGGGTTAACCATCAAAATATTGGTGGAACAACTGGTGATAGATAGTTTGGTACTTTGTTTTCACAGTGAACCCATGTGATCTTTGCGTCCACGCAAAGCATTGAACCGGGTTCAATAAATCCCTTTGAACATGGGATGTTAGAACTGTTTCAAAGCGGGGTGCATCCCCAATAGGTTCCGAATGATGATCACGTGATGATCAGGTTCCGAATGAGTCGTAGGATTTTCTAAATTCCAGTTACCTCTATGCAGGTTGACCTTCCAAACAAAATCGTGGTCTTATGGATTCGGATGGCTGACATGATGAACCATCAACCCTGCAGAAGCGACTGTTCAGGTTTTTCACCTAACAATGGTACGAACATGTTTTTTTAAAGCCCCTACCATTACAGTTGAGTTAGTGTATGTTTTAGTTCTTATAGGATACTTCATCAAAAAATTAAGGGAGTATTTATATAAATTATATGGCCTTATTTGGATAACAGCTGGGTTCACCCTTGGCCTGGCCATTTTGTGCCCCCAAAAGAAGAAAGTTGTCCCTAAATTGGTCGATTTCAGCAGCGCAAATTCCCAATTTCGATGCGTTTCTTCCAGGCGGATTGTTTTCTAAAATGGGGTAATTATTCAGTTTAATAAGACCAAACAAAAAAAACACACATTTGTGGTTTGCCCTGACAGAAGCAATAGGATTTGTCATTATAAACCAACCATTTGGGAACCCCCCAGTGGTGGGAAGCTACATGTGGGCCCCGTGGTCTCAGGATTGCGTTGTCAGTGCCCAAGCCGCATCCTGTGCAGCACCTTTGTATGCAAGTGGGCCTGGCTGGACTGGCCTGGTTGATGGTGAAGATGGCATGTTTACAGTTGATTAGTTGGTCTACTATAGTTGATCTATAGTTGTTTTTTGGCAGATATGTATGCATATAGTTATACATAGTAAATGATCGTAATCAATAAGGGTTACTGTGCCCACAAAATGGCCTCACAAGACCGGGCATGTGGCCCTTTTGCAACTGGAAGAATCTGGAACAGGGGGCCTTTACAGAGTGGGTTTTGCCATGCCTTGCCACGTTGAAACACGTCGTTTCACCTGGGTTACAGGGCAGGTTTCACCACAGGCGGAGACCGAGCCGTTGCTCTTGCAACGCTTCGTGCTTCCCTCGAAGCTCCACGTGCTGGGCATCCTGGATGACTTGCACCTTGCCCTGGCAACGAAGGACCTTGGGACACATCGGACATCGGGGATGGTCCATGTCAGGATGGCCTTGGATCTTGGAAAGGTTAGTTAAACAATGTTAAACATACTTTATGGATCCTCAACTTACCAACATGACTCACCGGGCGTCATGGAAGCATTATCCAATCATCTTTCGGTGTTTTTTTTGAATATTCCAATATTCCATGGTTCAGTTGGAGTATGGTTGGCATTGGCTGCACCACATGGTTGGTCGTCTTCACAGCAATCTCACCGCAAATGATGACTAGAGTGGAGAGCAAACTCTTCCAGGCTGATATGTTTTTGTTTCCATTCATCAAGACATATGACATAATAGCAGCAATATCACAAGCAGATTTGAATCTCCAAAGATTTGGGCTCGAAAAGCACGGCCGAATGAATCATTGCACAGATGTATCTCACGGGATAGGATTTCAATATATTTCAAACATCCTTAGAATCAAACACTGATGTATTTTTTATTATACTGTATGATGTCTTGTTTCAGTGTTGTTAGATAGTTCTTAAATCTGTTTAAGCTAGGGATAGTTGGGGAATCAGTGTGCTGAGATAGCACTTCTGCGTACCCAATGTCACTGAAACGTTTGCTCAGTTTACTTCTGATATCTTATGATCTATTCATGAGTGGCTGGTGTTGAAAATCGAATCAGAAGCAGTTTGGGAGACTGCACCCTCTGAGAAACAGTGAAGAGCCTTTGCGAAGATGGGCTGTTATATTTGGTATGTCTGCGATATATCAATGTATATCATATATGCAGGTCATATTTATGTTGACATTTACCCTCATTGAACACATCCAGGGAATCCAGTCGTACAGGCGGCAGGGTCACCAGGGTCGCCAGGGTCACAGCCTTGGCTGCCTCATGTCCACAGCAGCAGCGGTCCATGACCGGGTGCTTCAATTGCAGTGTCTCTTTTTGAGCCATGGATTGAGGGCCAAGGGACGCGTTTGGGAGAAGTTTGTGGACAATTTCTGGGAGTTTTGGGTCTCATGGCAGTAGCTGTGGCTGTTCCTGTTCAATGTTCCTGGTTTTGTATGTGCAGATTCTGTTATCTACCTTTGCGGATACATATGCACTTTGTAATACTATGTAGCCATGTGGGGAAGATATATATATATATACAATATATGTGTGTGTGTGTTGACAATATGGATGAGTAATCATTGTTCGATATTGTGTGTTTGTTAATTTGTTGTTTTGTATACTTATACAAACACACAATGTTTACTTACATTTCATGCATCTCCCAAACTCCAGGTCCTACCTCATGACCCTGCAGTGTTTGAGTTTGTGCATGGCTATGTCCTTTTTCATACTTAAAATATTTGATTATGATCCCCAAATGGCTTCTGGTTGCGAGTTCTAGGGCGAAGGTATGTTTTGGTACTGGCCAGATATGTTCTCCACCATACAGAAGCAATGTATATGCAACTCCTGTTTAAAATCCATGGCGAGCCTTGAAATGCGTGTAAATTGTCGATGATGTGATTCGGATGTTTTGGAATCATCGATGTCCACTAGCATGCCAGCTGGATTGCTCGTATCCCTCCCTATCCCAACATTCCAAACTACCTACGCTGCACCTACCTCTGGTAATTGAACATAGCTATTGAAAATGGCCATGTGTACTTCAATTACCAATTTATATAAAGGATTATAAAGGGTTATTTTCCATAGCTATGTTAGTTTACCAGAGAGTATGTACCCAGATCATGCCAGATCATTTTGCAGTGTTGGCACCCCCAGGACTGGTGAAGAAGTGACCTTAAATGACGTCCCCGATGCCACGCTTTGTCGCCACGTGCGTGACATGATTCTTCAGCAGCTACAGTGCTGGAAAGCTGGGGCCACGCTTTCGCTGACCTACAGGGCGACAAGATTGCTGATGGGACGTACCCTGAAACGGCAAGAGGTTGGTATCTTGGAGCAACTTCTGCACGTTCTTTGCTTTGGTCATCTTTGGGTCTCTGATTGTGTAAGTCCCATCCTCCCCAGGAAATTCGTCTTAGATGGGCAATGGATGGCCATGGACCTGTTGACTATAAACTGGGTTGCATCCCCTTAGAACTGAGCTTGACATACAGGATTAACTTATGGTATAATTATAATAGGCATCTGGGTGCACACCTGGGTGAATTGTAAAGTGATCTCACTATTGTGACCTCACTGGAATCCTGCTTAGGAAGGGGAATCATCACCAAATAGCCTTTTTTCAGGTCAGTGAACTATTGTTATTTACCCGCATATCTTATATATATACACATTTACAACCTACCTTACTCATCACTCAACCAACTCCATATTCCAATTTGAAGTTATTTGTCATCGTGCCATTGCGATCTACACATCAGAGGTGATTTGCATCTGGAGATCATAAGTGCACCCCAGTTGCCAAGTCAACTACGCAATATCCTTATCGTACACTTACTCATCAAGTGTCTAAACTTTAAGCTTTGTTTGGTTGGGTTCGCCCGCGCGAGGGGCCTCTATTTTATTCCCAAAAACCGCACGCGAACCCAACCCAAAAAAAATGTAAACGTTTTTTCCGCAAGGACACCCACTGAGAAAGTAATACAAGTACAATACAATACACATGCAAATACATATGCAAGTACAAATGCAAATACAAATGCAATACATACATATACATATACATATATATATATATACATACATACATTTACATATGCGTACAAATGAATAATAAAATTCATTATACGGCGATACGGTTTCTGGACGCTAAGGATTCGGGAAAATCTCTGAAAGGCTTGGGGAATACGTTGCGAATTGGAAAAAACATACATCAAATCCCTTATTTTGGGGTGGTTCACATGAAACCAAGGTAGGTTAAGCATGGTTAACCACCTGGGATGCCGAGGTATCTCCGAAGAACCTGGTGAAAGTGTCGTACTCTTCTGCACTTTCGTGCCGTGCTCGGTGCATGCTGCGTGGTGCCGGTTGCAGGGCATCAAGCCACAGACGGAGCACGAGATGGAGGGAATCACCACGGTGAAGGGCATCAGTCAGCCCGAGCAGCTTAGTCACCTTCCGAGGCTCGCCACAATGACCTGGATTTTCCATTGCCACGTTTGATATTGCGGGAGGCAACATGATTTAACCAATCAGAGATTTGGCACAAAAAAAAACGGCGTCGTCATTCATGGGGCTTAGACGATCTATCCCAAATGGATCTTGCCGTGGTGTGAATCCTGGCGCAGCCCGCGACGATGAGACGGTCAGGTTTGTGAACGTTTTTTTTTTTCTGAAAACAAATGGATGTGCTTGGATCAAAAGCCTCTCTTTTCGCAGCAAGCTAGTTGGTAAATGCATGGCACAGTGGCGTTTTGATATGTGTTGATCCATCCCCAGCTTTGGGATCCGTAAATCTTCACCTTAAAAAACGCCAAGGAATGGAGTGGAAACCTTGACCCTTCGCGATAACTTCAACCGACCACTCGATGATGTGATTTTTCCAAGCAGCCTCAAAAGCTTGACGTTCGGCACTCTTTGCAACCAGAGCTTGGAACGGATTCACTTTCCAGATGGTCTTCAAGAGTTGACTCTAGGTGGGAGGGGGAAAGGGATTGGGCTAGATACAGCTCCCTAAAATGGTTTACCAACGTTGTATACCATAATGCATTAATTAAAGATAATAATAATAATTTAATATATGTATATAGTATATATATATATATGTAAGCAATATCATATTTAAATATATATATATATGCACATGTATATATACATATATTTATACATATAATGTATCATCTCAATTTCTATATATACTCCTTATTTCCTTAGCGGCTCAGCAGGCCCAGCTGATCCCTTTCTGCCGGGCAGGGGGTTGATCATGACTGGTTGTTGTTATACATTGTTTCCCCCAACCTAGATATAGTTTTGAGATGTTCCTAGATGTAGTTTTTAGATACGCTGAGATATCTATACCTAGATTTGGAAGAAGATGTTCCGATCAATATAGTTTTGAGATGAAGAATTCTTTAAGCGATGGATAGCGGGCCCCTCGAGACGCTAGTTTCCTCCGATCCCATGGCACCGTCAGCGGATCCCATGGCGCGAGTGCCAGGTGATAGTTTCGATCAAAGACTACAGCAAGTCCGCTGGCCAAGCCGCCTTCAGAAGTTGATATTTGGTGAAAAGTTCCAGCACAGTTTGGAGGGTGTGTGCTTTCCATCGGGTTTAACCAGCATCAAATTTGGAGACTTATTCAACCAAAAGGTGGAGAATGTGATTTGGCCTAGTGGCCTTCAACATTTGAGCTTTGGTTTCAAGTTCAATCAACCTTTGGAGCGGGTGCAGTGGCCCAACCTGCTGAGTTTGAGTTTCGATTATATGTTCAACCAGAGCTTGGAGGGCGTACATTTGCCATGCAGTCTTCAAAGCTTAACTCTTGGTTGTGAGTTTAATCAGAGCCTGCGGCAAGTTTCTTTTCCTCCAAGTTTGGAAGAGCTAACCCTGAGCAGAGATTTTAACAAGAGTCTCCAGTTGGTGGATTTCCCTGAGAGTCTCCGATGCTTGACTTTGGGCTTTGCCTTCAACCGAACACTTGACAGAGTGAAGTTTCCAGACAGCCTGCAAAGTTTGACTTTGGGATTTCAATTCAACCAGAGATTGTTGGATGTAAAGTGGCCAAGTAATCTTTTGAGATTGACTTTTGGTCACATGTTCAATCAGAGTTTAGACAGCACACACTTGCCAAAGAGTCTCCAAAGCTTGACTTTTGGACAGCAGTTCAATCAGAGTTTAGACAGCACACACTTGCCAAAGAGTCTCCAAAGCTTGACCTTTGGCCAAGAGTTCAACCAGAGCCTGGTGGATGTGATGTTGCCGCCCGGCCTTCAAAATTTGACATTCGGCTACAAATTCAATCAGGAATTGGAGAAGGTCAAGCTGCCAGCGCGGCTTCAGGTTTTGGTATTTGGTTGGGATTTCGACCAGAGAATGGACTGGATTTGCTTGCCGCAGAACCTTCAACATTTGACCTTTGGTTTCAAGTTCAATCAACCTTTGGAGCGGGTGCAGTGGCCCAACCTGCTGAGCTTGAGTTTTGGTTATATGTTCAACCAGAGCTTGGAGGGCGTGCATTTGCCATGCAGTCTTCAAAGCTTAACTCTTGGCGAACTCTTCTGCCAGAGTTTGAGGAATGTCACTGGTGTATTTCAGTGATGTTTTCGCTTAATTTCTGGTCAATGAGCTCAACCAGGAGGTAACATTATTCCCCAAAAAACCTATTCGAATAGAGGCTTCCAACTCTCTGCAATGGTTCAGGGATGGTCAGGTCCCGTTTTTGTAGGTTCATATACTCGGTACCTACTCCTAGAGTCCTAGTGCCCTAGAGGGGGGCAATGCAGCTCAGGTAATTTGGCCGAAGAATTTACAGAGTCTAACCTTTGGAGATCGTTTCAATGAGACTTTGGAGGGGGTCACTTTCCCGCAACTGGAACGCCTGACGTTTGGGAATGATTTCGATCAACTACTGATGCATGTCTTGTTCCCAAGCAGTCTGCGACACTTGACTTTTGGCCAGAATTTCAACCAAAGTCTTCGTTTTGTAAACTGGCCCCCTGACCTCGTGAGCCTGACCTTCGGGCTGAATTTTTCTCAAAGGCTCCAGGATGCGAATTTGCCCAATTTACCCAGCAGCCTTCAGCACTTGCATCTTGGCCATCGCTTCAATCGGAACCTCGAAACGGTGATGTTCCCCAGCACCTTACGCAGCTTGACGCTTGGTCGAGGTTTCAGCTGGAGTTTGCAGCATGTGAAGCTCCCCAGTCTTTGCAGCTTGTTCTGCGGGGAACTGTTGGTCAGCTGTGAGTGACCGAGTGGCCAAAACAGAAAAAGTGCGCACGTTACCTGCCTTGACCATACTTGACCCATAGTTGAGAATATTGCTTATACTTTGGTAAATACCTGACATATCCTAAAATGCAAAGACCTGGTAGGTTGAAATCCAAGGTGTTTTTATTGGTTCCGGCCTTAAGCTAGGTTGCTCTGGACGTCAGCGCTGTGCCACCCTCATCCCTTTCGTCGTATGGTTTATGGAATTTTTGGACCTGCATCCCAGTTAATAGGTGGCTAATCACTGAAATGAGTAATTATTAGTGTAAATATTGCCCAGTGAGAGTAGAATATCGCAGTTGTAGCTACAAAGTACTTACCAACTGGGATGCCACCCCAAGTTGGAGACCCATCCTGAGCTTAAGTTTCTTTTCCAGGGGAGCGTTTTGATCGTTTTGGGTTCGGGAGCTCCGGAAGGACCATGTGACGATTTGGAAGTTCAACGACTCTGAAGCTTGGATCTATCATCCCGTGGCCCCAATGGGAACTGGGGCCCCCATGGATTGGTAACCTCCATGTAGATGCTCAGCACCCGGCACTGGCTTGCTGACTGCTTGGAAAAAGATGGAAAAAGACGAAATGAACTGCATACTGAATCATGAAAATCATGGTATACTAGCCACAGATTCTGGTTGTTTACTTCAGCGGGTTAGTCCCAAAAAGTGCATGGGAAGGTTCTACTCAGATTCTACTAAGACGGACCCCAATGAACGACCCAATCCCAGGTTGAAATGACCTGAGGATTGCCTTGCAATGGTCCCTTGTGGCTCCCCAGCAACCTTCACCAGCATGCCCGGATCATAAACTTCTTTAGATTTAGATCGTGTATGAACAGAGCAACTGGGGAATGCCACCTGAAAGGTGGTGAATTGATAGCACCCTCCAAGGATCCTGTGCTCTCCACGCCACGACACTCCACAGGAACATGTCGTAGCGACCCTGGACATCCCAGAGGTTCTCGCTCTGGCGGTGGAAGGAAACTTCATGCTGCAGCTGGGATTTCTCTTCGACCGCTTTTCCCAAACCAATGTGATGAAAATCTATCCCTGCAGTTTTGGCCCGAAATGCCAGTTATAAGTACTAACAAGACATCATTTATAGGATGTATAATCCAATAAAAATAACCAGTTATAACTAATAGCCATGGACCATAACTGTGGCACTCCCCAAACAGATTTTGGTTCCGTTGGCGGGAACTCAAAACGCGCTGGCGGTGGAGGAAATCACCGGAGTCTTGTATGCTGGCGGTTTTCCTGATGGCACCCGGCAAAATTACCCTCAGGTAGTCAAAGATTGCTTTCCGGAAAACCCAACTTTTAGTTCGATGATTCTCCCATGAAAACCCGATATTTACAGATATAAAACATGTGGGTAGAAAAATGCCATAAACCACCCATGACTGGGAATGGTAACCAAGTCCCACCTATAACAATGGTGATGACTGGGGGATGGTGCGTTTATGGCATTGTTTTAACCACATTATCCAGTTTACAGTAGATTTGACATATTTGACCATTTTCTCATGATTTTCCCCCGATTTTTCCATGAAAAGTTGGGATTGACCACCTGGCCATGTTTGATCCAGGCTGGGATGTCCTGAGGGTCGCTTTCACATGGTGACCCTTGGATAGCGACATGGCCAGGCTCACAGGGTAACGAACAGAATAGGTATAGCCAGTCAGAAGTGGCTTGTCTGAAAACATAGGAAAATGGTGATTTAACCACTATACATGGTGATTAACGGTGATTTACTAATATGATTTATATAATGGGTTAATGATGCTTCATGATGGTTAATTGCGGATCATTTGGTGGATTTAATGGTGATTCTTAACGGTTTGTTACAGTGGCTTAACAATGCTGAATAATGGGATGATCATGGGATATACCTTCTGGTAAACTAAGAGTTTGCTAAGCTATAAAAAAAATAACATTTTCAATTAGGGTAAATCAACGATTTCTATGGCCATTTTCAATAGCAACCTGTTAGTTTACCAGAGGGTAGTGTGGAAGTGCAGGTCAATGTATAAGTGTATATAGAAACTTAACCACAGAGTTATAGGGGTTTGTAACCCTGGTCATGCCCATATGATTGAAAATGGGGATAGTTGCAAATGTATCCTGGCAATGGAAGAAATACACTCATTTAATGCCATGTAATTATAGATGATTCATGGTGATATTTCGTGATATATGACTATATTATATATATATGTACATATGAACACACACACATATATATATATATATATATATTTATATATTATACATATGTCTGTATATATTGTCATGACCTCATGTCACTTTTGTGACTTGGAACATTCATGACCCGAACTTTCGGTCCCAGGGCATCGGTGTCATGGCATCACAGAAGTCCTAAGGAAAAGCAAGTACCGGGATGATTACCTGGATGCGGAGCGCTACGTGGCCATGGAAGCTGGGTTGATAGCAAGCCCCCACAAGAGATAGAAATGTTGAAACCTACTGAAATAGGACAGTAAATTGCGTGTCTATTTTTTTGAGGGTTGCTACTGACATGGGACACCTTCCAGGGATACACACTCACTCATCTCATATGTGCAAAGTATCACTGTACACACATAACTCGTTTCTTATCATTGAAGGCATTTAGAGAAAATATAATGACTTAGCCATGATAATGACAAGAAAATTGCAGAGTTTTATGTGAAAAGTTTCCCCTACTACGAATAGATTCCATACACTTTGGCCGTCAAAGAACACCCACAGATGGACAGCAACATACATTTTTTCAAGGTAAGATACATTTCACATACTTGGCAACCACTGCAACCACTGCAAACCTCACAGATGTTGTTTCTCCTCGTTCTCCTCTCCTTGGAATGCTGACTAATCCCAATCTGTTTTAGCCCAACCACCTCAGCTCTCTCCGCAGGGCTTGCCCCACGTGATTTGGAGTTTCTCTGTGACTCAAGCCTTGAGCGACAATTACCCTGGAAACTTCGCTGCTTGGAGATGACCAATGACCAGTTTGATGCTGGTTAGGGTTGGGGAAATGATCCCCAAATGGATTTAAATCTGTTTTAAATCTGGTTTGGGACATACTGCAAAGTGACCAGATACTGTATTTGCGTGCGTGAGATTTGCCGCATGTCTTGAGCTTCAAATATGCAGTATGCAGTGAATAAATTAATATATATATATATATATTTATAAACATGTTATTGTGTATACATATATATATATATAATTTGAAGCATCCAACATACAGGGGGCATCCCATCACCAGGGATATTCAGCCACAAACTGGGATATGTTTGAAGCAGCAACCAGAGAGGGATGGGGTTTCATCTTCCCAGTGGGCTACTGCACTTAGCTGGTTTTTGGGAACCTCCAATCGGAGTGGACTTTGGGTGAAGCATGGCAGATTGCCCATCCCTTCCTCCAAGGAGATTACAGCTGTGGCGCTATGCAAAGGCTGCGGGTCATGTGGCCTTTCAACTATGACTGGAACATGGTGATGGTGAAAGCTGTGCAAGTCGCGGATGACCCGGCATGGTCATTTGTTGCAATGTGTGGCCCATTTAGTTTGAGGATATACTTATGATTGTAAACATGTTGCAAATATGTTGATTTTCCATAGCTATTTTAATTTAGCAGGACTATGTTTTGTTTGTTTGATATGGTATAATATGGTATGATATGGTATGGTGGCATTGTGTCATGTGGATAATAATAAATAAATATAAATATAAATATATATATATATATATATATGTGTGGTTGGGGTATATACCTCGGTTTGTCCAAAAACCATGTCTACACAGCCAATGCATGTCCAAATGTGCATGTGCAAAATGATGATCAAGCAGGAAACTGTTATGGGTGGTGTTCCGTCATGTTCACATACCCATTATTTCACATAACATCCACAAGAAGTAAGGCACAAGGCACACCCCAAAACAATCCAATGATCGCAGGAAACTATTGGTTCGCGGTCAGTGCTTGGGACCAATCCAGCTTAACTGGGATGACGCTGCTGTGGAAGTTGTTGCTTGCCGACCTTGGGACATGGGTGGGCTACTTGGTGGTTCACCCGAGCTAGTGGGTTCAAACCCCAACTATAAGCAGAGTGAGTCCAGTTGTAACGGGGGCAACAAAAATAACACACTTACAATTCTTGGAGTCAGCAAGTACATATATCATAAATGGTGACATTTATTGATATTTGCTCACCAGCTACGGCTTCTTTCTTCTTACCGCGTATCTAAGATTGGCAATGTGTTTTTTTGGGATCTCTCCCTGTTTTCTGGCTTTCCTCTTGGGCCAGGAAAGGGAGGCCCCACTTGAGGTCGGGTCATTTTTTCTTGCCTTGGTTGACAAAACAACCTTTTAATTTATAACTGGAATGAGTACAAGGGTATAAAGCTATAGTAGCAGCTATAGTTGGATAGAGTAATAATATGATTAAGATTTATTAAGATTATTGATATGGACTATAACATAAAGATACAATTATATAGCCAACTTAAGATGATAGCACGTTTTGTCTCAAAGTACGGCCGCAGGGTCAGTTGTGGCGATTCATGGCGAAAATCTGCCGAGGCATTTGGACATCAGTCCCATGAACTTATCCACCTCTGATGGCAGCCTGACGACCTTTTTCTCGGAGGCTCTACGGAAAAAGGCTGCTGAACATGTCGGGAATGGAGGAATGATCCAATCCAAACATCGTTGTTTCGTAGGTAAATCATCTCCATAAATGGGACATTTTCCATAGCTATGTTAGTTTATTGGAGGGTAATAAGATGTAATAAGGCCCATTCTCCAATTCATTACTAAGCACCAGTCAGTAAGTCTAAGGAAGCTAAGTTTGGTTGGATAGTGTTTCACTATTTGCCATTTTCATGGCGGTATGTGCTGCAGTACCCAGCTAGAAATTATACACCTGAATTTTGCATTGCACCCGAAGAACGGAGTCCCAAAGATTATGTTACTATTTGCTATGCATGGGCCGGGCATGTTTTTTCGTTTCAGTTCACCCCGGAAAAAAGACCGCCGGCAGCCTAAGGACATCTCCCCTGTCCGCGCCATGCGGTTTTCGCCTCTGAAAAATCAGTCACTTGGATGTGCACTTGGGCATATGTATGCGCCCATCAAAATGGCTTTGGATCAATGCCTACCAATACCATTATTAGATATTATTAGGGTGATGAACATCCATGTACAAGCTATTTTGATGTTCAGCAGGGGCCAAGGGTTTTGACCCCCAAATATCCCCAAATCTGTGTTTTTTTCCCGAAGAGGGGTATCTACACGACCAGTCACAACTAATCGCAGCAGAAAAAAATTGTATTTCTTATAGACTCGTATATCTTTGTCTACCAGTTGGTTCAATCTCCAATTTCACAGGGTTCCACGTTCTTTAGGATAAAATACATTTCAGCACCAAATATTTGGGTTCAACATCCCCAAATGTGCTTGGTGAAGTCTAAATAGTGATGAACAGTTGGTGAAATGTGTCTAGAGATTCCCTCATCCAGTTGTTATACCCATGAATCCACCATACATTCATAATGATTGGTTACACCATATACCCATATATACCCAGCTTATAGAAAACGCAATTTCTCCATCCCCAGTGATGGTTAAATCCATCCTTTGCTGGATGCGCGAGTCGATGGAGGAAGGTTTCCTTAATCTAACTGAGGCATTTCATGAAAGTACAGTTATGGCCATGGCTATCAGTTACAACTGTTTTTTTGTTTCTATGGGATTACTATAAATGGGGTTTTGTCAGTGCTTATAACTTATAACAGGTATTTCGGGCCATGACTGTATCCACCTACTCTCCGGTAATCAAACATGGCGCAGGCCGGAAAATCCTTCAGTTTGCGGATTTCCCAGCTAGCCGGGTTTGATTACCAAAGGTTATATTTAAATTATGTCCCACTGATTATCCCAATTTTATCCCATTGTCCGAATCATATCCTAATTATTCTCCCTACAACCCCATGATATCCTTATTGTTGTCATTATATCCCAGTTATATCCCAGTCATATCCTAATTATTACCTCAATGATTATCCCTATAAACCCCCTATTGCTGCTCCAGGCTGATCAAGGGCTGCGAGAGCGGCGTGCTCAGCTTCTGGCAACATTTGCTGACCCGTGAAACGAAGCCCGAGGGCGAACTGGTGGCCGGGCCTCGGGCTTGGGGAGACAAGAAGAACGGGGGTGTATGTTGGATATAGTTAGCATGTATCAAATATGTATGCACATACATATATATATATATATATACATACATACATAGTGTATGTATATTTGATTATATACGTATATACGCATATATGTATATATGTATATATGTGTACATGTATATATATGTATTAATGTATATATATATATATACATATATATATATGTATATATGTATATATGTGTATATGTGTATATATGCTATAGATATATATATATGTTATAGATGTTTGAGATGTTATAGACGTTATAGGTGGGATATAATAGTGGGATGTAACTGCTGTGTCCACCGTACTGTAATTATCTGTTTTAAGATTTTGAAGCATTTGTTCAGGTATGTGTTTTTTTCTCCCTCAGAGCTGTCGTTTTCTATCTGATGTAACGTGGCAAACTCCAAAGCCACAAGCCTTGGAGGATGATATTCAACGACGTTAGACCGCCAACATGATTCTTGATGAACAATTATTCCCTTCCTGTATATATATATATATATATGTATTGTCGTTATTCATATATATATATATGTATTGTCGTTATTCATATTAGGTTTTAATGAACATTACTATCTTTATTATTAGCATTCTGATTTTTAGTAGCATTATCATTATGATTATTCAATGATTAAATACCAGCCATTTGGATTCCCAACTTAGATCAGGTATTAAACTTGGGTTTCCGGGGTACCTAAGAGTCTTATTGCGACCTGCTCATGTCCCGGCCTGGTTATATACTGAGGAAGACCTGGGAAGGCGATTGGGGGATTTTTGCCGAAGTTTTCTTTGTACTTGGAGGGTCCAGGTAGGTAATCTGGTGGTTTCAAACATGTTTTATTTTCCATTTCATCTATGGGATAATCCTCCCCATTGATGAACTCATATTGTTCAAGATGGTTAAAACCACCAACCAGTAATATAAATTGATGATTTGGCACTGTAGACTGTAGGTGCTCCCATTTTGGCGCATACAAATGTAGGTGTCCTTCCACGTTCGTCTTCCAGTGCTTCGGAAGTACCCAGGACTTCCGTATCTTGCTTGATTTTCCAAGATTTTCTACTGGGGCAGTTTCAAAAAGCCAAATTCGTTCAGGAAACACCAAGGATACCCAGATGCTCCATAGTGCTGGAATATTTACCTACAAAACTGGGCAATTTTGGGGGAAATGTAGGTAAATATTCCAGCACCATGGAGCATCTGGGATAAGGAAACACTAGTGGAAACATGTGTGGAACCCCTAGACGGTCCTCCAAGGTGCTTCCATGGCCCGTGCGATCCCTGGAACTTTCCCCTGTTGCTTGGCGGAGATAGATCTGTAGGGAGCACTGTGAAACTTCTGGTTTTGTTGAACAATAGTTTTTTTTGGGTGTGGGCAAACTTCCGGAGATGATTCTTCTGAAGCAAGTTGAAACCATGGTAATTAGATGTCATTATACCGGTATACCTCGGATCTGCTACACCTGGTCACTAGAAATCTAGCTGTGTGGTGACCCCACAGGTGGGGGGTTCATGCTTCACAGTTCACCAGTTGCGCGCCAGCAACCCCTGTTGTTTTTTGATGTTTCTTGGCCATGTCACCATGTCCACAACCCCTACACGGTGATATTTCTGCTGCTAACGATCTGGTTTCAAGTTTGCAAACGGGGGCACGTGCAGTTTGCCGCGCTGCTCATTCCTTGGCCATGCCGTGCCCCAGGATGCCAACTGGCTAGTGGTCAGCAACCAAGAAGGATCCGTGCGCTTATATCGGGCAGAGTATTCTGAGAACATCCAGGTCCTTGGGTCCTTGGGCATGTCCGGCTTGGCAGCTGCGATTTGCCCAGATTGCCGGCGATCTCCTGATTCTGCTTGCTTAAATCCAACTGTTTCAGACTGTTTCCATGTTTTTTTGGGTGTGTGTGATGCTTAAGCTAAAATTCTTTGTCACACGGCTCCAAGTTTTCAATGTTAACCACCCTGAAGATCAGTTAAGTCATTTTTTCGTGAAATAGGCAAAGTTAATTTTTGAGGCCTATTAACTATTAATTAGTTAATTTTAAAGTTGTCTAATTATAACTCGGCTGACTTGCCTAAGATAAGTTAACTGACTTACCTTAGGCAACTCTTCTTGTGCCTTTGAAAACCACAATGACAAAAGAAGCTTGCAAAATTAGTGTCAGAATGTCACACAGCAACTCCTCAACCACATGAAGCACAAGGAGATGATTGTGAGATTCAGGAACTGCAATTGAGAACCATCAATGTTGAAAAAAAAGGACAAGTTTTGAAATTGAGAAAAAACAGGTTACACATGGTGTTTTTTTTATGAGTCACTGCTGCAAAAACATTGTGCCGTTCTGTTTTGCTATGATTCCTTTATTCCCCCGCCTTCCGTCCACATTCCCCCCCCACATCATATTTTTTGCTATTGTAGAACAATCTGGGGGGAGCAGGTCCTCAAGGTTTGGACCGGAAAGAGGTATCAAGTAGGTTTAGTTTATACATTATTTTATTTTAGTCTAATTGAATAAGGCTTGGAGGGAAACTTGTCTTCAGCATTTGGCAAACTCAAAAAATGTATTCCTTGGGGGGGTGAGCTGCAACTATGATCTCTCAGTTCAAGGCAAGGACTTTAGTTTGTATGAAACATAGGGGAAGCTACCTTCATTTACTGAATCAATCTGATTCACATGAAACAATGGCAAATGTATACAGTATAGGGGGGCTAAGTGGTTTGTGTTCAAACATTGTAATTGCATGGAATAAAGGGGGGACTATATTAGTGACTAATAGTGACTATATGTTGTTTCAACTTCCAAGAAAAAGCATCAAAACACATTCAAAACAAGTATGTCGGGGCTGCTCCACTTCATCTCTCACTCCATCTCCCCGAGGCTCAGCATCAGGTTGAAACCCGTGCCCAAGCCTATCACTATTCGAGAATACTGTGGTTAAAACAATAATAAACCACCCATTTGTGCATGGTTTATGCCACCTATAAAAATGGTGATGACTGGGGGATTGTTTATTATTGTTTTACCCACATTATTCAAGAATGTCATGAGTCTCGGCTACTTACCTAACTCAGTGGGTCCCTTTGCAAAAGAAATGTTTTCTTATTTGTTTGGTTGGGTTTGTGCGCGATTTTTTGGTATAAAATGGAGGCCCCGCGCGCGCGAACCCAACGAAAAAAAAACTTTTGCCACTTGCTGAGTTAGTTTCTTTTCAATCATTTCCTGGTTGCTTCTTTCATCTTTGCTCTCCTCTCTTCTCCCCTCCAAACCTTCCCAAATAGCGCAACTGACTGCCTTGCCAATGTTACTGATGTTTTCGGTTGCTTACGGAATCAACATGTGTAGAATGTGTGGGGTAGAACCTAGCCCCGCTTTGGCAATTTCACCTGTATACAAAACAATATTGAAATCAATATTGAAATATCCACCTGGACCTGAGGAGATAGGGTTTCTTATGACTTCCTTAAACTTGAATTGCTGTCCAATCACCTAAAAAGAAAACAAAAACCAAAGACACACCAAGGGCAAAAGCACCTTTGTGCATCTTGAGCCAAAAAGGCAGTAAATCGATAGGTCCCCTTAAATGATCTTTGGGGAGCTATTGTTGTGACCCATCATCAAGGACACTATACATTAGCAAGTTAAGTTTTAAGTTCGTGCAGCCTCAATATCTATCTTAAGGGGTGGGGGATATTCGTTTCATTGTTAACTTTTTTCTCAGGACAGTGATGTACAAGAATCCCCCTACGCACCTTCACCAACCTAGAAGTAAGTCGTAGAAATACAAAGAATGAATCAACAAAAGGCATAGCATGAACCAACAGTAACTTGGAGACATGCAAAACATGAACCAGCAGTAACTCCTCATGACTTAAATGTAGAACCACTGATGTTTGAGTTATATACTTATTTTTCAGTTGGAGTCACTGTGGAAGTTACGTGCATACATGTGTGTGCAATTTGTTTGAAGTTATTGGCCCAGGCCTTTGGAGTGTTGGAAGTATCAATCTTGACGTGTACATTCTCCAAAGATGTGCGATGAAACAATGCAAGTATATATATATATATTTATTTTTTTTAATATTTAGATACATCAAACCAGACAGTTGTTTGTACGATTTGATGGTTTTCCTAACCTGGGAGCACAATTGTCATAGAATTGTTGCAATTTCTTGGGAGGTACCTTACAAATACGTCACTGAAATTGTGCAAGGTATGTATAAGCGCACAAATTCGCTTAGAAATTGAGTTACCGCAAGTCAAAGGAGTTGCCTGAAGCAAGTGAACTAGAGTTACCTTGTAAATTAATTCAACGTCCTTTGAATGATCATATAAAAAATGTGTTTTTTTTCCTTTAGCTATTTCACGAAAAATTACTTAACTGACCTGAAGAGGTCATTTTTGATGCAATCCACCCTCGAGATTTCCATTCCCATGACATGTGGATTTGCTCTATAAAGTCCATTGGATATTCCCAGAATTGCCACCGCTTTGAGGAATAAAATGCCCACACAAACTCCTTGAAATTCCCACATGCTTTACGTTTTGCTGCAGTTTCCCAGATATTTCTCCAAAGATTTATGGCCATTCAATTCCTCATTTTCCAAGTTTCTCAGGGATCAGTCCATATAGATTTATAGTTTTATATATATATATACCCCACTCAGTCTTCCACAAAGTTTAACTGGGGCTTTCACAACGACAAAGTTTAACTTTGTCTTTGGAAGCGACATGTGTTTACTGGGCATTATCAGACCCAATGATTACTAGTATAAATATATACCGGACTCCAGAGTTTCAAACAAATCCCACTCCAAACCCAGAGCGTGAAAAGTGCGTGAAACGACCGTGAAAAACCCGTGAAAAGACAGTGAAAAACCCGTGAAAACCAATCAAAAACTTGAGCATGGAAACCACATATTTTTATTCAGAATTTTGAGGATTGATTTACGGATTCGATTAGGCTCAGGGGAAAGGTCACCCTTTTTTGACTATCTATATATATATATATATCAGCAGTCAATGAGTGTCTTTAAGTAAAGTCATGGTTTTACTTGGACGACAACGTTTAACTTTGTTCTTGGAAGTAGTGGGTATATACATATGTTATATATGTATATTTTTTATTTAGTTAATTATATGTTCCACCTATTTTTCCAGCATTGTCACATCATTTTCCTCCCATCTCCCCACCTTTAGAGGAAGCCGCCAGCTTCACCGCAGCTCCTGGTGCCAGCGCCGTGGCCCTGAGCGCGGACCTCGGCTGGCTCCTGGCGACGGCCAAGCCGTCGAAGATCGCGGCGTGGCCGCTGGCGCTGCGGCGGGCCACGGCGAGCTTCGGCTTTGCGGAAACGACCAGCAACAGCCACCTGGGCTGAATCAGGTCTGGATGAGATGTGGGGATTTGGGGATGATGATATGATTTGTGTTTTTTTTGGTGGGTTACCAAAGATTGACCATGAGGTGGTTTATACTAATGGTGGTAAATAACTCATGGGATATAATTGGATGATTGACCCAATAACCAGCAAAAGACAATATTTTCTGGATTACCAATGATGTGGTTGATAATAATTGGGGAATTGCTGGTGGAACTTGTATTGTATATTAACCCGCTGGAATATCATTGGGGATATCGGTTTAATCAATCCCGACTGGGTCTGTCTTATCTAAACAACAAGGGGATATTGGGGTTTAAGTAATGAGTTTCTGGATGATGAGATTTGTAAGGGTATTTGTAAAGGTATGATATGAGATATTCAATGGTTTGAGTTTGTGTTTTCTGTCAGGGAAATGTAATGGATAGATACTAGTTAATTACTGTATATTTTTTATGGTTCGGGATATTGATCTATTTATATATATTTATGTGAATAATATACATGTGTAGCGAATTACTGTAGTGAGATAGTAATGGGGATTGAACTGGATTTAAACAATGAGGTGGTTTATACTTACCTATAGGAATAGTGGGATAGTATTGGGTGTGTATAAATATATATATATATATACATACGTTTACATACGTATACGGTAATTGGAAAATCCTTGTTTCACTACCGGGGGGTGTATCCCATTGTCATTCAGCATGACAGGTCGTCAAGTTCCGAAGCGCAGCACCTGAGGCATTCGGGACATACTGCTGTCACCTGGAGAGAACTACCTTCTTACAGGTGCTGTGGTAGCAGCGGTTTTGGGAAACAGAGGTGGGGTTTGCCTGGAAAAAACATGTACCTTGCGTGGTAAATTCACATTGTTATGGAAAATGGTCCATTTATTGAATTATGGATGATTTTCCCATTGAACATTGTGATTTTTCCATATCTATTTTGGTTTACTGGAGGCCCAAAATCCATCAACAAAATTTAATAACAAATACACGAGAGAGGGCATTTTCCCAATGTTCATTGTTATTTTGAGTAAAAGTCATCCAATTTTAAGACGCCCAGGCAGGTTGTGCATTGTAAGCCAAGATGCGAGCAATGAAACGCACATATTTGGCTGGGCAAAATTCATCAAAATTCCAACATCACCATGGCTAGGACCGCTGGGAGCATCGTAATAGAGTAATGTGGTGCCATATGGTTTCCAATACCCTTTTTCGTGGCTAAACCCAAATGTTGAGATAAACTAAAGTACGGTTCATTCAGATTTGGAAATTCAAAAATCTATGAATGTAGCAGCTACCTAATTGCAAACAATCCCCAATGTCAGCATAAAAAGAATTTACATAAATCATCCTCAAATGTTACAGAAACGGCTTCTGACATCGAGCCCTCATGGGTTTACCAGATCATGAGTCATGTACAACTGGGTCTAAGGGGTATAGATTATTTAAATGCTGGTATCATGAATGTACAGTAGAATTTACATGTATACAAGCACCCCACAAAAAGGGACCTTGCCGCGTTTGATCCCTTCAGACTCGAACATCCCTTGGTTGACATGGCTACGTTGTCAAAGGTGATCTCGTTTCGAACAACTCCAGTCCACCGGTGTCTCTCTGGGCAGCATCCGACGTGGACGCAGATGAGAAACCCATCTTGAGCTTGACACTGGGACCAGATGGATGATTCCAGTAGTAGTAGTAGTAGTAGTAGCAGTAGTAGTAGTAGTGGTGGTGGTAGTAGTAGTAGTTGTTGTTGTTGTTGTTGCTGTAGGGGTAGTAGTAGTAGGAGGACTAGGGGTAGTAGGAGGAGTAGCAGGAGTAGTGAGAGTAGTAGTAGCAATAAAACATATTATGGCAATAGTTGTTGAAATGGTTTCAACACTTGAAAAACATAATTGAAGGATGATCCCAGAAGTCTTTAGAGATGGGAAGTGGGGGTTGAATTTGGAAGATGGTTTGGGATTGTTTGGGGGCAGAAGAGGGGACATAATGAAGCAAAATCTACGGTGTACGGGTTGCAGGGATTTAGAGATTGACTTACCTATACTGCTGCCTGGACGAGGCTGAGGCTGGGTTTTCTGTTAACATCTGTAAACCCTTTCCTGTTCCCTCCCTGTTGGCTCAAACATACTTTCATGGAGGCCACATTTCTCAAAACTTGGCCGGAATGATGCAACGATGTCACCTGAAAATTTGTTTTCTTCAAACCTTAAAGACCTGAGGCAAAATGTTTTGCTGCCTCGTTGGTGTCCATGACTCCTAGGCCGGTGAAGGGCGCCTTTTGCTGCATGCTGTCGGTGTCTGATGATGAGGCATGCGATTTGCGCGAAGCTGTCGAAGCAAGGGTAAAACCCCGTGGGTTCCCACAAACCGGTTGAAGGGAACAATTACTGTAAGAGAAACCCATGACTAAATCAATCCACGGACTATAGTGATTGATGATTAGGAGTGGGAAACCTGAAATGGAATAAACCGTTGTGGGGATCAGTGTGGATTGTTTGTGTTATTCAGAATCCATGTTTGGATTCTTGGATCTTAAGGACATGCTTAAAATACTGAATGGACAGTCAAGATTCAGTTTTCTGACTTTGATAATCACCCCGTCTAAATTGCAAAAAAAACGCAAACATAATTTGGGTTAGATTTACCCTATTCAAGGCAAATTCACCATTAAATTATGGTGGGTAAATTCGCCAGAGCCCGTCCGACGATTCAACGCCAGGAGCCCTGGCAAGTGGTCATCGGCTCCCATCATTCTGTCAATGGCAGTGTGGTGTCTGAGTCCCTTAGCACAGCTGAAGCAACCATGGCTGGGTGGAAAAGCAACGCATGTGTATGCATTCTTGAGGGGGAAGTGGAAAGTCCTGGTCCTGATGGTAAAAGTTTTCATATTCAAAATTTAAAATTGGCATTGATTTTCACAGCCAGGGCTCACAAAAGGAATGCGTAGTGGATGCGACGGGTGCACGTAGTGAGCCTTCCCGACCTCCAAAATCCAATGGCATTTGATTTCTTCAATGCTGAGCTATCGGACCTATCGTCAGACGGAATCGGCCCAACAGCTCTGGAATATTCCATGTAAGGCCGCTGGATCTATTTTTAAGGCAACAGCAGCCCTGGTTTGAAGGTACATGGGTGTCGCATGGCGTCAATATGAATCAGGTTTGAAACTCCATGTAGGGGGTGTCCCAACCACAAAGCAGCGATGATTCTCAGGTTGCAACTTTGGAACATCACAGGGGCTACAGCTGTAGCCACCCTGCAGGTTGGATCTGGAAGCCGTCCCAAAGTGGGTTCAAGAAGCCCTGGTTTAGTGTTAGATCTATTCATTGTGACACTCATCTGGTTGGTGGTTTGGAAAATGATTTTTATTCTTCCATTCAGTTGGGAAGTTCGTCATCCCAACTGACGAACTCCATCATTTTTCAGAGGGGTAGGTCAACCATCAACCAGTCATGTTGGGGAATTCAATATTCGGGATGGGATTTGTGCTGGATGATGACGGTGAATTCAACAATGAAAATTGATGTTTCCCCCAGTACCGTTTTTTTTTTTTTTTGTGGCGATTGTGCGCATGATCTTGTACAGTTATGGCCCGAGTTATGCCAGTTATAAGTACCAACAAAACACCATTTATAGGATGTATAATCCCATTTATAACCACTTGTAACTAATAAATGGCCATAATAGATAAATATGGTAAATCATTTTAAGCCTGGTAAATGTGGGAATTTGGATGGATTCATATGACATTTCGAGGGGCCCAATTCGAAGCAAAGCCACCAGCATTTGGTTTCTACGCATGCTCTGAAAAAAAACATTTGTCGATATTTGTCTCATATAGCCAACTGACAATATAGGTACTGTAGATTGTTAAGGTCTGTTCGATGATTTTCTCATATTTTTCCACATCTAGACCTCCAGTTCAGGCCTTCCCCAGGACGTTGTCGTCGATCTCCATGCCAGGCAAGCTACGCCGTTCCAAACTGCAAAGTCCTGAGCCTCACGTGGCTTGCGAAGTCGACGGCTCTGATCGTGGGGTGCAGTCGCCACTCGGCACTGAAAATGAAGGCGTTTTGATGTTGGTAAAGCAATGTCATAAACCACCCACACATTATATATATATGTGTGTGTATAACATACATAGTATTAAAATAGTTCATATATATAATATGATATATTTTAATATAATATAATATAATATAATATATTATAGAATACACTATAATATAATATCATAAATTATATAATACAATATAATACAATATAATATAATATAATATAAAATAATATAAAAGATATGATCAACTATAATATAATATTCAATAATATATAGTATTAAATATATATATATATATATATATATATACATATTGAAACATAGATGATGTATTTTAATATTACATAACAAATATAATGTGTATTAAAATATGTAATATAATATGAAATAGATTTTAATATTATATGTATATAATTTATAATATCTCATATATAATTTAATGTCATAATATGTTTCAATATATAAAAACGATAATTAACCATATATGACATATATGAAACATGTTTAAACATATATAATATGTAAGAAATCAAACGTGTAATATATAATCTATTTTTCTTAAATTTTATATTATATATTATAAAAATAGTTTTAATATCATGCCATAATATAATATAGTATAATTTGCTTTAATTTAATATAATATATATTTTCATTTAATATAATATGATATAATTAAAAAAATATTTTAATACAACATAATTTAGTAGGATAATGTAATAGAGTAGTCTATAGTAGAATATATTATGATATGATGTAATGTTAAATAATGTAAAATAGTATATAATAATATAATATACGTTCATAGATTTTTTAATTTAATATAATATGATAGAATATAATTTAATATAATGTAATATATTCTTAAAAAATATTAATGTAAAATAAAATAACAATATGGATATACAATATACATATTTTTTACACATACACACACATATATATATATGTGTGTGTGTTCATGCATTGATTGTTGGAATCCACCCATAAACATCCGTTAACATTGGCAAATTGGGGGATGGTGGATCCTTTCGCTTTACTAACATGACAGCTGCGATGTGAGCTATTTGATGCTGGAGTCACAGACCGGGGATGCTGAGCAACCCCGGATTATATAAAAAGGTAGATGGAGAAGTTTCTTTGGAACCAATATGGGTGATTGACAGAAGAATGCTTACTCCCTGTTCGTGAGATTCACCATGTGGGATTGTTAGAAAATAGGATCGAACGAAATCTCATGGCTCATCATCATGTTCCGATCGAGATTGACATACGGGTGGCCATGCCAGCAGATTGACTGATACACTATTGATGAAACATTGCCATAGCATCCCCAACCTTGGATGGGTACATAATTTCATCATGTTTAATCCTTAGCTTTTTTCCCTTATAATTTGTTAAAATATGTTAAAATCAGCAGCCAATCAGCAAACGTTGACCGTTTTTGTTTGGGGTAACTCCTCCATGGGGCAGCCAGCCACGCCAGAACTCTCCAAGACCCGCCAAGGTAAACTGACGGTGTTGAGGATCCAGGGCACTTCAGCACCTGGGACGGAGCATTGGATGGGATTGAATGAAGCAAAAAAAGTGGGATTTCAATGGAATTCATGGAATATATTAGGATATGATTCAATTTCATGGGAAATATGACCTGCTTGGGGGGTGAGTTCCATAAAGATGCCACTGCGGTGCGAACCTCGTAGTAACCATTTAAGACTTCAACAGCCGAGTAGGATTAGGTTGGATAGGACAGTTTTACTTTTGAGATTGGATAGGTAGGATTGGATAGACTACATGGACAGGCTTAAGTGTGGGTATATATACTGTTTGGTGGTTTCAAACAGGTCTAGGCTCAAAACCTGTCAGACCAGGGGTAGACCTACGCTAGCTGATTTGAGCGGTTTGTTTGCAATGGAAACTGAGTGGGACACTGCCATCGCCCGTCATGAGATGTTTTCCCCCAACTGGTCCCGGTTGTCTAAAGGGGATACAATTTCAGTTGTCATCAATGGCCTGGTTTTTACAGAGGAGGTTGTCATTGGTCAGTCGCTGCCGGACAATCAGCCGATTCGACTGTATGGTGACATTGATGCTCAGGTGCGTGGCTGTAAGTGTTTGACTGTGTTGGGTGCTGTGGTTGACTTCAAGCCGCCGTTTGTGGATTTGTTGTTAACTGACTTAAGCATGACCCTTGCCCATGGACTCAAACCTGCTGCCGACCTTTTCAAGACTGTTGAATTTTGTGCTGGACTTGGTGCCACTGGTGTTGGACTTGCTGCTGCTGGTTTTGACTTGGCGTGCAGTGTTGAGTGGCGTTCCCCCCTTGCTGCTGTCTATGAAACTGTGCACCCCACCGTCCCGGTTATCGTTGGAGACATCACTGAGTTGGAATGCCTCAAACAGGTTGCTGCACTGGTGGACTCTCCGTTCTGCCTCACAGCCGGAATCAGCTGCCAGCCATATTCCATTGGAGGAGCTCAGGGAGGCAGCACTGATGAGAGATCAAGCACACTGCCAGCTACCATTCGTGCTTGCTACCTTTTTCAATGCCCGCTCCTGATCCTGGAGTGTGTACCGCCAGTCCGTACCAACCGGTACGCGAGATCCCTTCTTTTGGCTCTGGAGAGGGAATCGGGGTACCATTTGACTGAGGTCACACTGCGCTTAGAGGACACATGGGCATCACGCAGGTTCCGTTGGTGGCTTGTTGCGACACATCCATCACTTGGCAAGGTCTCCATCCCTGATTGGCCACAAGCTCCAGGTTTGGTGGTTCGTGATCTGATGCCTGTCATCCCTTCTTGGTCAGACGAAGTCATTGAGGAGCTTCGACTAAAACCCCATGAAACTAGCATGTTCACGTTGGATGGATCACACATGAGGAAGTATGTGTTGCAACTTGATCAGAAGATGCCGACATGTTTGCATAGCTGGGGGAGCCCTGCAGATCCATGCCCATGCACCTGCCGAGCAGAGCCCTTCAGTGAAGCCTTGATCAAGAGTAGGGGCATTTATGCTGTAGTGGTCCCAATTCCATCAACCACTGGAGAACCCCAGTATCGGCACTTGCACCCTGCTGAACTTGCCGTCTTGAATGGACTTGTGCCTCCCGATGTTTGGACTTCTTCACATCACCCATCACTGCGTCTGTGTCTCTGTGGCGTTGGACAGTTGGCTTCTCCCTTGCAAGCGTTGTGGGTTGGGGCATGTGTTCGCACTCAGTTGTTGCATAGGCTTGGGCTCCCTGCACCAACGTTGACACCAACCGGTGCCTTGCAGCAGATGAAACAGCAGCTGTATGAAGCCGCCAAAGCCATGTTTCTCAGTGCGCCAACCGTTGCACCCACGATCCCAGATCCAGAAGACGCCGATGTTGTCCTGCTGTCCCCGTCAGAGGTTGTACTTCTGTATGCTGACACCACCCAGGTCCGTGTCCAGGTGTCTCCTGAAGCCACTGTTGCACAGTTGCGCCAAGCAGATGATGCCTTGCAAGGAGTTGATGACGGAAAGTGGATCGATGCAGTCACATGCTGTGCGTTGTCAGGTGATGACACTGTCAGTGGAAGGACCATCCGAGTCTGTGCATCCCCGTCCAGTGAACCCATGTCGGAGCCGGCCATTGATCCCAATGAGCTTGAACGTGAGGTACCGTTGGTCCCTGTCGGTCCCTTGGTTGTCACTCCTGCGTCCACGTCCAGCCCAGCTGATGCCATCGAGCCCGCCAGTCAGTCAGCCATCAAGCGCCATTGCACTGTTGATGTTCGTTTGCCCAGTGACACGTTGCACGGCTTTTTGGACTTGTCTGGAGAGCAGTTGGCTGCTTTGATCCCTCCGTTGGTTGTCACAACTGAGCATTGTAGTGCCTTACGTCAGGCCACGACCACCAGCACCATGCGTTTGCAGATCCTGCAAAACCAAGGAGCTGCTATGGCAGATGATGAGTTACACCTTCATGTGTTGTCTTGCGTGCAACTCACAGGCCGCTTGGACTTGGCCTTCTTGGATCCCTTGCTTGCCACTGGATGGCTTCGGTGCGGTACAGTTGATCAAGTCAAGACATGGATGCACAGTGTCCCTCATGCCACCTCCATTGTCAGTGTTGTTTTGCTTGACGGCCATTGGATTCCAATTATGTGGTCACGTGGTTTGAGTGAGGTCCGTGTCACAATGTGGGAACATGATGATGTGTCCATCGAGCCTCTTTTCCCTTTGCATGGACTCATCAGCCAAGCTTGGGAACGACCCATGTTCTCCCTGGCATGCTACCGCCGATCATTTGCCAGAGACCACTGCGGTGCTGCGTCGGTGTGTTTCTTAGGCCATGTCTTACTCAACAAGCCTTTGCCTGTCCACGCTGAGGACCTCTTGCGCATCCATGAGGAACTGAGGAGCAGTTTTGGTGCAGCCCTTGGACTTTTGACAGATGTGCCCAAGCCATGGGGTTGGGGCCTTGGTGTTCCCGATGTTGTTGGTCTTGTCTCCAACCTGCTGCAGCTCCATGGTGTCCCGCATGCCCAGTGTCAGTTACGTGCCAAGATGCTGATCCAAAGCTTGGGAAAGACGGAAGTCCAAAGTGCTGTCACTGGAATCACGCCGTGGAAGTCACTGAAGATTTTGGCCAATGCACACAAGCCGGTGATCCAGCTCGTGCTGCCTGACGAGCAAGCCCAGTACGCTGCATCCAAGCAAGCATCCGCCCCACAAGCCAAGAAACAGCCAGGTGGTACCAAGCGCCTTACACCCGCCCGACCAGCTGAGTTGGACCCTGCCAAGCTGGTCATTGACCATGGAGCCTTTTGTGTGGATTGTGATGAACCTCTCATGCAGACACCATTCAATGCTCTTGGCCCGCTGTCAGTAGGAGTTGCACTGGCCACGTTCCAGGATGCCAAGCCTTTCTTGGATGCAGGCTCCCTGTTGTCATCTGGTGGACTTGCCATGCTGATCATCAACCCTCCAGCTGATTTTGCCACGTCGCTGCAATGGTCCTCTTTGCGGTTTGCTGCCAGGTGTGCTTATAACCAGGAGCCCATGTTGCTGTCAGGTGCACTTGTCCAGCTTGGACGGAAGACCGTATATCAGTACAAGGCGAAGAATGTCCCTGCCATCATGTCAGTTGAGGTAGCTACTGTTTACTTTGACCAGTGGGAGCAAAATTGGGAAGACTTCGCCAGCAAGCCTGTCAAGCATGTCCTTGCCTGCATCCCATGCCTCCAGACCTGTCGCGTCCCGTCCTGTCAATGTCCTGGCTGGCACCCGTCCCCGACTGACCAGCATGATGCTTTGTTGGATGTTTTCCGCCGGCAGTTCTTTGGTGAAAATGGCCGTCCTACCAAGTGGGACAAAGCAGACTACTTTGCTGTCCTGATCAGGTATGTGAAGTGTTTGGAGCCTGCCGTGCTTACATTGAGCGGCCGCTGTGGCCTTTTCATTGAACCCAAAACTGAGGATGCAATGCAGCCACATGGTGACTACCAGGTCATCTGGTTACCCAGCTTGGACTTTGCCACGGTGTCTCACAAGGCCAAAATCGAGGCTCACTGTCTGGGAATTGCCAGGTCAGGACGACGCTATGGACTCCGCGTCAAAGCCCAGCATTTCCAAGAGGTCTTTGCAAGTGTAAAACCTGAAGCAGTCTTCCTTGCTCCTAGGTCTCGGATGACCTACCATACTGGCCCATGGCCGTATGGATGCGACAGAAAGAGCATCGCTCGTGCTCTCAAAGCGGCAGGCTGGAAAGCTCGACCTTTGCAACCGCTGCAGAATGTGCCGGGTGGTCTTGTCTGGTCAGTCCAAGCAGTTTGCGAGCCCCCAACCAATGTGCTTGCCATGCAGCATGGGCAGGTCGTTTTGACACGCCATGACACAAAGCCAGCACCAGCTGAGTTGCCGCCCAACGTTGTGGGTCAAGAGGCCACAGTGCGCATGTGCTCCACCATGCCTACCACAGAAACGGATCCGTGGCTCACGCATGACCCGTGGAAGAAGGCCATCGCTGCAGCCCCGCAGCCACCCGTGCCTGCTCCAACTGCCAATGCCCTGCAGGAGTTGGAAGACCGAGTCGAGCGCAGCATCTTGGCCAAGCTGCCCCAGCAGAATGAGGGTATGGAGGTGGATGACCAGGACCAGCGCATCGCCCAGCTCGAGATGCAGCTGCACCAGTTAGCTGGACGCCAGACCCAGCTGGAAGCCACTGTCTCTGACAACCATGCCCAGCAGTCCGCCCAGGTCCACAACCTCCAACAGCAGATGTTGGTTCAGATGGACCATCAATCCAAGCAGATGCAGACGATGCTGACAGACCAGATGAGCAGGATCGAAACGATCCTATCCAAGAAGAGCCGAACAGAGTGACGGTCCGGGACCCCTGCGCAGAAGCCCGCTCGTGGGGGGATCCCATGGTTTTTCAAACCATTTAGGGCCTTTTTCCTCGCCTTTTTGTTTATGCAGACTTGCCGCATTGGTGAAGCTCGAAAGCCTGGCCCCAACACTGATCCGACTTGGAGCATCGGGATTTGCAATCCCTCTGGATTGCAAGGGAAGTATCAGTTGGTTAGCGGTGTTGACGCCAACATTCTGGCCATCAGCGAGTCTCATTTGACCAAAAGATCCATGCACAATTTTGACCTTAGCCTTCGGGCGATGCATTCACGTTTCACCAGAGTGATCACTGGTGCCCCTTTGGCACCTCGTTCCCACAGTAGCGATGCTGGAGGATATGCCGGGGTAGCATTCACCTCCACGTTCCCCTGCAGAACTGTAGCTGTCCCATGGCCTGCAGATGCATATGAGTCCAGCCGTGTTCAGATTGGTTCGTTCTTCAGCCCAGCGGGATGGGTCACAGGCTCCGTTGTCTATGGATACCCAGCCGGAAAAACACATGTGGATGCCAAGGCGAAGACAGAGCAGCTTTTGGATTTTGTCGTTAATCACTTGAACGCTGTGCCAGGTCCCCGTTTCTTTGCCGGTGATTGGAATTTTGAGATTCATGAGCTTGCCTTGGTTCCTCTTTTGCGTGCGGCTGGTTGGGTTGAAGTGCAGGACCTTCTGCATAGCCGTACAGGCGCCCCGGTGCAATTGACTTGCAAGGCAGCCACAAGAAAGGACTATCTGTGGTTGTCCCCAGAACTTGCGTTGGGCTTTATGGATTTGCAATTGGACTTTGAGACCTTTGCTGACCATGCAGTGCTTGTGGCCCAGTTCCGCGGCGGTATCCCTCACATGGAACGTTTTGTCTGGCCTTGTCCGAAACCTGTCCCATGGCAACAGGTCCCTGAACCCCCTGGCGCTTTGGACTTTCAAGCCCCAGTTGACCCCACTGCCCAATATGCTGCTCTGTGGTCTTCCCGTGAAGCTGCTGCCAAAACTGCACTTGCCGGCGACTGGCTCCCCAGTATGCGTGGCCGTGGCCAACAAACCAAGCCAAGGCGAGTTGTGAGCAGACCTGCACCGATCAAGCAAGGTCGCAGCACGGATGTTCAGCCACACTTTTTTGGGTTTTCCGTTGTGCACACCCAGAGGTTCAAACAGGTGAGGAGGTTGCAAAATTTTTGTCGATGGGTTGACAATCATGCCAATGGCCACTCGTCGGATCCATCTCATGGAATTGCCCTGTGGAATTCTGTGCTGCGTGCCCCTGGTTTTGCACCTACTTTCGCTCAGTGGTGGCCCCATCGACTATATGTCAGCCCAGCGGACCCTGTCGACATGCCAGCGTACTGTCCTCCTCCGTGCGTTGCACATCACATCTTTGATGCGGTCCTTGCTGAAGTCCGTCTGTTTGAACAGCGGTTGAATCAGATGCGTGCTGCCCACCGGATCCATCAACACAAGCTGGATCGCAACCTGGTCTTTCGGGAACTTGCCCGACCACAGGCAGCGCCAGTTGAGTCTCTCCTTCACCAGGTGTCAGGAGTCGTGGAGTCGGTTGATGTTGATGAAAGTGCCATTGAGTTGAAAGCTCCTGTAGATGTCAGAGATGACCTCACCCTGTGGGTCGGAGGTGCCCCCAAAACTGTCATCCATGCGGAAGCTGACAAGGTGTGGATCGACGATGTCACGGATGTCACAGCTGATGCAGTCATGACCCAGTCTGAGCCTGTTGGGGATTTGGCCACCATTTTTGATGCTTTCCACACCCAGTGGAAGCAGCGTTGGTGCCGGCATGACAACACTTCGTTTCGTCAGTGGGACCAGCTCCTTGGATTTGCCCAACGGATCATGCATCCCACACCCATTCCTCACCTTGCTGTCGATGTTGACCTTCTCAGGGCTGAAGTGCACCGGAAAAAGAAAACCGCGGCAACGGGGTTGGATGGTGTCAGCAGACAGGACCTCATCCATGCTGATAACCAAACGCTCCAGAGCATCACAAATGCCTTTACCCGTGCCGAGACGGATGCGGAGTGGCCATGCCAGCTCTTGGCTGGCAAAGTCCATTCGTTGGCCAAGCGCCCTGATGCAAGTGGCCCCAGCGACTATCGCCCAATCACTGTCTTTGGTTTGGCTTACCGTGCCTGGTCCAGCCTTCAATCCAGGCATTTGCTTCATTGGGCTGAAGAGTGGGTTGATCCTGGAGTGTATGGCAACAGAAAAGCCCGACAGGCCTCTGACCTTTGGCATTGGTTGCTTTTGCAGGTTGAAACTGCCTACAGTACGGGCCAATCAATTTGCGGGGTCTCAGGGGACTTGGAGAAATGCTTCAACTGCATTCCACGCTACCCAGCGCTGTGCCTGGCCATCCTTGCCGGGACACCTGCCTCGGTCACTACAGCTTGGGCTGGTGGACTTGCCCAGATGAAGAGGCATTTCAAAGTCAGGGAATCTTTCTCTGCTGGCTTCCTCACCTCAACTGGACTTGCCGAGGGTTGTGGTCTCAGTGTGTACGGGATGCTTCTTGTCGACCATCTGTTCCACAAATGGATTTCCTTCCAGTGCTCCCCCGTACGTTCCTTGTCGTATGTTGACGACTGGCATGTCTTTACATGGGACTCCCAGTCTGCCCTGCGTCAGTTGGACTTGGTTGTGGAATTTGCCACCATGTTGGACTTGTCTGTCGACCGTCGCAAGACGGTAGCCTGGTCAACTGACCCCCACCTCCGCCAGCTGCTCCGGTCTCAGCAGGTTACCGTTGTCCACCATGCCAGGGAGTTGGGTGGCCACTTTGGGGTGTCCCGACAATACACCAACAAAACAGTGGCACAGCGTATTGAAGCTTTGGAAGACCTCTGGCCCAAACTTCGCATGAGCAAGGCCAGATACCAAGCCAAGGTATACATGTTGCGTGCAGTGGCCTGGCCGAGAGGTTTGCATGCCATTGCAAGTGCTCCCATCGGTGACAACATCTGGACTGAGCTCCGCCGCCGAGCCACGCATGCGCTCGGGCTGCAGCGCCCTGGTGTCAACTCCAGTGTCCTGTTGGGCCTTGTCGAACCGTGCACGGACCCCCAACATGTTGCCCTCTTGTGGACTTGCCGTGCTGCCCGAGCTGTCTGTGACTTGGATTTTTGGTCTGTGTCGGTTGCTTGTGCAGCTCACGGTGATGTTGACTTGCCCCCCAATTCGGTCGCCTCCATCCTCCTCACCCGGCTTCACCAGGTTGGGTTCACGATTGACCGTCAGGGTTACGTCAGTGATCAGTTTGGCCGCTTCTCCCTGCATCACACCAACTCAGCACTTGGATGACCGGCGTGGTTGTTATGTAGATAGTGTTCCATAGCGTACTTAGTAAGTCCTTCGTAACATGCATTAACCTAGTTTGTAAGTTGTTGTAAGTCTTATAAGTCAGCCTGGTTTACATACTAAGTAGCCAGCGCTAGGATAACTACTTACTTTGTGCGCCATCAAGTTAGTACCTACTTATGCTCTTTAAACTATAAGTTCAATATGTATGGTTGGCAAAGAAAGGAAGTAGTTAATATCTACTATAAGTATACGTATGGCTTACTTATAAAATCGTTTTGGCGTACTTATAAGTGTGCCTTTGGCCTACTTAGCAAGCTCGCCCCGGCCTACTTAGTAAGCTCGCCCCGGCCTACTTAGTAAGTCCGCCACAGCCTACTTAGTAAGTCCACCAAGCCTGGGAAAAATTATGATCTTGACTCAACCGTACTGAATACCTTAAAAAAAAGACTGGCCAAAATAAAAAAAACTATGGCTGATGAAATTGATGGTTAGCATTTTTTTTTGGTGAAGGGACGTTTCTGTTTAGGCAGAATAAAAAAAACACAACACATTTTTTGATATGGTTTGCATTTTATTCAGCAAGAGGCGCTGAAAACAGTTTTTTTCTCAAAAAATGTTGCTTCGAATTTGGCGTCAGCATCCTCTGTGTTTTGGGGATGTGGTTTCAAGAACTGAGAGATGCATATTGTATGATGGTCGACCTTTTGATTTGAGAACATATAGGTTAGAAACTGAGGCAGGTTCAAAACTAACGCAGTTGGGTCTGATGGCTCGCTGCCGACAAATCAGACAACAGCAATCTTTTGCTGGAATCAACTTGCGAAGTTATATTGCGCCCAGAAAGCATCAGCGCAACACGTTTTTCTGCACTACAGTTCTTTTTTTGGGGGTTTTGAAGCAATGATTCCACCGCTGGTCCTATAGGGCGGCAAGGATTGAAAAGAATGCGCTGTACCAGCATCAACACGGCAATCTGCAGGTCAAGAACCCTGCATCTCCAAAATTTTGTGCATGTTTTTTTTGATTTTCGAGTGGCAAAACAGTCAAGTGGTGCAAAGCCGCCCCCAGTGCCAAAAATTATAACATGTTCTTGGCGCATTTTTTCAGCAAACAAGAGAACACGATCAACAACCACAGAGTCACACAAGTGTTTGAAAATGCACTTTTGAAAACACTTGCAGCTATATAGGCAGTGCCGAGCAGTTCACTCACAAATAGTTGATTCAGGTAGTCTTAATGATACATATTGAAATTTGAAAATGAATTTCACATTCACTGGAAGTGTAGATCGATGTTTCAGCTGCCTTGGATTTCGGTTTTGAAGAAAAAAATCTATACAGGGCCACTGAATTTTTGCCGTCCACTGATCGTGTAATGTCAGTTTACATGTTGTGTTTATGGCCACGTGAGTAATCTTAAAATGCCAAAATGGTTAAAGGCTACGACTGAAACTTATGCATTGGATTTATTGGATTGATAGAGAGCTCTGATCATCGACCAATCTGGTTTATACCTTGATTCTGGAGTTTCACAGCGCCGCTCCGCCATGTGGAAGCTGAACATCCAGTCCATCAAGGCACATAGTATACAAAAATGTTGTGGTGTCTCATTGGATACATCTGCGAGTGTCATGAAAGAGGCCATCAAAAGGAAGTGATCAAACATGAATGTGAGGCCATATGCCACCAGAATAAATTAACATACCTTTGAAATGCGGCTATCAACCATGTCAATGCATATATACAAAGGCAAAACTGGTCATGAAACATTATATGTAAGGGTTCAGTGTTCAACGGTTAACTGCAAAACTCTATATATATATATATATATATATATATATAGTTGGCTTCCAGGTGATGGAAACGCTTCTGTTGGAAGACGACGCCAAGTTGGAGCAGGCAAGGGCCGGACGTGCAAAAACGATATGTTGGGCGACTGCTCGCATGTACAGATTAAGTTCTGGTTGAGCATGGCAAAGTTGACAGTTACATGCATGTGGTTTCTGAATCATGGCAAACACAGTTGAAGAAGCATGTTTCAGATGTCTTGTTGAGAGTCAACATTGAGCAAAAGGGCCACAGATCTCAAATTCCTGAGTAAGGATCCGTTTTGCGCCTATAAGTTCGCTGGGCTCTAAAAGAGCTCGCGTGCAACTATCGGCATACTGCATGTCTCATGCAAACCCAGCCTGCCGAATCAAAGAGTTATCCAGCTGCTTCCACGGTGACTTGAGCTCAAGCAAGTGAAGGACATGTCAAGAATCCCAATTGAGAATAATGCATGCAGACAAGTATAATGCAGTATAGAATGACAATAAGGAGCATTATGCAAATCGATGCAAAAAGGAATTTCAAAGGGGGCAAAATACCGTACAATAAACCTTTACAGATTTTGCCATTGTGATCGAAGATGGAGCAAGTGCACAAGGACAAGCTGAGAGAGTTCGTGGCTCGTAGCAGCGGATCTAAAGGCGAAGGACTACTGACAGAGATGAACAAGCTCATGGACTACCTGTTCGAGCACAACTTGGCGTACCGCACAACTGTGCGGTGCAGTGTGGTGGGGGTCCACCCCCAAAACAGGGACGGTATGGGCGTCTCCTGCCATCATGTTGCCGAGTTGATTAAGAGCATCCATGCTCTGGGGTTCGACCCAAGCAAAGTCAACATGCTTCTGGTCGAGATGTTGCCAGGCACCCCAGAAACTGCAAAGGCGATACAGTTCAATGACAGGATGGCTATGGTATCCAGTGGCCGTCTCCCATCAGTTGCATGTGGTGGCCCTTTGCGGTACTGCACAATACAAGGTTCACATACCAATATGGCGTGCAGGTCGCTCCTCTATGGTGCTGCCAGTGATGATCCAGCTTTGGCCGACTCCTCAGGCAAATTATCGATAGACCGCATTGGAAGCCAGTGGGCAGCAGCCATCAAGAATGGCATGGAATGCACAGTTTTGACCAGCGCTGTTGCCACAGCCAACCCTGACATCATCAGTTTGCTGCAGGCTTCGGGCAATGCAGTCCAGCAAATCAGCAAGGAGGAAGATGAGATCCAAGTCAGCAACCGGATCATCCAAACCATCAACTCCTACCAGAGCTTGCATGGAAAGACGCCTTTGTGGTCAGACATTAGCAACCAAGTTTTGAGGAGCCAACCGAAATGCAAAGAGGCTGCCCCAAGCATCTTCTTGTTCTCTTTGAAATATTCAGCAGGGGATGCCTTTTGGACAGAGACCGAATCATATATTCGTGCTCATGGGCTTTCTCGAAATCTGGGATTGGAGACATGGACAAACTTGTCTACAGACCTGAAGGGTGATGCCAGGGTTTGGTATCGACACATGCTGCTGAAGTTTGCTTTCTGCAACGCAGAGCGAGTTCTTTCAGCCAGTGATGTTCCTTGAATTGTGCTGGTTTTTCTTTTTCTCCAGAAATGACTTCTTTTTGACAATCACAGGCATTGAGATAATGGCCGGTTATTGTTATAACTTTTGACAGATCTATGTATATACATATCTATTGTTTGTCCAGATGTATGGCATGAAGATGTTTGCGCGCGCTTGCCTCTTCAGGCCAAGAAAGCTTTGAGCAACAAAGAGCTCTTGAAGGAAGCGGTCAACCTGGTCAAAGTAGCAGCCCAGTGGAAGAACATTGCTCAGACATTGTGCGCTGATGAGAAGAAAAAACTTGCCATGAAGAGTCACATGGGACACTTGGAGGTCCATTTGATTTCCATTTTGCTGGACCGAAAGAAACGCCAATATGAAACCATGGGCCAGGCTGCCAAGGAATGCATGGCTGAGTTGGTGACGGAGACAGGGGCTATAATTCCAACACTGCCAGATGAGTGGTCAGATTCACCACAAGACGGAAGCTCAAAGCCGACGAAGGATGATCGCCCAAAGGGTCCAGCTCGTTTGGCTCAGCACAAGTACGCTGCATCTGGAGCTTTGGAGAATGTGGAAGAAGTTCTGGCTTCAAAGGGCTTCCAACCGGGCATGCAAGCCACACGAGGAGATGTGACATGCACGATCAGGAAAATCACCACATCAGACGTGGAGATCCTACTGGACGACCAGACGATCAAGGTGGTGTCAGCCTCTTCATTCCTCAATGGGGAATGGAAACTGAACAGCAAAACCAGCAAGGAGCAAGAGGAAGTCGAATGGACTTCAGACCAGCCAGCCACGTCCATTGAGATGCAGCTTCAAGTCTTGAAGGCCAAGACTATGGTGGCTTGTTGGGATCAGATGCAAACAGCCAAGTGCAAAGATGCCTTGAACTCGCTCTCTGTTTTCAAAGGACCAAGATCAGTGACAACCAGTAAGACCTGGGCTCCAAAAAAAATGGAGATCCCCTGTGCAACCAACAGAGTGACCACATGCGAAATTGGGAAGGAAGGCCAGAATGAGTTGGTCATTGGTGCCTACAAGAATTTCTACGTGTGCCTTTCTCCTGCGACCAAAATGGGGACCTCGGAGGGCCCATCAGGCTGTTGCAACCCCTTTTGGATGATCCCAAAGTCTCTGGAACCTGATGAGGTGAATGTTGAGGCGTGCAAGGATGTTTGATTATATGAGACTTACATATTATACTAACTTCTATATGTGGCTGTGTCTTGACCTCTTGATTGTTTGTGCCTGAAAGCTTTTGTTGCCTTCAAGTTTATCACTTTCCCAACTTGTAGACTTCAAACGCAGGTGCACCCAAACATGGACGTCCTGAAGAAGACGAAATTGAGCCTTGAGCGCTCAATCACTCTTCCGGTTATCCGGAATGTGGGCAAGCTTGAGAAGGAGACGTGCCTGACGATGATCGCGATGAAGCGGAACAAGGAACAGGAGGTGGAACCGCTGAGGGAGCCGCCACCCAAGCGACGCCGGGAGAAAGGTTCATGAGCTGGGTGGTTCAAAAGGGCTGGGCATTTTCTCGCCCTTCTTTTGCATACAGACCAGCGCCTGTCAGCGCGATTCTCCACGCAAAGAGTGAAAATAAATTGCGGCCAGTGATCGTTGAGGCTTACCATGGTTCAGGTTGCATATATTATATAGACTGCAACTCCCCGTGGGCAAAATCTGCTGAGGTCAGAGCCAACATCACTTCAGAGTGCGGTGTCCCAGAGCCATCAGATGCTGCACCTGCCATATATACTTGCTCTGTCCTGTAGAACTCTGTGCACCCATGGAGGCTGCTGTGCTTTTTCCAAAAGCTCGCAGCTCGCATGCTACTTTCATGACTGCAGGTTTTATGTGTGATCTCAGTGCAGCTGCATGCGTACAAACACATGCAGAAGGAAAGGGTTAAGATTTGAAACTGGCTACACATGCATTCGTACCTGGAGAGGTCAACAGGACATATAGTGCTCCCAGGTCATATGGGCGAACTGATCATGCTTTGCATGGCTATGTGGAAGAGGTTGCAACATACTTAAGAGTATTTAGGACCTGGGCCATGGCGGATGGTGCACACGCAGAGACGGAGCCCGAAGGGATTGAAGAAGCGAAGGAAGAGCAAGATGTTGGCAGCTTGCCGCTGGTGATTGAGACGGTCACCAGGGTGCAGTTGGGTGCTCGGCGGCCTTGGTTCCCTCAGTGTCAGGAAGTGGACGGCCGAACCTTCGTGACCCTCACGAAGAATGACCCAGGCCTTTGCTTCCTCGTGACAGGAAAGGGTCAAAACCGACACCAGAAAAGAGACCCTCACAGCCTCAACGTCCAGTGGTGGGACGATGCAAGACGCATGCGGCAAGCCGCATGTAGTGCTTTGGTGAAGAAGCACATGCTCAGTGCATTGCAGGAAGGGGAAGCTCCCCCACGAATTCGCCACCCGCGCGAAGATGATAAGTGGGTGATATCGCGTTTGGTGGTCGTGGACTTCCCGGAGGTGGAGGCCTTTGGCATGGCAGCCCGAGAGATGACCATGTTATGGTCCATCAGAAGCCGTGACCTGGACGTGCACGAGCTGGAGGAAGGCAATCTGCGGTACATCATCGCAGCGTTGTCAGCTTCGGATGCTGTAGTGAAAGCGGAGGTGGCTGCAGAACCAAAGGAGATGGCATCTCCGAGACGAAAAAGGCGAAGGCTGAAGAAGCGCCCGAGCGCAGAAGAGGGTGGCGAGAAAGCCGAGGAGGGCTGAAGCAAGTGGCCTGCGTGAATTGGCTTGCCAAATCACACACGACTGCTGCGTGAGAAAGGGCATGCCAATAGATCTTCTTTAGCAAAGACTGGTGAGCTTCTGCTGGACAAGAAAATAGCTGCTCCTCCCTCCAAGTGTTGTTCAAACGATTTGCCACTTGCATGTTGAAGCACAAGATGCATTTCACATGATGCTGCGAGTTCATTGCATTCACTTTCAATTAAGTTCTTTCCAAAAGATCTATCACTTGCTTTTTTTATTCGTTTGTGATTGCTGTCGCTACATTGGCATCCAAATGTTGTCATGTCAACAAGGTCCATGAGGTTGCCGATTGTGCTTCTGTATAGCCGTATTCAAAACAGTTCAGCAAGAATCGTTCAAGTCGTGCGCTTCCTGCTTGACAACATCATGCCGCGTGTGTTGGAGCGCTCCATCAGCTCTGGTGACGATTCCTGCAGGGTCATTTGGTCCTGCTCTTGGGTCATGGACGATGGTCTTATTAAGTGGCGTGTTGAACGCCTTGATGGCTCGGTACGTTTGAGACTTGTTTATGAACACAATTTTACTCCGGAAAATTGTTCCATTTCATATGGGAAAACGTTGTTCGATATTTTTGATGTGTGCTTATATGATCCCTTTCCAGTCGACCTTCCAGTGGTGATGTGTTTGTTTGCCCAGGATCCCTTTCAACGATGTCGCAGCAACCTGGGCCATGGAGGATGCTGAGAAGATTCGTATCAAGCAGCTTCTTGAGGCCAAAGTCACGCCTGAGCCTCCGTGAGATATGGCAGCGTGAGGGCATGAAAAAAAACAATTCCGTCACGGCTTCTTGTGCCAGCACTTGCAATTTTCAGTCTCACTGCCAATCATGCCGTGCATCTTTTGCATTTGTATTGTTGTTTTCGAGTTTTGCAGGAAACTTCATATCCTTATAGGTCACATCTGGAACATACTGGGCCTTGAGCCATTGTGTGTCGGCGGGTTTCCATTGCTTTGAGTTGTCATCTTTGACTCCATTGAAGACATCATGCTGTGCATGCTGATGCACGCATGAAAATCATGACGTCTATGCACTTCAGTGATTGGCTCAGGCTTGCAAGTTTCAACCAGTAAGTTCAACCTTTTGCTGCCCGATGGCTGTGAAGGGATCGCCGGCGGCCAAGAAGGTGTTGACCAAGAAGGCTGCAATGAAGGTGCCAGCCAAGAAGGCGGCAATGAAGAAGATGCCAGCGAAGAAGGCGGCAATGAAGAAGATGCCAGCCAAGAAGGCGGCAATGAAGAAGCACGCCATGAAATCTATGAAGATGTCCACGAGCCCATGGAATCGGATGACAGAGAAGAAGATGCGAGCAGACGATGAGAAGGAACCTGCCAAGCAGCGTCGGTTTATGTACTCCGTCATTCGTATGAGTGCGAAGGAGAAGAAGCGTGTCTGGAACGAAGACATGGATGAATGTGTGCAGGAATGGGTGGAGGTTCTGAGCTACAACAAGAGCTTTCGCCAACCACCGCCATGCCCACGCAAAAAGTGGATCCAGGGCTGTATGGAGGAACGTGGATGGCTGCTGTTGAAGGTGAAGCTGGCGCACAAGCCAAGTGGATGGCTGAAGATTGAGGCACATCAGCTGCCGCATTTGTAGGGCAAGTTGGATGAGTGATGCTTCTGAGAGGAGTTTGAAAAACAGCATTGCCAGTCTTAGGTGGTCCAGGCATCGTTGATATTCGTGCGTTCAAGGTTCATAAGTTCGATATTTGTTTCAGTCGTTGGTTCAAACCAATTCTTGGAGTGTGATTCAAATGTCTCACGATAGTCATTCTACGCTGTTGGGCCTTGGCTGTTGCTTTGCTGCGGTTTTTGAATGACTTTTGCTGAAAAACCCGCTATACAGGTGTCGTTGGAGATGAAAACGGGTTCAAATTGGGATTTTTGACTAGGAAAAAAGATAGCTCTTTGGTCAGTATGCATGTCTTTGATGCCGGGTCGTTCTCTTTTCATGGAAAGCATGTGTGTAGCATTTCCGCAAGGTTTCAGGCATCCAAGACGTTTGAGCGTGCTGGGTTGCTGTGACTCGCACGTGTCAGATTCGACGACGAGAGTCAAGCTTTCAATGTGCTAGGTGCTGCCACCAATCCCGCGCAGGCACTATGACAACATTTCAGAGGAAAGTGCATGCGAGCAATTGCCCAGCATGCTTGGTGTGAAGCTTGTACCAAACAACGCACTTACTATATGTCTGCCAGGTCACTTGAAGCCACCATGACTGCGTGGGAACTTAGTGGAAGTGAAGCTATGTAGATAGGACGGACTCTTGGACACATTTGAAGGCTACATACTGTGCCGGGCAATTTGCTCGCACAGCTGCATATACAATGGAACTTTTCATGGACAGATGCAACAATGAGAAGTTTCTCATACTCATGTATCAGGGGGTTGATTGTGGGGATAGATGTGAGTTTCATGGCACTGATGCATGAATCAAGGCATGATGTAAGAGCAATAAGACATGGCTGAGATGGCTGGGAGGTGCTGGACATGGATTTGAACACAACAGCTTGACATGTGTGGGCGCAGCCTTAAGAAGAACATAAACAGTATAGGACGCAATGTGAGGAAGGTGCAAATTTCGTTACCTTCTGTGGGAGCTGGGTCAACTGGATCGCTTTCCATGGTTCAGTCATTCCACAATCTCTCCAGGTTGCATATATTATATATTGCAACTGCCCATGGGCAAAATCTGCTGAGGTCAGAGCCAACATCACTTCAGAGTGTGGTGTCCCAGAGCCATTGTTGCTGGTTCTTGAAACGGCTTGGAGCAGGACACCTCAGAGACATAAATTGACCAAACGTGCAGGGTTATCACTTGGCACCATACTGACATGTCTTGTAGCACGCAGCTCAATTGTGATCTCTTCATCCAGTGTTGCATCGGCCGGCACCCGTGACATGGCACCCATCTGGATTTACCCAGAAGGAATTGTGGTCGAGCTGGCCGTAGTCACAAAGTCCCCGGTGCTGAAGTTGCTTGGATCAAGTTAGAGTGCATCACACTTCACGTGTGCAGCAGTGAACCAAGTTCTTTCCGCATTAGCTCTTTCATGAGGCACGTGTTCTACTGTCTCCTAGCATTCGTGCAACTTCATTTGAATCGCTGGGTGCTGACTCACCCTAATGTCCGTGGACTGGAGTTTCCCTTCAATCACATGTTCGGGAAGCAGGACCATAGTGTTCCAGAAGGGCGTGCTGGGTCATTGTGCTCGCACGTATATATACATATATATGTATATATATACAGATATATATCTATATGTAAATATACATACATGTTTTTATATATACACATCTATATTTATACATACATAGATCCATAGATGCATGGATACAAACATACAGAGATATAAAGATACATACATACATGCATGCATACTTACATACACATACATACACACACATACATGCACATACATACATATACATACACATACATACACATACATACACATACATACACATACATACACATACATACACATACATACACATACATACACATACATACACATACATACACATACATACACATACATACACATACATACATGCGTACATACATGCGTACATACATACATACATACATACATGCATACATACATACATACATACATAACACAATTTCCATTGAAAGGGGTCCTCGGGGTCAAAGGGGTCCTGGGTCCGCGCGTGCGCGCGCCAAAAGACTTCAAAATTGAGACCATTTTGGCGCGCGCGCGCGCGCGGACCCAGGACCCCATTCAGGTTCAGGACCCCTTTCAAGGGAAATCTTGTTACATACATACATACATACATACATACATACACATACACACATACATACATACATACATACATTAATTACATACATACATACATACATACATACATACCCATACATACATACATACATACATACATACATACATACATACATACATACATACATACATACATACATACATACATACACACACAGACAGACAGACAGACAGACAGACAGACATGCATACATGCATACATGCATACATGCATACATGCATACATACATACACTTTATATATGTATATATATATATTTATACATACTTGATTTTTTGATGTGTGTTGATCATGTGTATTGTTGATCTCCAGGACGGATGGCGATTTGGGGCGGCTTTCCTTTACAGGGGCAAGGTCCACTTTGCGATGCTGACCCACCCAGAGGATCAACCTTTTTTTTCTGAGTTGGGGATGGTTAGACTTCGCGTGAATGGGCTCCTGATACTCAAGGAAACCATTGCTGGGAGTTTGTGGCAGCATGTGCCGCAATACCATGCCGAATCTTTAGATGGCTGGTTTCCCTAGTTGTTTTGACGCCGATCTTGAAACTGGAAAAACAGTTGCTTTCTGCTCGTTTGATTTTCAATGATGAAGTTACAGTTGGCATCCGTTTTTTCTTCGAGATCAACTCACTGCTGTAAGAGGTTTTGCATCCGCCCCCAGCGTGCTATCAGGCCAAAACTTCAGGAGTTGACAGTTCTTCATCGTGCGCACCGGGCTTGTGGTGGTGTATGGGCATGGCTGTGTGGAGTTTGCCATGGTAACGCATGCTGGGCTACATCAGCTCGCGTGCATTGTGATGTACACGTTCCACCCCAGTGCCACGCAAGCCCAGGCCCAGCATAGTCTACATAGGAAGCTCTTTCTTCAGGCGGAGCATGGCGGGGCAGTGATTCAGTGACAATGCTTGGCTTTCAAACCCCAAACCCACAAAAGGAAAAGTGTTTTTTGGGGCCCTTGGCAGTGGTAAACCGACGGGACAATTACAAGACCCAGTCATGAGTCTCGAATAGTTTGTTTGTTTCTGAGGATTTGTCATGGTTCTATTTGTCCAAAGTATCAACACATGATTTAACTTGTAGCAGTTTTTGAATACAAAAGCTTGTCACACATGTCATGTCAAGTGTGGTATTTCCAGCACGTGCGCCGTTGTCAGGACCTATGCGTTGATCAACAGCTAGGACCTGGCATAGGTGGGCAGGAGCCTCAGAAGCCTGAGTTAATGCCATCAACTCGAAAACATAACATCACTTCGCATCATTTTCAATTTTTTTGGTTCAAAAAGAAATGAAACTTGTAGCTACAGCCTGTCTTTTGAAGATAGTTTTGGATGCCTTAGAACGAGAAAACTCAAAAAATGACGATAAATTTTCAAAACCCTAAACCCTAAACCCTAAACCCTAAACTCTGAATATGTGGTGCGGCATGGCCTGCCAGGGGATGATCCCTCTGTGCAAGGATGACACGCACAAATGCGAGGGTATGAGAAGATGGGTGAGCTTGGAAGAGCTTACAGCCTGAGATGTCACCAAGTGTCAGCTACACACGCATGACACATGGTGACGTCTCCAATACCTATGAAATGGAGTGCATGGTTTGCGCTTGGGAACTATGAGGCGCATGGTTTGCGCACGAGTGCATGGTTTGCACTTGGACTTTTGGGCACATTGGCAGTGCCTACCAATGAACCTTTTGGCATGATGGAAATGCCTTTCAGATGTGAATGGTGTCACCTTCGGGGACACCATGACCTTTGGTTTTATACCGCCAAAGCGGTTTTGGAATTCAGCCACTGGCAGAAGAGGAAGAGTTTTGCACATCAGAAGGCAACCATGCCTTCTGAAACATGGTCGAGATGACCATCACATGCAGTGAGGTTGAACGTTCAAATCACTTGATGTGATGTGGCCTTTGGACATTGGCATCACTTGGAGTGATGCCGCTTCAACTCTGGAGATGGTTGCCTTCAGTAGGCAATGGCAGAGGGAATTCGTTTACCTTTTCGGTGCCTTTGAGTTTGTAGGAGTTCGTCTACTGAGACTCTGAGAGGGACCTTGTAGTTTACAGTTTTGGCTGCGGAACTGACGTTCCGTTTTTGGCCTGAGAAATGAGCACACCGTGAATTCGTTTGAGACATCAGTCTCGTTTTTTGAACAACAGTTTGAAGGAAGCAGGTCTGGTAGCATTTGAAGCCACCAGACTAAGTTTTTGAACAGTTTAGGTGATGTTTTGAAGGGTTCCAAAACAGTCCTTTTTTGAACCATCAAACCATTGATTTTTTTCAACTCCCAACCAACTCTAGGTTTTAGCATTTGGTGCACGAGACCAAATGCTGCAATTTGAGAAAGAACCGTCGGGCAACGTTTCCGACGGCCAGAGAACCAAGTTTTGAGTTTGAAGTTTGTGAGAACCGTTTTGGGAGTTTTCGGAATTGTTTCTGCAGGAAAGACCGTTTTGAGGTCAAAGAAGGACATTTGAAAAATGTCCGATTTTCGTTTTGCTTTCGGCTCTAGGCGAGCTAGGGTTCAGAGAAGAAGCCGCAAGCATGAGTAACAAGACTGCAGAACATCTGCTCTTGGTGTGCGTGGTAAAAGGCCTGAAGCGTTTACTAAGAAGTTAAGAGTTGTGAAGCTTAGTTGAATAGAGAAAACTGCTGGGTGTGCGCGTTCGGTGCCCCTCGGGTTGTTGGTGGTTTTGTCTTCCGTCTTTCGGTTCAGGTCGTTGTTCCTTCCCCCCTTTTCTGTTCGGTTGGTTTGGGGTGTCGGTTTTCCACGTGGTAGCGGAGCAGTTGCTCCTGGTCCGCTCCATGGCGTCCCCGCAGAGGTTAGAGGAAGGTTTTCCAGGACTGCCAGGTCTGCCAGGTGTTCAAGGTATGCCGGTGTTGCCAGGTATGCAGGCTGGGGTGGGTGCTGCAGGTGCTACAGGTCAAGGCCAAGGTCCTGCAAATGGACAAGGTACCGCGTCGGACCCTTGGGTAGCAGAAACAGACCCGTGGGAGTTTGCTGGGAATCAAAGGATCCCTGAAACACCCCTCACGACCCCAACTACCAGGTCAGCAGCAAGGCAGCAGGAATCTGGTGAACAACCTTGGTCGAGGTACGTAGGAGCGTTAGGAAGACCCCAGGTGAATGGACCACAACAGGGCTATCAGCAACAGCAGTTTCCAGGTCAGACAGGGCACATCTTGTTTGGAGGTTGTCAAGGGCAGCAGCAGCAAAGCGTAGTTACTCCACAAGCGGCATACACAGCACCAGTGCACGCGTGCGGAAACCCGACTGTGCAGCAGCAAAATGCTACGGAAGTGAGTCAGTTAAGAAACATGGTTTTTGCCTTGCAGCAAGGGATGAATCAGCTTTTCAGTTTGTTTCGAAGTGCTGGACCGGTGGCAGCAGCACCTGTGAGTGGTGCGATGCTGGGACCTCAGTTTCAGAATCCAGTGAGTCAGCAGTTTCAGAATGGACAGGGAAATCAGCAGTTTCAAAATGGGCAGTTAGGCCCTGGTTTGTCAAATGCCCCGTTTGGGCAGCAGTTTCAGCAGCCGTTTGGCCGACAGTACGGTGAGGAGGCAGAACGTTCTCCGACTGCCCCGTTTGGGCGAAGTTTGGAGCAGGGACATTCTAGCAATGGCTTGGACGTCTTGAGCAAGACAGAGAAGTGGCTGCCAGGACTTCCAAAACCTGGCCATGAAAGTTGGAAAGATCGTGAATCAGAGATCGTTGGATTTCATGACTATCTGGTGGAGCTACGGAGTTGGGCTTCATTAGTTTCTCCAAAATTTGCTGCAGAGATCTCCGAAGCAACTGTGACACCTCAGGAAATAGTGCTCAGTTCGCTGTCGCGAGACCAGCAGAGCAGGGCTGGACGTTTGCTTTCAATACTCCGTGCAGCATTCAGTGGACATGGTCGTGCAGAGAACATCATCAGAGCCTTTTGTGAAGGTGTTTCGTTTGGTGCTGGATTGAGCAGCGTTGGTTTCAATGACAACGGGTTTGAGTTGTTACGAGTCTTGACAAGAGAGTTTACTTTGCAGAGCCGAGCTGAGGCATTGGCCTTAAGGGCTGAATTGCTACAGAGACAATTTGCGCCTGCAAAGGGCGAGACTTCTCAAGGGACAATCGTTGCTGACACAATTAGGCGTTTGGAAACTTCGTTGGCAAAGTACAACAAGCTGGTATCCACACTGCCGAACATCGTTGATCGTTCAGGTGTTGAGGTCAGCGAAGCTGATCGTTTGGTGCTATTGCTTCGTTCTTTGCCATCAGCATGTGCTGAGTTTGTGCTTCTTCACAGCGCCCAGGAGAACTATGTGATGGCAAGGGAGACAGCTTGCCGATACGAGACCCAGAGAAGGTTGTATCTTGACTGGAATTCGTTTGGAAAGCCAGGTAAGTTGATTCACAGTGTTGCCCAGGCCGAAGTGTATGACATGGCAGTTGGTGACAGTGAAGGACAAGAACAAGGTGAAAACATGGTGGATTCCGTGACTGGTCGTTGCTCCAAGTGTGGAAGCAAGCGCCATGAGTCTCATGCATGCTCAGTGGATCTTTCGAGAACCAGGTGTTTCAAGTGTGGCGAGATGGGCCACGTTTCAATGAATTGCCGCAAAGGTGGTGCAGCCAATTCGACGCAGAAGGGCAGTGGCCAGTCTGCGAACACTGGAAAAGGTCAACAAGGCTCCAAAGGAGCGAGTGGTTCGAAAGGAAAAGGTGGAAAGCCCTCAAAGGGCAAAGGCAAAGAGAAGGGCAAGAGCAAAGGCAAAGGAGGCAAAGGAAAGATGTTCGAGGTAGCTCAGGAGAGCACTGCTGATCAGGAGGATTGGTGGTATCAGGACGGTGATGGTTACTGGTGGACAGCCACCAGCGATTGGTCCGAAGTTGCCGCAGTAAGTGGCGAACCAGAAAAAGAGAGCTCACCTGCCGAACAAGGAAAGAGTGCTGCAGTGGGAAGCCAGCCAGTGACTGCCACCCTGATTGCCGGTTTGTTTTCAGCCAGTTTTTGCGTTTCTAACCACCTTATTTCAAACCAAAACCAAAACATGTCTGTGAAACCAGTGAATTTTTCGTTTGTGCATGGCTCAGAACGTTTGTCAGTTGTGAGTTTATTTCAAAACAGTGTTTTTCCGGTTTGCTTCAAGGTGCAAGGTGAACAGGTCTTTTTGGATGAGACGTTTGAACAGTTTTGTGACCTTGTGACAACATGTGACGAAGCTTGGACCGTAGAGACAGTATGTGAGATGTTTTCCAGTCACCGCCTGGATCTCAGCGCTCAGGGAAACTTGCAAGGGAACCACAGTTCAGTTGCTGGATGTTTCAGAGAGAGTTGGCGTAGGGACTGGTGCATGATTGAGTCTTCACAACATGGCATGGTAGGATCATGTGAAACGTCAGTTGCAGATTTCACCACCTGTTTTGCGTCTATCATGGATGCCAGTGATTCGGAGGGATCACAAGGGCACGGAACATGTCAGGACCTCAGTGTTTTTGACCTTTCAGGGAACCATGTGAGTCTTCAACGAAGGATCCATGAGGAATTTCCAGGTTTGAAGTGCGATGACAACAGCAGGGACCTGGATGATTTTTGGACTTGCATGGACTGGACACCAACCATTTGCAGTTTGAACGTCATGTCAACCTGGTTTCTTGGGAGAACGGTTTTCATGTTTTTCATGTTGTTTTGCGTTTTCCAGTTTTTCATCGGTGTCAGTGCTTTCAATGGTTCCCCAGACTGTCATCTGGAAGTCAACAGGAATCTCAATCCCATTTTGTGCAACTTGCAGCGGAACACAGGGGGATATTGGTTGTTAGACTCTGGAGCCGCCGCCACAGTGGTGTCTCATGAGACCTATGAACGTTTCCGGGCAGTTGGTCAGACGAGTCCTCTCAAGCCGAGCTCTCAGAGTTTTTATGCTGCGAACGGATCATCAGTGGTTGTTGCAGGTGAAACTCAACTCCAGGGATATGTCTTAGCCTCTGCACATGGAAACATTCAACCAGTGTCCATGAGTTTGACAGCCGTTGTAGGAAGCACACAGCATGATATCATATCCACTAATCAGTGTGTTGCACGTGGTTGGACTTTTGCATTTTCACAGGATGCCAGTTGCATGAAACATGAGGCGTCAGGTTTAGCTGTCAATGAAATTACCTCTTGGGGAGGTTGTCCATGGGTTGTTTTCACTCCGACCATTTCAGAGCTTTCAGCTGTTTTGGCCAAGCCTGCACCTCAGCTTTCAGACCGTCCATTGCAGCCGATTTCACAGGTACCAAAGGTTTCAGGTGATGTGACTGCGCAACATCATGAACCCCAAATGAGCCCAATCAGTAATGTAGAGCCTTTGGAAGCTGTGCAATTGGGAAAACTTTCGGAGTCTGAAATGCTTGCACATAGGTTGAAGGGTCATGTGCCATATGCTTCATGGTGTGAGCACTGTGTGAAAGCCAGGGGAGTCAGACAACACAGGAGACGTGGGCCAGACGAGAAAATCCAGGTCGCTTTGACCGCCGACTTCATGTTTGTGGAGGACCATAAGGTCTTGGTGTTTCATGAGCGATCGACAGGTTGCATAGGAGCTGTCGTGATGACAGGTGATGTAGCCAGGGATAGGAGTGTTTTCTGTAAATGGCTCACCGAAATGGGAATCTCTTCAACAGGTGGAGTTGCAATTCAGTTGGCGACAGATGCAGAGCCAGCTGTGGCCGCTTTCATAACCTCAGCTTCAGAGTCAATGCAATGGCTTGTTGAAAAGGCCCCTCCTCAAGGACATGAGTTTGTAGGAGCTGCTGAACGTTCCGTCCGCACCTGCAAAGAGGGAATCTCAGTGATCAGGTCAGAATTGGCCGACCAGAATTTGGGTTTGAATTTGAACACTCAGTCACTTTCAGACATTCTTCGGTACGTTTGTCATTCACAAAATCTGTTTTCGCATGCACATGGCAGTGATAGGACTCCAAAGGAGTTGGCATCAGGTTCCAAACTGAAGGAGCCAACTTTCGCTCCATTTTTGGCCAGGGTTCTTGCCGAGATCCCTGACAGTGTCAAGGAGAAATATCCTATGGCTTCAAGGTTCGTTGATGCGATCTACATTGCACCTGTTTGGAACTCAGTTGGCTGTGAAGTCATTGGGGAATTGTCATCCAATGGAGAGATTCGGTTTGTGCGATTTCATGCAAAGAGTATCAAACATACCATTCCTCTCACTTGGTCAACGAAATTCTATCAAGACTTGCATCAGCTTGTCGTCAGAGAACATGAGCATGGGAACGTATCTGAACCACCACCGCAAGTGTTGCCAGCTGCGAATCCATCTTTGAAATGCCCCAAGTCAGGGCCACCTGTGGAATGGGTCAGGGGAGAAGGTGGGTTCACTGATGACTGCATCGCTTGCCGGGGCCTCAAGAAGCATGGGACCAGAAAAGGACTTGTGCACTCTCGTGCTTGTTGCCGAAGGTATGAAACCTTTTTGAAAGACCAGGCTTTAAGTGTAGGAGGTGATTCTGTTCCTGCACCCATTGAGCCGGCTGAACCTTTTCCACCTGACTTCTTTAATGAGCCAGCTCATCCACCCGTGAAAGATGGAGTCACGCCTAAGTCTGGACCTTCAGTTTATTTTGATGATGATGTCAAGTCATTGTCATATGAGCCATCAATTGCTGAAGAGAATGTGGAACCAGACCCAGACTTGGATGAACAAGTTCGCCATGACAAACGTTTGAGTTTAGAAGACTATGGAGATGTTTCTGAAAGGCCTGTCAAACGGAGAATGTATGGGAAGAGCTCAGATCCTGAAGGAGCTTTCCCACCACCTTCCAAGGGGACTCCTCGTGGTCCGGGCCTTAAAAGACCATCTGAGATGAACTTGAAAGAACTGGAGGATGAATTGAAGAGAGATGACATAGATGCCATCCATGCTGAATCACAACATTGGGTTTCTCCTTTCATGAATCTTGCAGCCGTTGTGTCACCACCACCAAGCATGTCACACATGTTTGAAACTGAACCAGTGGCCAGCGTTCGTTTTGATTCGCAAGGGCCCATACCTGAGTCGTTTGTAGTCAACATGGGTGGGATGCCAATCAAAATTTGGTGTCCTACGGATGCGATAGACGACACGACTGGAGAGATTTTGGATGGAAAGAAGTGTCATTTGGGAATGAAGAAAGAGATTGAAGGCTTAGAGGAATGCCAGGCAGGTGATTGTTACACAGTCTCAGAATTCGAAAAGTTGAAGGAAAGAACGGACCACCCGATCAGGCTCATCAGCACGCGTTGGGTCACCAATGCAAAGGGAGACGAAGTTCGCTCCCGCATGGTAGTGAAAGATGTGAAAAACAGAGACTCGGCCAGGTCTTTGGGAATTTCATCTCCTACTTTGGGGGCGGATGCTTTCCAATTGTTTCTCACCATTTGTTCAGCTTGGAACTTCTTGGTTTACACTTTGGACATTAGTCATGCTTTCATGTACACACCTCTCCGATGCCGCAATGTCGCTGTTAAACTGCCTATGTCATGTTCAACAGAAGCTGGAGAACCTGTCATCTTGCATTGTGCCAATGCATTGAATGGACTTCGATCAGCGAGTTTGGAGTGGCTTTTGTTTTTACAGCAACAGTTGAGTGGGATTGGTTTGCATACCGATGGAGCTGAACCTTGTTTTATGGCCGGTATCCTTCCATCGGGTCGCATGGCTATGGTGATTGTCTATGTGGACGACCTTGCAATTGCCTGTGAACATGAAGATGACTTCAAGCTCATCATGAGCTGTCTGCAGAAGAAACTGAAAGTTAAGCACACAGGGACGATTGAGCGTGAAGGTGGGCAAGTGACCTTTCTTGGTCGTGAAATTGTCAGGCTTCCTGGTGAATCCGCACTTTACGTGCATCTTCCTGATGGATACCTGGACAAGACCTTTGAGATGTGGGGCCTTAAGGCTTCTTCTTCTGGAAAGAAGACCCCATGTCCCAATGTGTTAATGATTCTCGACCAGGAATCAGCTGGGTCACCACCCCTTTCCGGGGAGGCATATACAAAATTCAGGTCGACATTAGGCAAGATCGCCTGGATGAGTCAGACGCGGCAAGACCTCAAACATTTTGCGGCTTTGCTTGGAACTGTCCAAGCCTCTCCGACGCAAGCCAGTGAAAAGGCATTGCGTGCGCTATTGCGCTTCCTGGTGACAGATGATAATGTTTCCCTTCGTTTGCCGTCTGAGCATGGTCTGGGAAGTGAGGACTTCTGTGAAGTGGTGGCCTATACGGATGCATCACATGCACCATCGACCAGAAATCGCCGAGGTGTCAGTGGAGGTGTTCTGACTTATTTGGAAGGAGTTGTCAAAACTTACTCCAGACATCAGACTTCAATCAGCTTGAGTAGTTGTGAAAGTGAACTACAAGCGATACAGATGGTGGTTCAAGAAGCTGTCGTTCTTTCCAGGTTGGTCACTAGGATCATGCGAGCACTTGGTTTTCTGAAAGAAGGTGAATTCGCTGTAGCTCGAATTTATTCGGACAGTGAGAGTGCTTTGAAGCTTTTGAAGGCCTTGGATCTTCCTCGCAGATCCAGACACATAGATATAAAGATTGAATGGCTCAGGGAGCTGGCTGGAAATGGCTTCATATCCTTACATCATCTTCGAGGAGACCTTTTAGTAGCTGATTTGTTGACAAAGTGCTTGCAGACTAGCCGGTATCTGGAACTGAGACAAGTCATGGGCTTTGTTGAGAAGCCCCTATCAACAGCTCTTCTCTCCCTTATGCGTCCAAAGACCAAGTTTGTTGGAAGTGGCTTTGCTCTTTTAGAAGTATGCTGCGATGAAAATTCTCAACTTCGTGCAGTTTGCCAAGCTTGGGGAATTCCTTATCGTGGGATCACCTATGGAGTGGAAATGAGATCTGTTTATGAAAGAACCCGTGATTGGGTCGCGACCTTGAAGGTGGGTCTGCACGTGCATCTTTCAACATTGTGCTCCAGTGGATCACCTTTGAGGAGGTTTGTGACTCCAGGACAAGCCTCAGAACTTGATGCAACTTGGGATGAACACATCGCAGGTGCCGTTGCCTTTATGAAGTTTGGAGAAAGTACGAGCTTTGAGCTCCCACTGTTTAACAATATCTGGAAACGTTGGTATGTCCAACAGACTCTCCAACGATTTGGGCATGTGCACCATGCCGTTGTCCATTTGTGTCAGACTGGTTTGCAGGGTTCGGACGAGAGCTTCATAGGAAAAAGACTCAAGTTTAGCACCAATTTGCAGAAGCTGGGAGATCATTTGAGGGACAAATTTGGAACATGCCGATGCAAAGGGGATCATTCCAATTTCAACTATATCACATGGCGCAAGACAGCGCTCTACAACAGGTGCCTGGCTGAACAGTTTGTTCTTGGATTGCAGTTGCATTATGGAAAATCCAACAAGAGTGGAACCTAGCGAGCCAAAGTTTTTTTGAGTTTGTTTGGATGATGTCATAGACATTTTTCACCCTAAACAAACGCGAAACTTGCATGTCGTTTTTTTGTGTTGCTTGGAAACCAAACAACCAACTTGCAGATGTCAGTTGTTTCACATGTTCATGACAGTCTTGAAGATGTCATTTTCACATGTCACAGACAAACGCGAAACGTCCAGATGTCAGAAACCAAACGAAACGTTGGGATGTCAGAGACGGGAACATGTTTGTGGAATTCATTTGAAACCAGTTTTTTTTGAAGTGTTCACTGTGATGTCAGTTTCATGTCACTGTGCGTGCACCCCACATACACACACGCGTAGTTAATTCGCAAGGCAGGTTTGAGGTTGGAGGTCTGTGTAAAGGACCCTGGATCTCATGTTGCCTGGATGTGTTTTGGTTTTTTTTCTTTGGGCCCGTTTGGCCATCCAGTGGAAGCCTCAGTTTAACTGAGTGGAGAGCTCTTTCTTTTGGTAGGCGCTCTGGCCTCTAAGGGTGTGTGACTTGTGTGGTTTTTCGTAGCCAGTCTCGGGCGCCGGTTGCCATGTCAGCGAACTCCAAGTCCGCAGGTGGCTCTGGTCGTCGCCTCTCAGCCGCAGCCGCAGCTGCCGAGCGTGAAGCCCGGGATGCAGAACGTGAAGCCAGAGAAATGAGGGCCCAGGCCCGTGCCAGTTTGAGAGATGGAATCCACCAACAGGCGAAGCAACTGGAGGTGCAATATGGAATGGACTCCTTCTCTGAAGGAGAGGGATCGGATGCCAGCATCCAGTTGATCAGTGAGGGCTGGTCTCCGGTTCACATCCGCAAGGATTTGCCGCTCCCTGCGGGAATCCGCTCATGGGGCCAATGGTGCAACACGATGATCAGCCTCCCAAAGTACCAGAAGATGGGTTGGTCATTTGGTGATATCGCCAACAAAGGGCGAAGTGAGAAGGAAGTACGCAAGTACTTGTTGTGGGTCGAAAAGACCTACGGGACAAGTCAGGCGCAGGAAACAGAACTGGTCAATGGCCAGCTCAAGCTGGTGCACCCGGTTCGCAATCAGGCGACTGATTTGGCACTTTTCCTCCTTGCCATGGACTTCCAAGGAGAACTGGAGTCAGCTGATCCTTCTGAGGGTGCCGGATATGTCCGTACCTTCAAGCAAGGGGCATAGCTGGCAGACCAAGACCGAAGGTGGGTCTGAATATGTGGTGCGGCATGGCCTGCCAGGGGATGATCCCTCTGTGCAAGGATGACACGCACAAATGCGAGGGTATGAGAAGATGGGTGAGCTTGGAAGAGCTTACAGCCTGAGATGTCACCAAGTGTCAGCTACACACGCATGACACATGGTGACGTCTCCAATACCTATGAAATGGAGTGCATGGTTTGCGCTTGGGAACTATGAGGCGCATGGTTTGCGCACGAGTGCATGGTTTGCACTTGGACTTTTGGGCACATTGGCAGTGCCTACCAATGAACCTTTTGGCATGATGGAAATGCCTTTCAGATGTGAATGGTGTCACCTTCGGGGACACCATGACCTTTGGTTTTATACCGCCAAAGCGGTTTTGGAATTCAGCCACTGGCAGAAGAGGAAGAGTTTTGCACATCAGAAGGCAACCATGCCTTCTGAAACATGGTCGAGATGACCATCACATGCAGTGAGGTTGAACGTTCACATCACTTGATGTGATGTGGCCTTTGGACATTGGCATCACTTGGAGTGATGCCGCTTCAACTCTGGAGATGGTTGCCTTCAGTAGGCAATGGCAGAGGGAATTCGTTTACCTTTTCGGTGCCTTTGAGTTTGTAGGAGTTCGTCTACTGAGACTCTGAGAGGGACCTTGTAGTTTACAGTTTTGGCTGCGGAACTGACGTTCCGTTTTTGGCCTGAGAAATGAGCACACCGTGAATTCGTTTGAGACATCAGTCTCGTTTTTTGAACAACAGTTTGAAGGAAGCAGGTCTGGTAGCATTTGAAGCCACCAGACTAAGTTTTTGAACAGTTTAGGTGATGTTTTGAAGGGTTCCAAAACAGTCCTTTTTTGAACCATCAAACCATTGATTTTTTTCAACTCCCAACCAACTCTAGGTTTTAGCATTTGGTGCACGAGACCAAATGCTGCAATTTGAGAAAGAACCGTCGGGCAACGTTTCCGACGGCCAGAGAACCAAGTTTTGAGTTTGAAGTTTGTGAGAACCGTTTTGGGAGTTTTCGGAATTGTTTCTGCAGGAAAGACCGTTTTGAGGTCAAAGAAGGACATTTGAAAAATGTCCGATTTTCGTTTTGCTTTCGGCTCTAGGCGAGCTAGGGTTCAGAGAAGAAGCCGCAAGCATGAGTAACAAGACTGCAGAACATCTGCTCTTGGTGTGCGTGGTAAAAGGCCTGAAGCGTTAACTAAGAAGTTAAGAGTTGTGAAGCTTAGTTGAATAGAGAAAACTGCTGGGTGTGCGCGTTCGGTGCCCCTCGGGTTGTTGGTGGTTTTGTCTTCCGTCTTTCGGTTCAGGTCGTTGTTCCTTCCCCCCTTTTCTGTTCGGTTGGTTTGGGGTGTCGGTTTTCCACGTAAACCCTAAACCCCCACCCCAAAAAAAAGGGCAGCATTCCCCCCTGTATCATGGGATCTTGGGTTTTGAAATTTTGTGGGTCCACAAAATTGCAATTCAGAAATTGTGGGTCCACAAAGTTTCAATTCAGAAAATTGTGGATCCACAAAAAAAAATAAATCACTATTGAAACTTTTGTGGAAACACAACTTTTCAATTCACGAACTTGTGGGTCCACAAAATTTTGAAATCACACTTGTGTTTCCACAAAGTTGCCATTTTGGTGATTTCAACACTTTGTCATTCTCGGCCGTCCTTGGAGATCATTGCTTGTGTCGGTTGAGAGGGTTTTCGTGTAGCCAATGCAACGAATCTCATCCAGTTACTGAACTGGATGAGATTCGTTTGTGTGATGTTGTGCAGAGATTTCTGCAAGCATTGAAATGGGGGCCTTTCTTGGACGGGGGAATATCATCCAGTTACCCAACTGGATGAGCTTCGTTTGTGTGATGTTTTGCAGAGATCTCTGGACTGCGGGGGCTGCAAGTTTCTGTGGACAACTCTGTTTATATGACGGCATCCCGTGTGCCCAGGACATCGTTTGCGCATGGGGGTGCCTGGCGGCTCAATGATCATAGGGGATGTGCTGGGCGATGTGAAGGCATGTGAAAACTTATAGGTTCAACGATCATACAAAGTTTGCTGACGCATATGTGGGTTTATACAAGAGATCTTGCATGGGCAGCCACATGAAGCCAGTGTCAAAACAGCACATGAACTTTGATTCACTTTTGCTTCAGCTTGCTCACACATATGTTCAACCATCTCTCCACAAGTCTTGCTGACACAAATTGGCATAGAAAGACGCAGTTTTATTTCCATTTTCCTTGGAATGAATCTTCGTGGCAAGGTCAGAAGCAAACAGCCTGTGTTGGTCTACTTGCAAGTGGATTGACAGGAGAGGGTTGGCATGCGGCTGACGCTTTGATGGGGCATGTGCATGAGAAGTCAAGAAGGCATCAGAAGTGGGTGCATGAGGGAGTTTCTAATTTTTGATGCTGCATTCAGTTGATAGTAGGGGATAAAAACACATCCAACAGGGCTGCTTCATGTTGGGTGTGCATGGAAGGTGACAACCTTGCGCGTTTCTGTAGACGGATGGCTCAGAGACAATTAGTGCTCATGCCACCTACATGCAGACTACGGCATGCAGACGAGAGCACGCATGTAAGGGCTGGTCTTTCCTGGATAGATGTGTGTCCACTGTGGGGTTCTAATTCATTTACCAAAAAAACCCAAACCTATAGCATTCTAATTTAGTGCTGGCTCCTAGCAATTTTCCCCGGCCCATACTTAGTTCACAAGGGGATCTATATAATTAGATTGCAATGCGCGTCATCATGCTTGACAGCAATGGCATGGAGGTCGAGGAAGTCATGGACGAAGAGGAGCACTGGGGTCCAAAGTGGGGACCTTCTGAACCTTGGATATAAAGTTCAAACTTGGATGGTCTTGCGTGTATTGCGGCATGGTTTTCTTGTGGGTTTGTGTACCATCATGCACGGAAACTGCAAATAAGGAGCAGCCAAAGCGATCCAGCGCAAGTTCGTGCGAGGTTGAGGACACAAATTTTTGTGGTATAGTTTCTTCATCATTTGGTGCCTCATGATTCCATGTCCTATAGCTGCATGCTGGGAGCAATAGTTTGTCATGGTTTATGTTTTAACAGTGGCACCGCGCCCAACCTGACACAGGGCCGAGATCGAGACCATCTAGATCGAGAAGCTGGCATTTGGGTGCCTTGTTGTATGATACTTTCACATCCGTTGGGAACATGACATATCTCCTGTAACTGCGTGTGCATGCTTTCAACATTCTAAAGTGGAAGGAATCGTTTGGGTTACTACATTTTGCATGCTGTTACTGCATCCTTTACTGACTGATTGTGAATCGCCTAGACGGACAAGGGCCCAGCGGACAAGATGCCACAGGAGGAGGAGGAGGCTTGTATAATAAACATGCAAGATCCATCTTATGAAGCCTTTGTACATTCTCATTGAACATCAAATGATTATCGGCTGCATTACGTTGCGTCAGGACTGGAACCCAGATGCGCAGCCGCAGAAGTCTCCGCTGTTGAAGCAGACGGCCAAGACCAAAGCACCACAGAAACCTAAGGTGAAACTGGTGGAGAAGAAGGATGCGACACCGAGACCAAAGGAGAAGGCCATGCCGCGTCCCCCTCCTGAGCCAGCTCACCCACCTAAAAGGGCGAAGCAGGACCCCTCTGTGCTTTCTGCGGGGATGCACATTGGAAAGGAAGCAATATATGGACATACAGACACACACACACAGACACGCATACAAATATATAAATAATACATATGTATGTAAAAGACGTGCATTTGCATGTCAGCATATGTATCTACATGAGTTGTCTTAGTGAATCATT